GTCGTCAGTTGTAATTCACTGCCAGATGTTTCGCCCTTACTATGAAGTGGCATCCTCAGTGGCTAGGCTGAGACTAAGTCAGAGAAGTCCGTTCAGGTATACTATATAGTTGGGGTGAGGTCATCGGCGCGCGCGTGGAATGCAGGAATGCATACTCCCCTTGCTCTGGCTGTTTCTAGTAGTTTCTAGTAAACAAGGTGACGTAATACTGGATTCCATGACTGTGGAAGCTTGTAGCTGTCATCTTTATTGAAATTATCTGGATGTTTTTTGATTTCAATAGCTTCTCTGATTTTTCTATGGTAGAAATAGGGTTCTTTAGCGACTAGGAGGATTAAACATTAGGAGAGGGCACGCGAATAGGAATACACATGTTGCGGTGAAGCCAGCTTTAGCAGAACACTAGAGGGGCACGCGGAGCCGTAGAGTGGCAAAAAGCCTCGGCTATAACATGGGAGAGATAGGGAAAAACGCGACGCGCGCTGTTTCGAATTAAAATTGCCTCTAAACTAAAACACCTGTGTTATTCACCGATGGCATTCTTAAAGTAAATTAAATTTCCTATCGAACGGTGTCAATAATTCCTATAAAAACTATTATTTATTATTTATTATTGAAGATCAAAGTTGAAAGAATTGGCCTGGACTTTGAACATATGATTACTTTAATTAAGTTTTTGAAAAAAATATGATGTATCTACACAAACTAACAATTTATTCGTGTTCCTTAATATTTTTTCGACATAAAAAATATATATTTACCTATATTTAAAAGTGGTATTTAGAAAAATAATTACAATAAAGTTTAGTTTTATTTTTTCAGTTTATAAAACAATCTTACTAATTATAGGTTAAAATGCAAAATTTAATTCGGGTGGTGAAATACATTTTAAATTTGCATTTTTCATAGTTTTCTCGATTTGTTAATATCATTTTTTAATAGTTTCAAGGCATTTATGTGCTAGGCAGGTGATTTTAAATAGCCAAAGTTAAGAAAAAATGCAAAGCCGCTCTAACTTTTTTTACACCAACAGCTGTTACAATTAAATTACAAACATAAAAAGTAAAACAATTTCTTGGCAATCAAGTTCTTGATTTTTTAATATCATATTGAACTATATTTGATCTGTTTGAACAAAGAAACTTCAAGTAAAAAGTGTAAATGTTCAACAATCATCGCATCTTCTGACCGCCAAAGTGCGTTTATCATTCTTTTAAAGGATTAAAACTTATTTTATTTCTCTTAAAGAAAATGTTCAAATACACATGCAGTACTACTCATGATTTGAGTTTTAATTTATGAACAGTAAAAGCCATTGGTGGTGTGGCGGGATTTGAACCCGGGACCCCAGGAACCGGAGTCCCGCGCTCCGGATAGATAATTGATATTTCTGTTGCCAAATCTTCCAGTAACGCATACAACGCAGTATGAGAGGGGGATAGGAGAGTAGCGCTGCCTCCCCCCCCACCCCACCAGTACGCCGGCTTCAACGAAACTACAGCGTGTCCTCTCCTTAATGTTTAATCCTCCTAGTTTAGCGAGTACTTAAACTTTATCAAATTCTATGGCGTGTTTCGTTGTAAAGCTGTGTTCTGCTACTGCCGATTTTTCAATATTTTCCTGTTTTGTCTGGCGAACGTTTTTCCTTGTTCCTGTGGAAAAGTTTACATCGGAGAAACCAAATGGATGATTTCAACTAGATTAAAAGAACACATTCTCCAGACAAAACAGGAAAATATTGAAAAATCGGCAGTAGCAGCACAGCTTTACAACGAAACACGCCATAGAATTTGACAAAGTTAAAGTACTCGCTAAAGAACCCTATTTCTACCATAGAAAAATCAGAGAAGCTATTGAAATAAAAAAACATCCAGATAATTTTAATAAAGATGACAGCGTGGTCATCTAGATGGTATGTAGTCATCATTGACTGTCTCTCTCGAACACGGAAACGTCATCGTGTTCTCCCGCGGTCTTAGAAACGTCACCTTTGTCGTCTGCCATTGCAACAATATCAAAACATTTCCCGTAGCGGTGTAGACATAATCGTTGTCTCCCGCAGTCACAGTTAAAATTCATCGTCTTCATCCGCGATTGCGGCATAATCATTAAAATCTTCCACGACCAAGAAGACATCATCATTGACTGCCGCAGTCACGTCAACGTCATCGCCGTCTCCTGCGGTTGCGTAAATGTCATTGTCGTCTCCTGCGGTCTCAGGAAACATCATATTCGTCGTTCGCGATCACATGTCAAACATTTCCCGCGCCCGTGTAGACATCATTATCGTCTCGCAGTCATGGAAACATCATGATCATCGTCTTGCACAATAACGAAAACGTGATCGTCGTCTAGCGCGATCGCAGCAAAATCATGACAATTCCCGAATTTAAAAAAGACTAAATACCGACTTTTGTAGACCATTTTGAAACTCATTACTAATTCGCGACTTTCCCATTTTTCCAGACTACTAGACACCACTTGCTAACTTTAACACTGCAGGCTTTCAGTGAAAACAATTCCGAGCTGCCGGGAGCAAGCCGCCAGGTAATAAGGTATTGGAATTGAGATAGTATAGATATTCCTCCAGGCTACCAACCGTGTTGAGGCCACTTCTGCTGGCCTTCTGATCGCAAAGAGTTCAGTTAAGTTAAGTTAGGCTAAGTAACTTGGCCTGAATGAAGTTATAACTTTAAGCCCAAGTTTTTTTTACAGGTCACTAAGTTAAGTTAGTCCTACTGTAACTTTAAATTCTGTCAAGGGAGTGTGACTTAAGAATAATGAGTCACGAGCTCACCTACGGTAACTGTTATTTCCAAACCTTAAGATCTCAGGATGTACGTTGTGTAGCATATGACTTAGGCTAACTTATGACTAGTTACAAGATAGTAGGCCTAGGCCCAGGCAAGAGCCTAGGCCTACAATTGTAGGCCTAAACTTCCCACATCTTTCAGAAACTCTACAGATTTTGGTAAGTTAACCCTCCGAGCGTCCATCGTTGAAAAATCAACCCGCTACACACTTTGTGTAGTGTCACGCGTCGATTTTTCGACGCACGAACATCGTTTACGGCGAAGGCTCTATGACTGACTGAATCGGATTAAACTGGATCGAGTTAGGTATCGTTCTTTCCGTTATATTCTAAGCTTTCTCCAGAGGTCTGTCTCAGCGCTGTATGTTCTCCGAGCCGATCGAAATTGTAGCAGACAGCTGACGTGCGTATTCGTAAACAGCTTGGTTATCCTCGGACTGATGACTGATGTGTTTTATTACGTTTATCATTGTTTTAGTGTTAAAAATCAAAAGTAGTGATATACGTGGTGCATTATAAGAAGATTTAGATTTTGAAGGGCTGGTTGATGATCCTGAAGAAGTACTTAGGTATAGTGATATTGATGTAAATTATCAGCCAGATTCCTAGCTATGGTTAGGCTATGCATTCTTAGCTAAACGCTATGTACTGAAATCCGTTTTCCACTCATAACTTAGCCTATTTATTTGATAACTTACCTCACTATATGATTGGGTATATATTTGTAATCCTCATTAAATTTAGAACAAAGTGGCTATTTTCAAATATTTATAGGCCTTTATACAATTTCATTGAGCGCAAACTTATTTTTTTTTCAATTTTTCCAAAATAATTTTTTTTACCTAAAAAAAATTTTTGAAACAAAAATTCCTTATGTTTTATGTATGATATTGAAGCCCATGATTTTCCAAACAAAATGGTATATAGAACATTAGAATTAACATTGTTTTAAGCTTCTCAGATCCGTTTTAATAAAACCTTGCAAATGCGCCAAAAATAGGTGGACATTAAGGCCTAAACTATAGACACTTGGAGGGTTAATCTGTGACGTTATACAGACTTTGAAAAATTGTTGAATGTTCAATTAAAGAAATCGTAATCTAGTCACTGCCTTGTTCATAAGTATTTCTTTAGATAAACTTAGGTAATGTAATAATGTTTCTACTGAATTATATCTTGTATCTATTTTCCTGTAAGTGCCGTAACTTAGTGCTCACTGTGCCATCTAAATGACCTTTGTATCTTATTTGATTTTTTGTTAATGCCTGATTTGTTTAAGTACAGTACTGTAATTTATCTTTGACTTGTGTTTTTGCAGCATGTAACTTAATAGACTTCATTGATGTAAGTTATCCAAATGCATGTAGGCCTAGGCCTAAGTACATGTCTACTGGAATAAAATAAGTTATTGATTCTTGAATTTAAAAAGTTATAACTTAACTTAGTTAGGGTCTAAACTTAGGCTAAGTTTAAAAGGGCATCAGGCCTATTTTTGCTGCATTACATCTAGGCCTAAGTTTACCTAGGGCCTACTTGGCTTAACTGGCAGCTAGGCCTAGGCCTAAATTATCCACCTTACCCCAAGTTACAACTTCATTAATACCCTAACTTGGTAACTTAGGTAGCCTACTAGCCTAAGATATAAAAGCCCAAACATAATCTGTGCTAAGCCTAAACTTAGGCCCAAAAACTTGTACTATGGTATCCTTATTAGGCCCTACTTATTTAATGTGTTTCTGCATCTTTAGTTAGGCTAAGATGGCTAGCCAGGACAATAAAATAAATTAGTTAGCCTAGGCCTACTAAATGTGTTATCCCTAGCCTCATACAATTTAAAAAATATATATATATTTAGTTAAATCACCACAGCAATCTGAAACGGATATTAAAAGATTGCCAACCACAGAAAAGGTTTGACCATTCCTGCAAGTAGCCATTGAAAGCCCTACCCTTCTCGCATTCTAGGGTTGTTAAGGTAAATTTTCGTAAAAAGTAACTATATTAAGTGATTTCACAATAAAATAAGGTCGTAAAAGGCATTCTACGATGAACAGAATAACTGTGAGTACATCCCTTCGTTAAAGGAGCAAATATAAGATTTTGCGTTTTGGGGTGGAAAAGCGCATTGCCGTTCCAGATAAGACTACGCTGTAGGTGTAAGGGATCTCTGAAGAAATTAAGTACTTACCACGACGTACAGGATCTTAAGTTGTCTTGAACAGTACAAAATATTCGTAAGTTCCGTTAGTAATAGTGGTAGTAAAGTAAAATTTAGTACCTTAAAGACTCTCTTACACTCATGGCGGAAATTGTTGAGACCGAACAGACCTAGCACAATCATTTTCGCGCCGAGCTCAAGAAATGGCGACTTCTTGTTCAGCCAGCGGTATTAATATTTCAAATCAGTAGCAATTACCTCACGCCAAAATATTTTAAAATTGACCAGTGAGCTCACTTTAGCGAATTGTAAACTAAAAATATATTTAGAAATATATTTTACAACAAATATTAGCAAAACTAGATAATTCCTAAACACGTTGATAATTACTCAGCAGAAAATCGAACGATTAAGACGCAGCTTGACTACCGCAGTAAATACTAAAATGAAATAGTTAATAGACTGATCCAGTAGGGGTGGATGTAGCACGGACAACTGGAAAGTAATGATAATCTGAATAGCCCATTACTATAAGAAATGTATCTTACTTTAACAGGGCGTTGTGTATTGTCAAAGGTTTTATCATAGACTAACCAACACAAGTAGACTTCTCATCCCATTGTAAATTTTGAAGCACGTTTTTCGTGTCTAGTTCATGTACGTGACACATGGGCGCTAGTGTCGACGAAACTTTGTTTCTATTATTTTAGGGTTAATTTCTTGATTTGTGCTTTACTGTTTGGTTATATTAGGGGACGGGTTATTGTTTATGATTAGATCGTATTATTTGGTTAAACGAGGTTTTAAATGGCTGTGATAACGGAATGGGCACACGGAAGGGACTAAGGCTAAAGGTGTAGTGACGTCATATCTCTAGTGGTTAATGTCTTCTCTTGAGGCGACACGATTACCGTAACGAAACGATGTGATTTCAGCTGCGTCCGTGGCATAGTTGGTAGCGTTTCGGATTGGTGTTCAGGAGGTCCGGGGTTCGAAATCCACCGGCAGCGCTAAGTTAACTTTTTGTCAACAAATTTTTCATATCAGCAAGTTTGGTTGGTTAGGTTAGGTTATGACAGTTTAATTTTATAATACTAAATTTTAAAATTAATTTTATAATTAATTAAAAATTATAAGTAATCATTAATTAGATTTTTATCTTATATAGTTTTTATATTATCAGCAAGTCTGGTTGGTTAGGTTATGTTATGACAGTTTAATTTTAAAAATTAAAAATTAATTTTATAATTTTAAAACAATATTTTATAATTAAAAAGTTAATTTTATAACAAAAAATTAAAAATTAATTTAAATTTTTTCAACTTAGCAGTCCTAGCGGCGAACGCTGACACTACAAGATATGTTAGCCTTAGTCCCTCCCGTGTGTCCCACCGCTGTAATAACGGGAAACAAATTGTAAACAAAACACGACCTCTACAGAAAACCGTACAGAACTAACAATAAAATTGTCTTCAGCTGTTCCATAAGGATGAGAAATCTACTATGGTTTTATTTATAAATAGTACTGTACACATTAGAGCACAATTATTGAAATAGGCACTACGAGACATATATTGATGTCAACGATTTTACTCATTATGCACCGTGGCATCATGTTTATCCACATGAAAGGCCCTCCACTGTTATGTTCTTCAATATTAGCTCGAGTGCTGACCATTGCGAGCGCAGAGTTGTACGATCTAATGTTCTCTTTCTAGTTTCTGCTCAAATGATTTGCTTCATTATAAGTAGGCTCTGGATATAATAGATTTCTCGGTATGGTGGTAGATTCATTTTAGCAAATTTCCCATGTAGGGAATAAGCTATTACCGTAGGTCTCATGGTAAGACCTAGACCCGGGACCGATTTACTTTTTCATTTTGATGTCCCCAGAGGCCAAAAACACCAATCGTTCAAATTTTTATAAATGTATATATATATATATATATATAGAGAGGGAGAGAGAGAGAGAGAGCGATTTATATATATATACGTCCGTGAACGCGATAACTTGGGTAATTTTTGTCCGCTTTTGATTAAATTTGGTTTAAAGGTGTAAAGCGGGATAAACTTGAATGAGTTCGCGAACCAGCATGATCGGACCATGGGAACGGGGCTTTACGGGGGGTTTTATGGGGTAAAAATTGGTTTTTCTCACTTTTGACCCTCAAAACACAAAATTTCCCAATTTCTCTTTAGACCTTTTTAAAGAGCTTAAAAAAACAAATAATTTAGTATATAAAAGTATTTTTTGTTCGGTATTAGTAACGGAGAAAATTAAAAAAATTGTAAATTTAAAATTCCCATGTTAGGCCTATTCTTATGGAGAGTATTGTCAAATAAATGTTGTAGTTTGCTTGTTTATGGATATATTTTGATCAAACTTGGCAAATTTAATTATTTTGTACTAAGCTATCAATATTTTACTAAAAAACATACTTAATTAGTTCCCTTGTAGCAGCGAACCTAGGTAATCGTTAAACCTAATGTTATTAAAATATATTTAATTGAAAATCAATTCAGACAAATGGAAATTCGCTTAGTCGGCAGGTTTGCTGCGGCAGGGGTATTCTCCTTCTCAAAATGCCTCGCTGTAAACACAGGCATAGATAAAACATACTCCCTTAGTAGATTTCTCATCCTTATGGAACAGCTGAAGACAATTTTATCGTTAGTTCTGTACGGTTTATATAGAGGTCGTGTTTTGTTTACAATTTGTTTCCCGTTAGTTATTACAGCCATTTAAAACCTCGTTTAACCAAATAATACGATCTAATTATAAACAATAACTTTGTCCCCTAGTTATATAACCATCAGTAAAGCACAAATCAAGAAATTAACCCTAAAATAATAGAAACAAAGTTTCGTCGACACTAGCGCCTTTGTGTCACGTACATGAATAGACACGAAAAACGTGCTTCAAAATTTACAATGGGATGAGAAGTCTACTTGACTTGTGTTGGTTAGTCTATGACACAGGTCATTGATAGAGGGCCAATTGAGAACGAAAAGTCGTTTTGGGGTAGTGTTAAGGCGCATTTGTAACCTAATAGTTGAGATTGTCCTGGGTCAGGTGCTGGCTGTGATGAGTTAAGCGGGAGTATGTTTTATCTATGGTTAAGCCTATTACGCGCCACTGTTCTGTACCTGCGGTAGTTATCACGATTACGCCTCCTGTCTATGTTTCGTTGTCGTTATTATTGTAATTCATCTAATTATAACATACTTACATTACTTTAGTTAAGTGCAATTTTGTGTTAACTTATCATTGCATATCAGAGTGTTTAGTATATAATTATCATTCTTATAGATCAGCTGAAGACAATGTTGATGTTATTTTTGTCCGGTCCCACTGGTGTCGTGATGTTGTTAGCAATTTGTTCATTATTATATTAATACTAGTTCAACCAAATTAACTGATTTAATTATAAACAATAGATTGTCATCTTATTTATTTATTAACGCGAAGTACACATTATAAAATTAACCCTATAATAAACAAAATGTCATCGTCGCTAGTACTTAGGGTCACTAAAATATGAAGTCCCCATAAACAAATAAGTTTCAGATTTTACAATGGAATGAGAAGTACACTTGTGTTAGTTATTCTATGATTCTTTGCAATATGGTAATATCCACAAACGTTTCCATAGTATTACATAATCAACGATCATAGGAGCTGACCACATGGTGATATAGCAGCCATCGATGGTAGCAGCATGGTAACGGCCAGCCTGGAGACTTAAAAATTAAAGGACTTCTTCTTCTTTCCAAGGCCGCTCGTTTCCTGTTTAAATAAACAAATAAATAACATCAAACGGAATATAACAACTTTCTTTTGTTATTGTTTCTGTTTTAGAGCAATCTCAAACATCAAGAGAAATCATAGATTGAAGCTGAAATCAATTACAATGAATGCAATCAAATGAATTTATTATGTTAATGCAAATGTGGTATGAATATAACTTTATTTACAAAAGTAACTTGCATAAATGAATAGTTTCAAATAAGAGCTGTTTGAAAACACCAAAGAAACAAAACATGGATTATAATTTATCTTTACACCCAGATCTTATTGATGACATGATTGAAGAATTGTTTGAGATTGACATCATTAGTCAAGATCAAATTAAAAAGTTAAAATGTTATGATAAACCCACTCATGTTGATCCAAACATTTTAATGGAAGTAAGACATAAAGAGGTACGTTTAGAGTTAAGTTTACATAATAATATTGGTAGGCCTAGGTTGAGTTGGAAATGATTATTTTAACTTTGTGATTGGTAAAGTGATGCCTATTAAGTTATGTAACGTTCTGTTATTTAATGGCAAATAAATATTTTTAACATTTCTTTTATACTTAGTGATCTTGAAAGAAATGCTAGAGAAGAAGTATAAGTTAACTTATTCTTGGGGTGTGTGAAGCAACTGGTTAAACAAATGAAAGCAAAGTGGTCCCGAACTTATATAGCCTAGGCCTAAGTTATAAGCTAACTTAAAATTAATTAAAATTGAGTTAGGCCTAGGCTACCTAACTCAAGTAAAAATAACTTAGGCCTACTTAACTGTATACTGAAGCATTGTTATAAGTTACAATAAATTAAAGGATACAGAGAAAATTCCACAAAAACTGTCGGCCTAAATTTAAAATTCCCATGTTTATTTTATTTATTTATTGCCAATGGATTTCACCAATTTACAATATATATTGAATTACAAAATGTTACGGTACTCATAGTGAATGAATATACTTAGTAACAAGCAATATTGAGGATACATGCAAAAACTAGGACAGTAAAAAAACTAGGAGTACCAAATTATGTTGTTTATTCAGATTTTATGTAGGTAATATAAATAAAAGGATTCGACAAAAAATCTGTAGCATGAAACAGGTTAAATTAAAGTCTAACAATAGGCTAGCAAGAAAAACATTTATTAATACAGTACCAAAAAAATACACATATTTTTATATTTATAAGTTAACTATAGCTGTTACCCACGGGCTTTACCCCTTTGACTTCATAAGTATTAACAAAACTATTGATTGGTTAAGTTAAGCTGAAATAAACAAAACAGAATACAGTACAAACGAAATAAATAATCACACCTGATTTTAATAAGGTAGCCTAATAAATTTTAAGAATAATAAACAAATAAGTACAGCTGAGGTATTTTTAACATTACCCTAGGTATTTTAAAGTTAGGTTTCCCTTTGGAAAGGAATTACGACCTTAAAGGGCAATTTATGAAATAATCGTTTGGAGTTTGGATAGATTTGCGCAAGGTTTCTCGTCATGACGAACACTTGTAAGTATATGTTTAATGGGAGTGTGACTTTTAGTTTTCTCAATAGTTAATGGGTACTTTGGGATTTATATATATGGATTGGACTCCTGGCTTCTTAATTACCTCAACATTGACAGCCTATGATAAGAGGCTAACTTATCATGTTTAAAAAGTCCATGAATTTTATGTCAATTATAAAAAAGAAAATGGGGGACCATGTTTTACCTTTTATCTTTGATGTCTTCACCACAGTCCGTAGATCGGGGAATCGTCATGGTTCTTTCTGTCTGGACACTGGACGGGTTTTCACGAAGTGAGCTGACGTGTGAGTGTAAGAATTTTCTTCTATGTAGCCTACTCATTGATATTGTATGGTCTATTGGTGAGGTATTTTTTCAGTTGTCGGACAAATGTTTTGTTGTTGTGTAGACGTTTAATTCGTTGTGGTGGAAAATTGTAAAATTTTGATCCAGTATATTGTGGTGTAGGCCTATTGCTGAATTTAGAGAGTCTGTGTTGGGGTAGATCTAAGTTTGCTTTGTGTCTTATTGTGTGTAAATAGTTTTTGTCTGCGGACTGCTGTTAAGTTTATGGAGTAAATGATGGGTTCGGTTTCTAGGATTTAAAAGTGATGTCATGTTAAGGATGTTAAGGCAGATGAAGTGTGTGGTTTGCAATGTTCATACGGGTCCAACCTCAGGATTTTTCTTACGGTCTTTTTCTGTAGAATTAGTAAATATTCTTTTGAGATTTTATACTTTTTTGATAGTTATGGCCCCTCTCTGAACTTTGCACTTGGCCCTGCACCACCCAGGCCAGCTTGACATGAACATTTTATAACTGTTGATCAAATTACAAACTTGTTCATTTTCTATGAACTTAAGAAAAATTGTGTTTCAGGTGAAGAAAGAATCTCTGGTTGATATTAGTAACGAGAAGAGTATTCAAGATGAAACTAAAGTGTGAGTAAGCATCCTACTGTTTCTTATAGTTATACATTTTTAGTATTATAAAAACTGCTGTTGGACATTTTCTTTTGGTGTCATTTTAGCATCTAGGCCTAAGTTACAGTTGTAGACTTGTGCTGGTCAAGACAGGGCCCTTGACAAGACGATATTCGGCAGTATTCTTTATAAATTACACTGGTCTCTCTCTTTAAAAAGGTCTAGAGAGAAATTGGGAAATTTCGTGTTTTGAGGGTCGAAAATGAGAAAAACCATTTTTTACCCCATAAAATTCCCCGTAAAACCCGGTTCCCATGGTCCGATCATGCTCCAAACGCATTCAAGTTTATCCCGCCTTATAGGCCTACCTTTAAACCTTGGAAATTTCATCAAAATCGGACAAAAATTACCCAAGTTATCGCGTTTACGGACGTATATATATATATAGGCCTATATATAAATTTGAACGAATGGTGTTTTTGGCCTCTAGACACATCAAAATGAAGAAGTAAATCGGTCCCGGGCCTAGGTCTTACCGTGCCACCTACGGTAATAGGTACTTCATCCCTATAAGGAAATTCGCTAAAAGTATTTTTTGGATCCAATTTGATTATACAACAGTTTTAATGGATTCTCAATTTATCAACATTTTACTTCCGACCCTGATATCTTAGCCTGCAAAAAAAGGTAGGCCTAGATATTTTGTATTTGTTTTCATTAATATGGATGCAAACTTAAAAAGATAAGTTGATTTTGGAATTTCTAAATTTGTAAATTTAGAGATTAGGCCCTACAAAACCACCTAGACCTTTTCTTAGATAGCTCATACCGTCTTACTGTACTAAACATTTTCTTTTTAAAAATAAATGCCATAACAAGGTCTTAAGTAGTAAGAACAAGATTAATAGGACTTTTTGATATAAATATCCAAGACTGTTACCTGTATCCCAATTGATAATTTAGGTTTTAATTTAATTTGTAACAAATTAAATTTCTATATTACTCAAACTATCTCCTAGCCACTATAAGTAAATTAAATAGTTTATACTTAAATTAATCAGAATACATTTAAATTTATCAGACTAGCATTTTAATCAATAAATTAAAGTCTTAAAATAAGTGTTATTTGGTTATATTACTTAATTCTAAACTTTATTATCTTTTAGGGGATGTGGAGTTTTACCCTGGTGTATTAAGAACTTAAATTTGTTTGTAAAGACAATTGTTTTAAATTTTCAGGAAGAAAGTGAACATTCATCAAGATCCTAGTATAAAAGTGAAAGATTTAAAGACTATCGACAAGGAAATTTCTAATACCAGAAAGTGCTTAGAAGATTTCAAAAAGAAACTTGAACAGAAAAATGAAGATTTACAACATTCAATTCTAGACTTAGAAAAGGAAGAAAAAAATAATGGTTTTGATGAATGTTCAGACAAAAAAGAACACTATTATTCTTCTGTCGTAGAAAAACTGAATAGAGAGGAAAATGTGAAATTTTTCAATTTACATCTTGATTGCCTTGAAGATGCCATTCAGAAGAGCCATCCAGTAGATAGTGTGGAAGCCTGGATACCTGTTGAAGTGAAATCGCCAGTGGTAAATGTCACAACATTAAGCGAATATGATGTCATTCAAGGTTTACTTGATGATACAGAGGAAGTACAAAAGGATTTACAAATGTATGAGTTACAAACAGATTATTCATCAGAAAAACTAACTATAGGCCCACACAGCAATTATATACTAAACAGTTCCCCAACTTTTAATGTCAGTATTATTCTCGATGATAACAAGCTATCTTCAAAACAAAGAGAAACTATTCAAAAGGCTGTAAGGACATGGAAGTTGTATGTCAAGAAGATCAAAATACAAAAGTGGTATAATTTAAAAGCATCAAAAATAAAAATCAATTTGCTTAAGAAATATGTTTCTCTGTGGATATTTTACACTAAACAATCCAAGCATAGAAAGGAAACATGTTTGACTACAACCTCTGATACCCTAGAGATTGTACCTACTAAATGTTGTTTTAATCAAAAAAGGTTTGGTAATTTGTACAAAACTGAATCTGAGGTGCACCAAGAGCAAATCAAGATCAATGAAGTAAAAACCAAACCTGTTATCAAGGCAAAAAAAAATGAAACTGTTTCCAAAAAAGTGGTTATCTCCTCTAAAGAAAGAAATCAAGCAAGTAAATCAAACCGACTAGAAAATTCATCAGATAAAATCGAGATTCATGTGAAAACCTTTACACCTCAAGATGTTGGATTGGCACAGCAAACTAATAGTGTAAGTCAAGGTTGTAAAAAACCATCAACAAATCGAGACCATGAGACCAAAAATCTTACTTTCAGAAGTATGGGGGAGCCAATAATACACAGGTTTGAGGCTCAAGAAAAAATAATCAAACAACAAAGGGAAGTGATAGAGAAACAGAACCGGATTATTTTTGATTTGCAAGCAAAGTGCTTAGAAATCGAATCCAAACTGAATTGGACCTTAGCAGAGAGACAACTAGCAGAGGCTGAAAATTGCAACAAAATAGTTTCTAAGCATTTGGCTATAACTGACCGAAAACAAGAATGTAACTCTGACAGCAAATATTCAAAATCCAAGGTTGAAGAGATGCTGAACACCAATAGCAAAACACAGAATAAAAGTGATAAAATTGTAAAAAATATGCTAGAAAGACAAGCCTATTGTTCTCAGTTGGCTGAACAAACAAAACAAAGAAAAAAGCGAATAGAAGAAGAAAAGGAGAGATTAAAATTAGAGCTAGAAGAGAAGCAAAACAAAGATAAGGAAGAGGAACGAAAGAATAGAATCATGCAAAAAAAATTGGAACAGGAAATAGCCAGAGAGAAAGAAAGAAATGCTGTTGCTCTTAAGAAAAAGGAAGAGGAACTTTTGGACAAAGCTCTTAATCATTATACCTATAAACTGAAGCACAACACTTTTATCATAATGAAATCAAAACATTTAGAACTTTTGGCAAAATATGAATACAGTGACAGGTTTTATAAACTTAAAGTAGTACAGAAAATGATCCATATTTGGAAAGACAAAACTAAACATAGTATTCAGAGGAAGAATGAGTTTGCAGAGCATTACTACAATGATAAAATACTGAAGTTGGCTTGGAACGTACTTAGAAAGGTAATATAACCTTTTAATTACTACGAATAACACTTGAATGTTTATACACATGCTGTATGTATAAGTGTGGATCTCAAAAACAGGATACTTCTTTTAAAAAAACTAAGATACACTTGGTTGTGTTGTACTTGTAATGCTCGCCTTCAAATCCAAATTTTCTTTAAGATAAGAAATTGAAGCCGGATTTTCCTAGGCGCGGAAGTGGAGCACGGAACACGTAACGCGGACTCCACTTGTCTTAGGCAATTAAATGTTTCTGTTTTCCTGAAGCGGAGCGGAACACCATGTTAATCTCTTTTCCGCTTTTCGCGCTCCTCTTCCACACCTAGGAAAACCCGGCTTTACTTATAGCTACCATTGGGCTATTAATTAGGGATACTTCCTAACAGTATATTGGTGAATATAGTAACCAGGATTAGGCCATATTTAAAAAATAAAAAAACTAAAACATATTTCTGGCTAATAAGACACAGTGTTTAGTGATCATATTACGAGGAAATCCCAAGAACAGGTCCGAGATAGTTAGAAATCATTATTATAGATTTTGGTTACAGACAGGATCTAATTTTAACACCACTTACCAACAGTGGCGGCGACAGCCGATTTCATGCCGAGCAGAGCCTGGCCTACAAGCTTGTGAGATCAAGCACAAAGTTAGTAAATCAAGCTCGATTCAATTTTCTTAGTACTCAATACAGTAATGCCCAATTAAAAGTAAAAGCTTTTACGTCCGCAAGGATCACACTCACGAAATTGAAAGATTAGGCCTACGCTTTTTTCCGCAATCGCGGATGTCCCTGCAGGGTGACATTGGTGACAATGACGATGTCTCCGCGGCCACAGGAGGTGTTCAATATTTGGCCGCAATTGGGGAAGACGATAATGACGTTTCTTTTCCCTTGAGAGATATATCTAGGATTTCACTGCGATTGCGGAAAAATAATTTCCCCATCACCACGGGTCGCGGTAGATATTAAGGATTGGGCCGTAAACGCGGGAGACGGTAATCTTGTTATCTGATGATGCCATACGTTTGGTTGCAATCACGGTAGACTATTATAATGTTTCTTCCATGGCTACAAGAAGTATTCACGATTTTTCTGTGATCATGGAAGACGATGATGACGCCTCAGGAGATGCCGTGCCAAGCTAAAGTGTAAGTTTAGGCAGTAATACGTGGGTGTGATAATGTTTTTAACAATTATTAGGAGAGGGGGGCCCGGCAAACAAACTTTGGGGGGGGGGGGGGGGCACGGGCTCTTATCGCCGCCACTGTTACCAACAAAATTACTATATCTTACAAATACATTTTTTTCATACAAGTTTTTATACAAACATTTTTCCATTGATCAGATTTAGTTGTTTTAAAACTTCTTTCACTACTTGGCAGTTGAGAAAATCATGTATAGATAATAGCGATAGGTAATCAATTGAGTATGTGATTGTACACTTTATTTGTGTCGATTGAGCTCATCTTCTTATTTATATGTGGAATTACGGATTGATATTATTTAAGCCTAATTGGCACTTTTCAGCTTCATTTGGACTACAAGCGTAGACTACAAGTCAGCGAGGATTTGTATAACTTGAAACTTCAAGAACGAATGTTCCACAGATGGCAAACATTTGCAGCTCAACAATTTTTACAGGCTTGTTGTAAAATTGAACTTGCTGAGCGACTACACCAGCGGTAAGTGTACCTTGGAAACAAAAATAACAGATGAATAATAACGATTCAAGAAATATTGAGTTAAGCATATTTGGTTGTGTGGATTATCAAAGGTAATATATAATATTTTTACTGTAGTCTAAATTAGGGGCTTTGGCCCCTACAGGCCACTAGTTTTACAATAATTGTCGTGAAATGTGAATATGAGATATTCTCTGCAGCGGTGAGTATTACTTATTGGAGTTTTATTGTTATACTAGTATTTCTGATTGATTGATTGATTCACTAAACACTACTAATGAGTTGTTTCAGAAAAGGTGTTCTATAGTTCAGCTAGCTTAATTTGAGAAATCCAGACTCCAAAGGCTCATGTATATAAGCAAAAAGGTTAAATGAAACTGATGTTATGTCTAATTATAGAACTTCTTCAGAGAGTAGCTTGGTATGGTACAAAATGTTTGAAGTGGAAAAAAAGCTGAGAAAAGCAGACATTTCTCATAAATTTACATCTTAAAAATATCCTATAGCCTACTAGGACTCGATATTAATAAAGATAAATAAACCCTTGGAATATTTCTCAGAAGAACTAGGTGACATGGTTTTTGTCTCAATGCAATCATTCTGTTTCTAGACATTTGCTGAGACACTATTTTCGCTACTGGAGAGAACTTCCTAGACTCATGTTCAAAGAGAGAGAGAAAGAACAACGCCGTCGTCGTTGGCGTGAGACTGTTCAACAGCTGATTCCTGACTTTACTCCTGCCTATGTAGATTAAGCTAACAGGTTAAAACCTCAGAACAAACAAGGGGCTAAGGTGGTTATATGAATCGTTGATTTGATTGAATGTAACATGTTTAACAAATTGGAAATACTTTAGGGTTGAAAAAAAACTTACAGTTTTCAACAACAATTTATTAACATCATAAAACAGCTTATCTCTTCTAAATGCCAACATCAATGAGGAATGTAGAGAACATAAGTAATAAAATAGATTAATTCATTTCAGATATGTAACATGGTATAATTACGAGGATGAGTTCAAAACCGTGAGTCCGATCCAAACTCTACGTTCCTTGTAATGTGCTTGTCTAAAAATTAAACTGCAAATTAAATAATTTTAAATAATTAAATTGATTTTTTAAAATAATTAATCAATCAATTTTGTATGGACTAATGCAAGTATCTGTTCACTTTTAGATACTGTCAAGAGTTCATAGTAGCATCGACTATTGGATACTAGAAAAAGTAAATGTACCTAATAAAGAAAAAAAACTTTGTATTATCGGTACAATTTTAAAGTAATAAATAACTTTTCTAAAAATTTTCTACCACACTGCTATTGTTGTTATTACAATAATGATTTGAAAAAAGCACTCAACAAGTGGTTGCCAGAAATCCTAAGACTTGTGAATCACTGACTTGCTACTACTATATTTGGATAAAACAATGTAAACTAATAAACTATAGTCCACAAGTTTCAACCAAAGCTCTAGACCTTTTCAGATTGACTAGATGAAGTTAAAAAAACACCGTCTTGAGCCTGCAAAACTTTCCATTAGTCCCTTGGCGCATATTTACTTTAACATGTTATATTTAATCAATAATACGAGTAGTAGGTACCGTAGCCTACCGTGAACAAATTTATAAAAAAAAAATTTAAAATGATATTAAAAGCACTAATAGCATTTGAACTCAATTATCTTTGCTCATTAATTTTAACTAGTGTACATGTTGCTCGAAATCGAGCAATTGCAAAGAAGTACAGGAGTTACATATAAACAAATGACTTGTTAAAAAACTAATAACAGTCATAATTTCCGATGATTTTAAAAGAGTCAACTAAAAGATTATTAACTAATGGAAATACTCACAATTTACATAACAGTCCTATTCCAGTTTAAAGGGTTATTTTTTAACTATCAAACTGCCCATGGACGGGAAATGGTAAGCTTACAATTTAAGTCAAAATAAAAAGTCTGTCAGCTTTTATAATGTACTGTACCTAAGTTATTTAGCCAATTTGTAGACAATAAGGTGTAGGCTACAAACTCTACAGAACTCTCATGCTTCCATGGGGAGCAACTAATTATTAATATTTAATTCCTGACAACAGCTGGAGTTTCAAAACAATGTTTGTTTCCCGTGTTAATCTTATGGAGAAATACGAAACTTTAAAGGGTCCCAGGGCCTCACTCTCTAATTATTTACCTAAAAAGAAAGTTTCCTGCACAACTTCACGTTACGCTCTTTCCAATGACACCAAAAACATGTCAATCGGTTCAGTAGTTTCGGAGGAATAATTGTCACAAAAATCCTGCTTGCGTATTAAATAAGTATAGATACTATTACACAATGGATGACAAATATATATATAAATATAAATAAATACTATACACTATACACATTGACATAATTTATAATAACTATAACAATTATGACAGAATTTAAACAAACACGACAAGCATCATAAATTAAAATAGCATTGTTTTCTAATCCATGAAAATATTATAGTAAAATCAAATAATGGTTAAAAATAATGGTATGAAATTCATTTTAGGCTGCAAAGTTAGTAATTTTGATCCATACACATTATATTATTAAAGTTAAAAACTAAAAACTATAGAAATGAACTCTTCCTTCTGATAAGGGAACAATCCTATCCTTACCCCCCCCCCCCCCCTTTAACAGTCAACAGTATTAATATTAGGTAATGTTTGCACCCCTCACCCATGAGTAGCTGTATTCCACTAGGGAGGTGAGCCTATCAACCAGAAGTTGTACAACAAACACGACAAGCATCATAAATTAAAATAGCATTGTTTTCTAATCCATGAAAATATTATAGTAAAATCAAATAATGGTTAAAAATAATGGTATGAAATTCATTTTAGGCTGCAAAGTTAGTAATTTTGATCCATACACATTATATTATTAAAGTTAAAAACTAAAAACTATAGAAATGAACTCTTCCTTCTGATAAGGGAACAATCCTATCCTTACCCCCCCCCCCCCCCTTTAACAGTCAACAGTATTAATATTAGGTCATGTTTGCACCCCTCACCCATGAGTAGCTTGTATTCCACTAGGGAGGTGAGCCTATCAACCAGAAGTTGTACAAGAGAAATAATATATTTCTAAAGGTTAATAGCATAACATAAAATAAAGTAAAGTCCTTGATAGTAATGCAATAAATGCATTGTACCTAGGGCTTTGTATAAAAATATGATTGTCAATTTATGTTTCATAAAAAGAAAAATCTAATTAGGCTATATAAAATATGAAGTATAATTAGTTGGGTAGCAGTTAAAATTTGACAGTAACTCAATTTTATAATAAAAAAATAAACTCCAAACAAATAAACTGATAATAAATTTCTACGCAATGTTCTAAACATTACTAGAAAAGCTGCTTGCAACAGTGCAAGTGTTAAACAAATAGTTGGTCTCTATGGTAGCCTCAGGATTCAATTTCAGGGGAGGGATGCCCCTCTTCTACCTGGTAATGTAAAGCCTAAAAACGTTCAGGCCAAAAAAGGGTCCACCCTGACATTTAGTGGGGGGGGGGGGGGGGGGGGCGAATCACCCAATCCCTACCTGGGACTGCTACTGGAAATAGAAACTACAAAAACTGTGTCTAAAACACAAAAAAGGTGTAAACTACAGAATTGTGTTTCTAATTATTAATTTTATTGGTTTTGTATTTTTTGTGTAAAGAAAAAAATCAAGTGAAAAATAAACAGTTTCAGAAACTGACCATACTTTCTTCTCCTCAGGCATAAATCTAAAGCTTTTAATTATAGATCATACAATTCTTCTGCAAACGTAAAAGAACAGTTTTTAAACACTCACAAAAAAACTAATGAAAATTTCAATTTGTCAAAATAATGATGTTGATATAATTCTTAGCTATATTAATAACTTATTAATATATTATTAATTGGAAGGAAGCCTGTTTTTCGTTTGAAATTGCAGTCAGTGACTGTTTAATTTGTGTGAGTCTTGAGTGTTTGTGTTTATTATGCAATTAGGAACTCTTTCTCATTCAGCTATGCCTGCTAATAACAAGTATTTTACCATCACAGGTCCTTATGCTCATTTTAAATTATTAACCTCAATTTTTCATTAGGTTGGTTTACTATATTTAAAAAAAGCAATAACTTCTGGACGAACGTTCTTACACAGTTGTGATTAGTTAAGTTCGCAGTAAATATTTTGAGTAAAACTAAACCAACAAATTTAATCTGACTTTGTAAGAGGTGTTTTTGAGAAACTTTTTTCTGATGTGTTAAATGTGGTCAATCGCCATTAAAAAAAAAAATCCTGAATATACTATGGTTTATATATCAAATTCCAGAACCCGACTGGAAAATACATACATAAATACATAACTCGCGGCATTTGTGTTGAGTTTGGGTACATGCCAAATTCAGCAAAATCTTGGTTATAATACTTAACTGATAGTCTTGTTATTACCTGTTAATTTAAATTCAATGACTGGCGTCTGTGTGGTGTGTCTTGGCATTTGCACAACTTCTTAGAAATGAATTATATGCACCTAGACCAACATAGTGAGCAAATATAAACATAGATATGTTTAAATAGTGAAATGGCTAATGGAGTATCACCTGAAAAGGCAACTTTATTGTCAGGTAAATTTGTTTTGTGATGAAAGCTAAATGTTAGAATTCAAATTAATAGTTTGTCAGAACGTAGCTATTCACTTATCCTGATGAGCAACAACAATAAAATAGAAAAGTATAAGGTAATACTTTTGCAGTTAACACAAAGACAAATTTATAACAAAAAGGAACACATTTTTTTAAGGGTCCCCACATAATTAAGTTTTATGAATGGGGTTAAATATCTTAAAAATGTTTTATTTACTTTTCTTGTCAATCTTTAAAACTGCTAACTCTTAAAATCAGTTATAAGTTAGGAGTTTTCAAGATATGCCAGATGGGTGCAGACACTCAACTTTCTGACCCAAAAAAACAATGAGAGGAGGAAAAATTAAATTTAGAAAAACCAAAATTTTACCCCTCAAAGATAAATTAATCCAACAAACACTAAATTTAAAATATGGAAACACTAGTGACTAATATAAAGTCTTTTTCAACCTAAGGCAAGAAGGTTCTTCTGTATGCATATTGTCAAATAAATATTCCCTAAAACTTGTTGTAGTATGTTAAAAAATGTAGTAAACTATTTCAAAGGTCCTGTCAAAAAGCAGTCAGAGTATTTAAACCTTTCTTTGCAGGTTAAAATAAATTTAAGTTAAGCTCTCCTAAACTGTAATTTTACTTTCTAGTTATTTAAAGTGGGTCAATCCAGCAGACTTCTTATGGGTGTGGGAACCCTTAAATGAACAAAGTACAGTTAGTACAGCTTAGGAGCTACATCAACAAATAACTTAGGACAGGGTAAGCGTCGCTATGGCAATTTTGTTCAGCCAGACTTAGCAATCAGGTTGTTTAGTTTTGGCTGGAACCACTCTTCAATGATGGCATTTACCATCTCCTTCAGAACTGCCTTTACTTCATCTATATCTCTGAAAAACACAGAATAGTTGTACAAAATTACTAACCCTTAGAAAGGGATTTTAAATTTAACCATGCCTATTTTTACAGTTCACACTCAATAGCCGAACAGACTCAGGTGGTCGGACACTGCTCTAAATGAGTCATTTTACACCATCAATATCACTACAAGTAATGGCATTTTAGACTCGTCGGAAGGTGACCTAGAAGAGTACAAGTTATTCAACCAAGTACAAGTACCAATCATTCCTCAATAATATTTTTCCTGAACACTTAAAATATGCTGAACTAAAACTTCTTTTCAAAAATGGACATAGACAAAATCCAGACAATTATCGTCCAGTTTTCTTTTACCATTGTTCTCAAAAGTTTTTTAAAAATGTGCTTCTTATCAAATATTTTCATTTCTGGAAACCCACAATATTTGTTCTAACAAGCAGTTTGGGTTTAGAAAGGGTCTCGGCACCATGAGAACACTCTCAGACTTGGTTGAGGAGGTGTCACGGGCCTTGGATGGGTCACATAGCACAATGGGTGTGTTTTGTGACTTATCCAAGGCGTTTGACTGTGTCAATCATGATATACTCATTTAAAAAACTAGAATTATATCCCTTTTCTGTAAATTTAGTATCATAGTTAAAATCTTACATAATAATCGCCATCAGAGAACAGTCATTTGTAAGAATAATTTAAAATCAAAATGGCAAAAAATTAAAAAGGGTGTGCCTCAAGGTTTGATTTTGAGGCCACTTCTATTTCTTATATGTATTAATGATCTTCCAAACAATGTTTCAAATAATCTAATTCTCTATGCAGATGATACTACTGCAGTAGTTGAAACAAAAAAACAATGATGAATTAAAACATAAAATTGAAGAAAGCCTAACAGAATTGGGGAAGTGGTTTGAGATCAATGGTTTGAAAATGAATGAAGAGAAAACCAAATTTGTAAGATTTTATACAACTCAATCAGTTGCAATCATTGATCAATTCCAACCAACTCATGATAATGTAAAAGTTTTAGGGCTGTATATTGATAAACATTTGACCTGGAGTAAGTGCATTCAGTCAGTAATTGGAAAATTAAATCCAGCTTGTTTTCAAATATTGTGCTTAAGAAATTCCATAGATTTAAAAACTTCTATCATGCTATATTATGCATACTTTTATTCAATAGCAAAAAATGGAATTGAATTTTGGGGATTTTCCTCTGAAATTGAAAGAACTTTTAAAATTCAAAAGAAAATTATAACAATTTTTTACCATGGAAATCTTCATGCAAACTGTTTTTAGAAAATTTAATATCATGACTATTCCAAATTTAATAATTTTACAAAAGATTGTTAGCAGTGCAGTCAAATTTTGATGACTATACTAGTGAAATCTTTGACCACATTTATAACACCAGATTTAAGAATAATTTTCAATACCCCAAACACCGTTTGAAGCTTGTAGAAAAAACTTCTAAATATATGCGGAAAAAGCTTTTTAATAAATTACCCACAACTCTAAAAACTTTAATACCTAATTCATAATAAATCTTTCAGGGCCGGCCCCAGGGGTGGGCGGACCGGGCGGTCGCCCAGGGCGGCGGGGCCGGGGCGGTGCCGTGGCGGGGAAGCCGGGGGCGGTGGTACTGAGGCGGCAGAGCCAGGGCAACAAAAAAATTTTAGGGAACAGTAAATTTTTAATACGAATAAAATAATAAATTCATTAAGTGAATGTGAAGAGTACAATTATCTATATTACATTTTACGCAAAGAACAAGCTTGAGAAGATAAACGGCAATTCAAACATCGATTTAAAATTATAATTTAAGCTCAAATATAAAAACAAACCACTCGGCTTGTGTATCGAAAAACCGTCACCACCACGTTACGCCACCGTTACCCAGGACGAGTGACAGCGTCAAAGCAACATTGCAGCGGTTGGGATTGACCTCGACGTATTCCTCTCTCTCTATCTGCCCCCTCCCACGACGTTGTGTCTACTTTACTATTGATTATTTTGGTAGCATGGGCTTCCATTCCCTTCGAGAGAGAGGAGTTGCAAAAATGAGATATTTTGCATCTTTTTATCTTAATAAACAATGTCCTAATTTGCTTCAACAATTAATAACATAGCCGTTTTGGCGGAAATCCAAGATGGCCGAAAGTCCTGACGACTCTTAGGTCAGATTTTAGACAAAAACCAAAAAATAATTGATATCTGCAACTGTTAAGTCAGAGTTCAGGGAGACACCATAATTCGGCGATCGCTCAAGGAAGGGGTGGAGCCCAGGAGTAAACAATTAGGCGGGACAGTGGCGTAGATACGGGGGGGGGGGGGATCAGGGGGATATATCCTCCCCTTCAACCTATAATGGGTAAAAAAATTGTAATAACATTTAAAAAATAATGTTTTAACGTATGCAATGAAATAGTGAACCTTTTTAATTTTACTTCTATTGTATTAAGCTTGTTTTTTGAATAAATCGTAAATAAACTGCAATGCCAGTGAAAGTAGTACGGTTTTTGCGCGCCAAACAGAGTACAGACACAAGTCACGGAAGGTCAACAGCCTTGGCCTATCCGCCCCTCCCCCTACCACCACCACTTCACCTTTTACACATACCTGAAATTAATCGTTAAAACGTGAGCAATAAAATAGTTAATCATATGTCATGCCTATTGTACTAAGCTTGATTGTTTGTACGTATACTTTCATTAACGATGAATAAATGGTAACAGATAAACTACATGCCGGTAACCGGTAGCAGTGGTGGGGTGGGATATTTGCGCGCCAAACAGACGTGAGTCACCGGACGTTCCGCGTTCAACCGCCCATCGACACCCTTCTCCTCTACCCCGTCACCCACACTACGCTTGATCTGTTGTCTGGTGTTAATTATTGTGCCAGTGTGTTTTTATGATTTTCGTATTCCGTGGTGTTTCATGAGTGTTATTTTATGTCGAAACAAAGTAAACTGATCGGATTTTTTGCCCCGAAAAGAAAAATTTGATGGCGTTAGCTGGTGTGGCAATGGAACAACGAAGTTAAGTGATTTTATTACTCGCCTTTGAAATAAATTTTTTTTAATAGGCCAAGTTCCGTTAACATATTAGCCTAATCAAAATATTCAGTGTTAAAGGATAGAGAAACATAATGTTAAATGTTATTATATAACAAAAAGCCTAGCCTAAGTAATTAACAAATAAATGTAATAAAAACTAGTCCACATGCAATTAAAGCAAAAAGTTTAATTTCATAAGTACAAAATTGCATAAAATTGTATTAAGTATTAACACCAGATTTCACTTCCTAAACACTTAAAAATAGTGTTTAGAGAAGTTATTTTTCTCTAATGACCCCCGGACCCCCCTTACTTGCTGGATGGTATTCCATACCCACCAGACCCCCCGGGGGGCGGCGGCAGCCAATCTCGCCCAGGGTGGCAAAGTCCCTAGGGCCGTGCCTGAAATCTTTTAAAAGCAGCCTTGCTGATTTTCTAACTAGTAAAACATATTACAGTGTAAATGAATACCGCACCTTAACGAAACTCATGAAACAATATGACTTAATTTTGTACAAAGTTCTTATTTGTCTTACTCTTACTATTCATAGAAATTAATTTTTTACTTTTATTGTTCAGCAAATTTTTCCAAATTGTTTAAAGGTTTTTTAGATGTTTACTCAAGGGAGGTAGGTATAGATGAGCCTACGATGACGGCTGTGGGCTTCTGATTGGCTGAGGGAACACCATTACCGCAACAATCGGGTGTGGAGCCAGCAGCCTCGTTGGTCTAATGGACAGCCTGCGGGGCTGATAAACTGAAGGTGCCAGGTTTGAACCCCACCGTTAGCACTAACTTTTTGTCTAAGATTTTTTCATTATCAGCAAGTTTGGTTAGTTTGGTTAGGTTATGACAGTTTAATTTTTTAATTAAAACATTATCAAATTGAGTCTGAGACATCTCTAGTTTTATTTTATGAACAGAACTATTTTTTCGATTAGCAAAACTTCATTCGATTTTTTCAGTATCATCAAGTTTGGTTAGGTTATGACAGGTCAATTTTATAATAAAAAAAAATATAAAATTGAATTTGAGGCATTTATAATTTTATTTTATGAACAGAACTATTTTTTCGATTAGTAAAACCTTCATTAGGCTAAAACCAAAGTGCTCTCTACTACAGCGCTGTTCACGGAGGAATTTTGAACCTTAACTATGATGTCATCGATGCCTCATTAATAGCTCCCGTAAGCCAGTCCCGTGTAATAAAAGACATATTATTGTATATTTTAGGTTAGTTTTTAATCTTGACAATGTCATCTGTTTTTTAGCTATGATATGATTTAAAACGTTATGTGAGAATAAAAAATTATTTATTTAGTTAAGATTCTTCCATTTTTGGCTGATGTTTAATCCTAATTTAATAACAGGATGAAAGTTAGACTGTGCTTTATTCCAGCAACCCACGCTGGCCATAGCAATTCTTAATCATCAACGGCGTAGCATTTGCATCCACTGTCCGTCCAAGTAAACTACCTTGAAACCAAGGACGGATTAAAGGGGGGGGTGGTGGGGGCGACCGCCCCCCCGAGGCCCAAGAGACAGAAAAAAATTTTTAAAGGAACGCACGGAAAATAAATACTCGTTGTAGGTCTGCAAAAGAAAGATAAAATATTTTGTCTGTGGTAAAACTATGGTTAATTTACGGTTTTAACAAAAAGTCGGGGTGATCTTACAAATATTTTAATTTGAATTTTGGTAAACAAGGACAAGCGCTTTAAGGAAAATAATCTACGAAGGTTGGCAATGCTGTTTTTTTCGTGACTATTGAGTACATCCTTGTCTGTCGTCCGTCATGGCGTTGTCTCACTCGTCTGTTACGATCGGCTCGCCGCCGCCATTTTACAGTATACTGCGAACTGTGAGAAGAGATGGAAGAACAATTAATTATTGACAGATATTTAATTTGAATGCGGACTTAAGTTGAATATTTAAGTTTTCAATATTTTAATTTGATATAGGCCTACCAAATAGGGGCTGGTATTAAAAATTAAAACACCACCGGCAACCTGTATTCGGGGTTGGGTGATGAAATTCAAAATCATGTTAAAAGGTGTGTGACATCACTCATGGTCACGTGAACTGAAAGTTATTTTAAAATGTACCGTCATGAAAAAATAAAAGTGATGGAATGTACAGTTCCAGTCTAACATTAACGTCTAACATTTCTTGTCATAAATTTTTTAATTCGTCGTATCAATTCAAATTTGTGGCATTAATTTAATTTTTTAAAGCTCCTTAAAGTTATGTGCTAATTGATAAGGATTGTCGTTTAACAATTTTAAGCTATCCCTAGCAACCCCTACTAGGGTGGTGAGGGGTGAAATTTAAAATACCACAAAAAAGTACTTTATATTACCGTAGTAACGTGTATCGAAGCTCATTTGGATATATGCAACGTTCAAAAATTATTCAGGGGGTAGCATTACGGGACACCCGCTATGTAAGATTGAATAAATCAAACTTCATCTTGATATTTTAGGTCATTGGCCTATATTACGCATCTGATAGTGCTTTTTCAGAAGAGAGGACCATCGATAATTATAAATTGATATTACTTTAATTGGAAACAATCATCTTCTAAAAACCTAATTATTAGAGCAGATTGTACAACACTATTTTTATATTTTTTAGAATAAAAATGTATTTCAACTTACATTATTCACAACCAAAGTTACGAATGAATGGTTTTGAAATAAATTTTAGCCTATACTGCATGTAAAAATAATCAACTATTTAAAAATGTTAAATATAAATGCAGTTCAAAAACAACAAACAAGTTGTTTTCACTTTTAGCTCAGAAGTTTTCAACACGACCTTATCATATACATGTATTTTTAAATACAACTAAACTAAACAAGAATGGTAATGTAGGATAGTAGTAATAATTATAATAACAGTTAACATTACAATTATTTTACTAATCTCTTGTTTACGATGTGGGGAGCAGACGGCACGGCACGGCCGGCTATCACCCACTGCCAACATCACAACACCAAATACTCTACGATTCCCTCAATGTTTATTGCTTTAAGTTCTGAACTCAAATAGGTTCAGGACTCATAGATCCTGGAGTTTCAGAGATAGATCCGCGACTCAGCAAGACGATTTAGATCCCAGAACTTATTTGAGTCCATTTAAACTCAAGTATTTAGGCCACTCACCAGTAGCCTATATTGAAAACATGTAACAAATATATTTTTTTGTACCTTTATATTATTTAATAAAAAATGTAATTTGGTTAAATTTATTTTTGACATGAATATTTTCTTTGTAAATAAATTAAATGGAAAATATACAAAGTTTATTATTTTTTATTTAACCTGTCTGGTGTTTTTTTTTTATAAAAGTTGTGTAGTTTAAAAATAATACTGTATAAAGAGGACTTAAAATGCGTATCATTCATATGTGTATAATTCCAGTTAGTAGTGCCTACTTAATTCATAGAATTTTAATATAGGTGATTAATTTTGCTAAAAATAAACAGGTTCTTGCTATGATTTTTTATGCACACAAATTTGTAGGCCTAGTAGGCAAATGGTTTATGAAAAGTGTTAGATTTACTTTAAGAATATACAGTAAAATTTTTAGTCTAAAACCTCTAAAACTGGTAGTTTTTCAAGGTATTTTTCTAAAAATTAAAAACCCCGGACCCCCCTTTTTGCTGGGGGGTATTCCATACCCCCCAGGCCCCCCGGATCCGCCCCCTCCCACAAGATGGTACTAATCCGCCACTGCTTGGAACGAGTTATTATAGAATTTTGAGGAATGAAAAGAAAGTGTAAAAAAGTGGAAGAGTCGTCAACAGGCTTGGGAAGTGTATGTGTTGGAATGTAAAAGCGGGTGGTTGCAAGAAAAAGCACCTTCACAACTTGAGGGAGGAGTTTAACTCAAGGGAAAAGTGAAGTGTTTGCTATGTTTGTCTAATGTTAACCACAAGATCAGTTGATCTTATAAATAACAATATTATAGTTAAAGTATAATATTTTCATTTAAATGTTTCACTATAACCAAGTGTTTTATTTAATTTTGAAAGTCATCCAACTGAAAAAACACTTTTATTGAAGAGGAAATCTTACTTGAGCTGAGGCGAGGCACACAGTTCCGTGTAGTATTTGATCTTGGGCTCAGTGCCGCTGGTCCTCAATGTCGCCACCAGTCCGTTGTTGAATGTGAAGGTAATCATCTGGCTTGACTTAGACACAGGAAGGGTAGCCTTGTGGTCCGGCGTCGTGGAGTCGTAACCCGTCGTCAGATCACGGACAGAAACCACCTGGTACTTGTTGGCCAACAGACCTTCTGGGTACTGTAAGGTAATGTGAAATAAGCTTTACACTGCTACTGTACGTAGCAATTTTAATCAAAAGTATATTTTTTCAGAACATCCAAATCAAATCACACTATATATAGCCCAAAAAAAAAAAAAAAAAAATGAGTATTGAACAAATTTGTTGCATATGTCATGATGACAAATGCAGAATACAAGGAAATGTACAATTTGCATGTGGAAAATTGTCTTACCTAAAAATAATGGTAGGACACTTATTGTATGGTAATTATTGTAGTTCTATGACATTTTTCTTTTTATAAGTTATGCTACTAATTCTCATGTCACAGGAATTGCAGAAACATGATTTTTTATAGTTTCTTTGGAAACTAGAGACTAAATTTGCACCAATAGCTAATGGAAACGAAATGTCAGAACTCAGAAGTATTTTTTTGTCTATAGCAGGGTTAGAAAAGGTCATATGACGAAAAACAGAACAATAGTTTAAAACAATAGATTGGAATTTACGTATTCAATATTCATCACAGACCATTAAATATAAAAACCAAACTTGTAGGTTGGCAAATTAAATAATGCCTTTCATACATGAATATACACACCCATAATTTGCATCTTTTAGAAATGTTGAATTTCTAATGTAATTTATTTTTGTGATTAAGTCCTGTCTTATTCAGGTTAAATAAGATTTGTAAATAAATTGACACTCACATTGTTAGGAGTGTCACCAAAATTTCTTAAACGCTCAAACATTTTCTTGATTACTTCTGGTTCATGGCAGATGAAGTATGAGTTTTCAGAGATGTGGTAACCGTAGCTGAAACACAAAGATGCACTGTAATAAAATAATATAGACTTAGTCACATTAACTTATCTAAAAAATGTAAGAAAGGTAAAAGGCCTACTTAATGTAGAAACAAATACTTCGAGACCTAAAGCCTACAGATAAATTTGCAACTCTGTGTGTATGCTGAAGTCGTGTATTAAATTAAATGTGAAATGTCGTCTAAATAGTAGTTGCAATGTGTTAAAAACATACTAGTGTACCTGTTGCTCGAACTCTAGCAATTGCCAAGTATTACAGGCGTTATTTTAAAACAAATAACAGTCATAATTTCTAAACTTTAAAAGATTCGACTCAAAGATTATGGAAATACTCAAGATGTACATAACAGATCGATATAATTAACATTTCTTGTAAATATCTTATCATTTTTCAAAAGCTGATCTTGTTTTTTTGTGTTTTCTACAAATAGGCTTACTCATAGCCGCATTAGGTTGTCCATAATAACAATTATAAATTCTAAAAAAAAAACATTATTCCTATTTCTTCTCCTTGGTGGTGTGCAATGACTTTCCTATGTTTCCATAGTTTGCAAATTCGGCTCTTTCAATGATTACTGAGAAATGCAGCACAGTGTTAATTCAGTTTTCCTTTTAGTATATCAAACTATCCAGGCTCTCTCGCTTTTTTCCATTGCAATATTTACGCCAACCCAAAATCAAATAGTAAATATTTCATTTCAACCAAGTCAGTAAATGTTTGTAGCAAACTGTTAAATTAGCAAAATTGTTGACTATTTACAATTAACACATGTTCTTCTTCTCACTTTTCATTTCTGACAACAGCTGGAGTTTCATAACAATGTTTGTTTCCCATGTTAATCTTATGGAGAAATGAAAAACTTTAAAGGGCCCCAGGGCCTCACTCTAAATTATTTCCCTAAAAAGAAAGTTTCCTGCACAACTTCACGTTACGCTCTTTCCAATGACACCAAAAACATGTCAATCGGTTCAGTAGTTTCGGAGGAGCAATTGTCACAAAATACCTGCTTGCGTATTAAATAAGTACTATAGTTCGGCCGCTTAGAAAACGACCTGCGCGCTAATGCTAAACCAATGTTAGAGAAGGTCGCTTTCCAAACGGCCGAACTATAGTGTCCCTGTTGCTTGAATTCGAGCAATTGCTAAGTATTACAGGCGTTATTTTAAAACAAATAACAGTCATAATTTTTCTGATGACTTTAAAAGATTCGACTCAAATCAGAAATCAGAAATCCTTTATAATCCTTAAAGGACTTGTTACTAGGTGGCAAGTTGAGTTAGATGAAACATCGAGCTTCTTAACCACATTTTGGACTCCTGAAGGTCGTTACCGTTGGTTGCGCCTACCGTTTGGCTTAGCACCGGCAGCAGAGGAATTTCAGAGACGGCTCAACGAAGTATAAAACTTGTCTATAATGCTAAACTTATTGAAAATTCTGATAACAAATGTAAAACAGCCTGGTCAATTGTTAAAAAGAACTGTCAATCTAACCTCTCCTTAGTAAATGTACCTATAGATCCAAATGTTTTTAACAAATCATTGATTGACTCTGTCGACAAAGTTAGATCTGAAATTAATCGCCCAAATGTTAATTTTAATGACCTCTTAAGTACTTTCCCTGTTAGTAATAAGAATTTTAACTTTGCCCCTGTCTCTTGTGACTACATTTTGTCAATAATAGGTAAAATGAAAAATAGCAAAAGTAGGGACTATTATGACTTTTCTAACTGGTTAGTAAAGGAGGTTTCTGACCTAATCATTGTACCTCTCACCTATAGCATTAACACTTGTCTTCTAGAGGGACACTTTCCCGAGTGTCTCAAACTTTCCAAAATCATTCCTAAATTTAAGAAAGGTGATAGGAATAATGTGGGTAGTTATCGGCCCATAAGTCTGGTTCCTGTCTTGGCAAAGATTTTTGAGCATGTAATTTATGATCAAATCAGTCAGTTTTTTGAATCTAACTCACTTTTTAATCAACATCAGTTTGGTTTCAGGGCTGGTCGCTCTACCATGGGCATGGGTGCTGTTGATGGCATGGTCCGCACAGTCTTGAGCGCTTTTGAGAGCGGCAACTATGCTTGGGCCACGTTTGTCGACCTAAGTAAGGCTTTTGACTGTGTTGATCATGGCATCCTACTGCGCAAACTGCAGTATTACGGGATCCATGGTGGTGCGCTCAGTCTCCTTGAGACCTACCTCGCGGATAGAAGGCAGGTGGTTTGCATAGGAGGAGAGACTTCCTCTATTGCTACTAGCAACTGTGGCGTTCCCCAGGGGTCTGTACTTGGCCCGCTATTGTTTCTTATTGCTGTGAATGATCTACCTTGTAACTTAAATGGAAATGTTTTTCAATATGCAGATGATACGACCATGCTTAGTATTGGTAGAGATATATCTAACCTCAAAAATTCTGTTGTTCATGGTATCAATAGGGCCACAGAATGGTTTGCTGCCAACCGCTTTCTTTTAAATAAGGACAAAACCTTGGACCTAATTTTTAGTCTTAGGGAAATTCCAGATACTATAGTGTCTAACAGTCATGTAAAATTTCTTGGTGTTACATTGGATCAAAAATTGTCTTGGGAGCCTCATATAAACCAACTTTGTACTAGGCTGAGTCGATTAAAGTGCCTCTTTAGGAAATTAAGCTGTGTAATCCCAATAGATTGTCTGTTAAATGTTTACTATGGCCTCTTCCAATCAGCAGTAAGCTATGGAATAATATTTTGGGGAAATAGCCCACATGTAAAAAAGGTTCTTGTAATTCAGAAAAAGATTCTTAGAATAATAGCCAAAGTAGATGTTGTTGAACACCATAAACCAATTTTTATTGATTTTAAAATTCTCACTGTTGTTAACTTGTATATTTTTAATTTATTGTTAACTAGTTTTAAGAATTTAAATGCTTTTAACTGCCGCAAAGATGTCCACCAGCACAATACTCGATTCAGAAATAAACTTGACATTCCCTATGTTAGACTGGAGAAATCTAAGAAAAGTTATGAAATAGTGGGCATGCAATGTATTAATAAGATACCTACATTTATGTTCTCTCTCCCATATAATTCTTTTAAACATAAAGTGTTCCAATGGCTAGCTGTTAATCCTTTTTACGAACTCAAAGAGTTTTTAGACCTTCCTTCGTCAAAGTTGTGTTTTTAGTTTGTCATTGTGTTAACTATTATGCCTTCACCTAATGCCTTGTAGTACAACCTGTCTAATTTTGTAATGTTTTGCTTACTTTCAAATGGTTGTTTTTACTTCTCAATAGTGAACTCTGTGATATTAGTTTAAGACCAATTAAATAACTTAAATGCAATTTTCTTTTTTCGTAGACTTCAAAGTACACTTTGTAACTTACTTCTTAATTTGACAACTGCTCTGCATGAAAAATGTTTGACTCTTCCAATACATTTGTAATATGTCTACTGGAAATAAACATGTCTTATGTCTTATGTCTTATGTGTATTTACTCACAAGGAGTATATATAGTTGAGTTTCTCGTGCAGTGTCAGCCCCTGGTTGCTGCTGAGGAAGGTTGCTAACTCGGTGACTCTGACTGCTGCTGATACACCATCTTTGTCCAACACACCAGTGCCACACATATAGCCGATAGACTCCTCGAAGGCATACAACACTGTCTTGCCTTGCGCCTCCAACTCTGCACTTCGTGTTCCCATCCATTTGAATCCTGTCAGAGTTTCCTGTAAGGAATGTTGTGATTGGTTTGTCACAGTTTTTCAATACAGTACATTCCCACAAACTTGAGGAAATGATGACCAGAAGTGTGCCGACCGGGAAATGCCTGGTTTTTGGGAGAAAGGACCCAAAGTTGTAACTGAGAGAAAATTTAGTAGCCTACATTGCACTTTTATTTATCATACATAAAAGTCTAGTCATTGGTCAATAGTCTAGTCATTGGTTATACTAGATTTACAGCACTACATAATTTTAAATACAGAACTTTATCTTTCTTCCGAAAAAATTCAAAGTCATAGTGCTGACCAACAGACTGATAAGGTAGATAACTTGCTAACACTCTGGTCGCAGGTATGCGTGACTCAAGTATCCCAGTCTTAATGTCCGCAAACTAGCTTGGGGCAAAGCATCTGGATGGGTGTTTAAGCTACCGAGTACAGTTGACACTCCCTTATCCGGCATGATCGGGACTTTGGTGTTATAGGATTATTGAAAATGACAGATTACTGAACGTTTTGTAAAAACAGCCGTTTCTGCAGGAATAACAAACATACCGCTAAGTAATTTTAAAGAGCCAAAAGGTATTTTTTTTGCCCGGCAGGTTATTATGTGCTAGCATGATCAAGGGATAAAAAAGTGTTTTTTGACCTGTCAAAAAATAACTCCAGCGTAACTTAAAACTCAAAGGAGGGGAATTGTTGCTATATTGCAAAACCCTTTCTTGGTTCTTTCAATATTATTCTTAGGATTCTTGAAAGTCATGTACTCTTACTTATAAGGTAAGCCTAAGGTAAGGTAAGGTAGATAAGCCTACCTCAAAGTTGAATTTCTCCTGCTTGGCCATGGTCTTGAGTATTTTCGAAGACACAGTGCTGGATATCATGTATACATTGCTCAAGTCAGTGTTAGGGTTCCGTCTCTGGTAGGTGTAGAGGCTCCACCAGCCCAACAATGCTCCAAGCTCATTGCCAGTAAACACCTTCCACTCACCCTGTCTACAGCCATCATCAAGTGGATTGATTAAATGAAAGCGTTTTTGATAAGTTGATTAAAATAAAGTTTTGTTAGTGTAGATGTTTGAAAGTATTAACTGAGAATAACTTAAACACTCACTTCATTTCTGTTCTTCATTCCATTATTAACTCTTGTAGTTGTTTTGGTTCTTGTCATCATATGTTCAATTTATTCTTGTTTGTGTTTGTATACAGTATATAAAAAGAAAGTGTATTAGGGTTAAGGGGTTGATTATATATCATTGATAGATCATTGGATATTGATTGGGCCTTAACAGAAAGGAAAGTTACTTTGTGTATGATTGCAAGGAAATGCCAAGTATGTACGTATAGTACAGGGAGCGGCAAAATGATCTGACAGTTTTCTTTGCCGCCCTGTCGAGCGAGTGAGTGGCAGAGGATGGTGGAAATAGGGGCGTTACAAAGCCAATGTGCGGATATTTTTAATAGCCATGGAGTTGTGGATGGCTGAGCACCATGTATTTATAGTGGAAGTGTTTTTAAAAGTGGCAATTCCAGCGTAGCTTTACAGTAGACGTTTAAATGTGGGTCAAAGAAGAAAAGTCCCAACTCGAAACACCATTTTGCTGTGGGTGGGCAACTTTACAGCTACTTGTTCAGCATTGAAACTAAAATCAACAGGCCAGCCCGGACGCCAGATAGTGTCAAGACAGTGAGGAAGACTGTGGGGTGTGGTTGAAAGTGTGATTCGTCGTTTATAATAACAATTTTGTCATGTGTAAGCAAATCAATCACTTGTTCTGAAAATGAGATGTGCTTTGCATAACCACTGGACTTCAACTGTTGCACAGTTGCCATTTTGTATGATTGAAAGTGCAGGTCGTATCGTAATACTCTTCTACTGAACGGCCAGACATGTGCAGGCCGCTTAGGACTAACTTCCAAACCTTCTCTCACGCTCTCGGCGTTCTTTGCCTTTTTTCAATGCTGAACTACTTCTGAAGTTACCCACCCACAGCAAATTGGTGTTTCGAGTTGGGTCCCATGTTAAAGCAGTCGACAGTTTTTAAATAAAAAAAAATTATGTGGTATTAAATTGAAGTAACAATAGTTGGATCAGTGTTGATGTAAATTGCTGATGTCTATCTAATACCCCAACTTTCAACCAAGCCATACCGAAAGGACAGCTTGTTATAAGCTATAGCATCTTTTATGTTACATCAACTATTACAGTAAAAAATAAAGGGTATCAGCAATCTGACACATGGGCCTACTTTCTCCCATTAGCTTGTCAACAACCCTTATCGTGGGAAAGCAGTGGGATTAACTTGCAGTGACAGTTCTAGGACCTTGCCATGGCAGAGGCTACCCGTGTGTCCTACTCACGGAGGGCAGTTCGGAGGTCCTCCCCCAGATAATGTGGTATTTTCAAAGCTGTTTGGTGACTTTGAATACCATTTTTAACGTCTACAACTGTGTCCGAAAACCTCTGTTAGGATTTTCGACAAAATGTATCTTAGGTACTAAATTTTAATCAAAACCGGTCAAGCTGAATTTTTAAAAACCTGAATTTCCTGTTACCTATTTATTTTATGGGAAAATCTCAAAGTTTCCAATACATTTTGAACCGTAGTTTTTACAGTAATGGGGTTGTAGCATTAAGAACTAAAATGACTCTAACATAGTAAATTTGATTTAAAATCATCCAATACGATTTTTCTGTTATTTTATGGGTTTCCAAAAATGAAAAAAACCCTGGAGATATCATGGATGGGTTCATATAGACCCAAAACGGATGTATCCACCCAAAACTAAAAAATGTTGACAAAAACAATACTTTCTCCATTATACTTTGTAAAGAGGGATAAAGTAAAACTAAAGGAGAAAATTGAATTTCAGACACTAGCACACTCTAGGAGTAGCTGATAGTACTATTTCTTTTTCTAATAAAATATCGGCAAAAGCTGGTCCATACAGATGGGATGAATATTTCAGTATCCAAAAGTCAATGTATAAGGCTTGGTCCATGTACCATCTTTACCTTGTTTTCTCCGCCACTGCCAGTCTGTCTGCATCTGGGTCATTGGCCACAATGATGGTGCTTCCATGTTCATTGGCCGTCCTGATGGCCAGAGTCAGGGCACTCTTGCCTTCCTCGGGGTTTGGGAACTTGACTGTAGGAAACTCAGGATCCGGCTCCACCTGTTCCTTCACTGGGATCACTGGCTGGAGAAAGACAAAACATGAGCAAGCGGCATCCTCTATTGTTTAATGGAATGACAAGATGAAAATATTTTTTTTTGTTTGCAAGGACTTTGATAATTCAACCAATGCAGGAGTATGACTAGACTGTACCTTGAAGTTTAACACATGTCTTGCTCAAAAGAGACAACAATCTAGGAGGGGAGGGTATATTTAAAACTGGATGGACGAGGGCCAATACTTTTGACAGTATTTCATGTAGAATACAATAATTTTGCATTTATTCATGTGGAATACTTGTACTTTCGTTGATGATTGTTAGTAAAGGGGAACTCCAAATATCCAAACTCTAATAATCATTCGGATCGCCAATCAGCCAGGAAAAAAATCATTGTGGTTTTTTGGCAGTTTGCTATAATTTGTTGTAAATTTGTATCTTCACCAATTAATTGGATTCATCATGCAGCAAGTCTATTGTATAGTCTATTGATCGACGGAAACAACAGAATACTTCCATTGACTATTGGTTATCAATAGTCAAAGATACTATTAAAATTAAACAAATTCACATTATTAAATTATATACAGTGCCCTCCAAAACACATATAATTCACAAATAATCATACTTTGAGGTAAATTGTAAGGACCACGTGGTCCTAAAACCTCTAATAACCCAAATATTTATTTTCAGTCATTCATTAAACAAATACTACTTACTAGAATGTAAAAAAATACCCCTGCCGCAGCAAACCTGCCCACTAGGCGAATTTTCTATCTGACTGAATTGATTTTCAATTAAATCTATTTAAATAACATAAGTTTAACGAGAACCTATGTTTGCTGCTACAGGGAAACTAATAAAGTGTTGTGTTTTTTAGTTAAATATTAATAGCTTTGTACAAAATAAATAAATCTACCAAGTTTGATCAAAATATATCAATAAACAAGCAAACGTAAAGAATAAATAGCATGGGAATTTTACATTTACAATTTTTTGAATTTTGTCTGTTACCGTACAAAAACCCTTTGATATACTAAATCATATGTTTTTTAAGCAATTTAAAAAGGTTTAGGAGGAAATTAGGAAATTTTGTGTTTTGAGGGTCAAGAATAAGAAAAACCAATTTTTACCCCATAAGACCCCCCGTGAAAACCTGTTCCCATGGTCCGATCATGCAAACGGCGATGGGTGGCGTCATTACTGTCACCAGTACCCAGTGCGTTGTTCATCATGAACGTTAGCGGGGCCGTCTTTAAATGCCCTTACCCACTTGTGTACCATTCCGTCACTTATATACGCACTTCACAGTCGGTGGCAGTCTCAATTGGCGGCACTATTTAGAATGCTCAAAACCGGCTTATTTTATTTTATCATCACTGTAGACACACTAGCTGTCTACAGGGAGCGAGCTGGTCTGATGGTTAGGGCATGGAGCTTCAGAGTCCTAGGACCCGGGATCATATCCCACCAATAACCAGATGGATTTCATGTTGGCCATGTGATAATACCGCAATCCTCTAGCCTGAAGTAAAGTGTAAAACAGTTCTGGGCTAGAACCTGGCGTCCTAGGACGTGAAGGTAGGAAATTAAATAAACTATATTACTCTTTGTTTTTCGTTTGTGCTGTAATGTAACAACATACAGTAGTAAATTTGGTTTAAAATATTTTTTGTTATTTAAAAAAACACCTTTTTAAAAAGTCTATTCATCTATTTTTTTTTGTCCAAATCGTGTTTAGTCCCAATTGATCCGGATTATTTGAGTATAAAAAGTTGGAGAGCTGTTTAGATTTTCTTGTCACCCAAGTTTCTTGGAAGTCACCTAACATTTTTTTCTTTCTTACAGCTATAAAAAAAAAAACATTGTAAAGGAAGCAATAACTAGCCACATTTGCTTGGCGGAGGCATTCTAATCTTCCTAACACAAGATCTGATTTCATTCACCTTGAAGTTAGCTACTTCAAACGCCCTGCAGACGTAAGGGTAGCCCACACCATGCATTGCAGTGTATGTTACGTTGAGTGGGGACTCTGCGTTGGCTGATGCGTTATACACCCCTGCCTTGAGTACTGCGTAGTAAGCATCCTGTGTCACCGTCAGCTGTGTCTGGTCCAGCGTATCAGCTGACAGCGTCACATCCCAGCTGATTTGAGGCTCCAGGCTGTCCAAAATACACTTCTGGATCTCTTTGTCCACCGGAGAGATGATCTGTAACAATGAAATTTAAAACTGCACAAATTGTTTTAAAATTATACTATGGCAACAATTAATTTTCCCAATGAATTGTGTGGGCGTGTGACATACACACCAGCTGTCCCAACATTCGAAAGTCAGGGCAAAAAAACCAAAGGAAATACCCCTGCCACAGCAAACCTGCAAACTAAGTGCATTTCCATTTGCCTGATTGTATTTACACTAAAATGTCTCCTAAAAAATATTACATTTATTGTGATAACATTAATCTAAGCTAAAAGGAGTATACTATATATGGATAATGTATGAATCAAAGATTAAAGAAACAATCAAATTTATAATTTAAATTACCATTTTAAAGGTATGTCAGCCCCACCTGGGCCCAAACACTTATAAATATTAATACGTATATGTGTCACAGCAGCCTCTCTTCTAGTCTTCGTAGCGGTTGGGAGCAGGAAGAACGAACATTAAAACAAGCGAATAGGGATCAGCCAACACTTTATTACTTCAAAATAAATTAATCTTTAACAATTTCATCGATTAAAAATTACACATTACAATTTACAAAGCAAACCGCGACTAACCGAATAACATACGAATTACAATAATGAATTTAAAAAAACGTACACGGATTAAAAGAAAAGAGGAAGGATAAAAGAAAGGGCGTGAGACCGCGCGCGGCGGACCTTCCGTCGTTCGCTACATTCCGGCACGATCTCAGGCTTCAGCATCGCCCAAGCGGAAACGTCAGCGTGGTCACATGACCGTCATCGGCCAATCAGCACACGCTGAGCGCTCAGCCCATAATTTACTCGCCCGTCTGGTGCTGCAGCCAAACGATCACAACTGTCATTAATGAAACTAACTGAAGCGAGGAACCGAGTCTAGAAGTGTAACATTGTTTATCGCGGCACACGTGCATGCAGATTCAGCACATTCCAAGGCATATCCGGCCAAGCCACGACGTCTGGTTAGGATTATTGTAGGGTTACAAAGTAATGAAATGAATTGGAGTATGAGTTTCAAGGTTCACTTGGAGACTTATATGAAGTTAAATAAAATTTAATATTGCTAAATACGGTTGACACATCAACCTAGCAAATATTCGGTGATAGCCAACGGGCCAGGTTTAGGGAGTAAGGCCAATCAGCTTAAGCTCAAAGTTAACAAATTACAACAAAATGAGGCAAATATGCCAGGCCGTCACACTCCCCCCACCTCAAGTTCATGCCGTCCTCGGCATGCAGCCTGCCCTTCCAACTGGGCCCTCTGCCGCAGCTTCAATCTACTGAAGTACATTATACAAATTCTGTCGACGTAGCTTTCTCTGTCTCCAAGTTATGTCAAGATTTGGAAAGGTTTTTTGGAAGGTATCTGTCATGTGGCTTGGGCGGATTTAAATTTTATCTATTCCCAAAAGTTTAAACCCCCCTCGAATTTTGATAATACGTCTCTTACTCTTTTCTTCGAATACAATAACAAAAGTTACTAAACAATTTTCCAACACATTACGATTAATAGTCCTTCCGAATTTACAAAGATTACTTAAGTAAATTACTACAAAAAAACTTAACTACATGGTCCACTTGACCATCAATCAGAACAATAACGATAACCAAAAAAACACTTACTGCACTAAATACAAAACAAAACTACAAAACAAAACACCCGGAGCAATTACCGTATTAAACAAAAAGAATCCACAGTAAAAATTTGCAAGATACAACAACATAAAAGGTAATATAACTTAATAAAACTTAACCCCTCATACTAAGTTTTAACAAAAAAACATTTCACGCAAATTCATTACCGTTACAAAAATACCGTTAAGTCATAACAGACTTAAATTGTCCTGAATCTAAATTAATATAAAAAAAAACTAAATAAACAGTATTCTTTCATTAGGGACAACCATTTTAAAGACTTTTACAACAAACAGTCTGTCTTCCCACCTAATTCAATAAAAATTCCCGTTCCAGGGAAAAATTTACTTTTATCCCGCGAAAAGAATACAAACACCTGTGGAGGGATAAAAACTCGTTTCATCCCCGCCGCAGTTCGAAAAATCCCGATGCAGGGACAAAATCCCGCCAATGACAACACTTTTCCCAGATACAATTTGTTACTCAATAATTACAAGTTACTTTTGTATATAAAGAAATACAGAACGCATGACCCCATTGCCTACTCAGTCAAAGTCTAAATAATGGAAACCAGGCAATCTTTCATCGACTCATCACATAATAATAATTCTCGCTTTAACCTTCTCAGTTTTTCAAAGTAATTAACCAAAAATTTCCATAGATTATCCGTAGGCTATTTCCCTAACCAATAGATAGTGCAGGCCTACATCAACTAATTTATTTCCCCAGATTATCTTACGATTTCACAATATCACTGGTGAGATTCCAGTAAATTTTTCTAAGTCCATTTATAACAAAATCCAATCTAATTCTTATAATACTTAAGGCTATCAGAACTGTCAAGTGAGTTGGGCCCTTTGTCCAGATCAATGGAGTAAGCCAGTAATGCTGCCAATATATTGAGCAAAAACAAACTTTCAGTAAACAACTTTTACCAATAAATTTCTTAATTATTTATTTTTTTTCAAACCTTTAGACTCTATTAGGTCTAGTTCATTTAAAATCAATTTTAGTTATTGGCTCCTCCATTAACGCCCAGGCTTTACCATCCAACTCACTTTCAAGTTCAATCCACTTAACTTAACCTCAGACTAGGCCTAGGTTAGTAAATTACCACTAGCCTAAATTCATGTTAGTAAGCCAATCTCAAATGTTTCACAAAGATTTGTTTTCTCTCAATTTCTCCTGCTAATTATTCAACAACAGTAGGCCTTAGCACCATAATATTCAATTTAATGACTCATAATATTTACATCAACAACGTAATTCCGTTTTCCAATCACTTTAAGATCCAGCGGTATTTCCCGACAACAAATTAAAATAATCCCACATTTATCCCACTTGCGGTATAAAAATTCCCTTATCCGGGATAAAATCCCGCGGATGGAACTGACAACCTGACAGCAAGCCAACCCGGCGGCCATCTTGAGTTCACGCAGAACGCATCCACTTTTAATTTTCACAAGTACAAAACATTTTAGTTTTCGAAATTTTGCTTCCCATCCTCCCACAATAATTATTTCTTTATTCCCTTTCTTTCTTACACCTTATACTAGCAACTTCTAATCAAGTATCTATTACCAATAATGACATATGGTATTCTGGTTTGGGGAAACTCATGCCACTCCAACAAAATATTCAAACTTCAACAAAAAGCAATTAGAATTATTGGGCGAGTTCCTCGTAGAACTCCTTGTAAAAGTCTTTTTCAAACATTTTCGGTTTTAACATTTTATGATCACTATATTTTAGAAATTTCAAATTGGGTTAAAGACAATCTCTCCTCATTCATGAACCAACCCATTCATTCCCACCACACTAGATTTAAGAGTTATATCATAGATAAAACATACTCCCTTGTGTTGATTAGTCTATGGTTATATTAAGCCTGAAACCCATAGATTAGAGAAATTTCATTTATCTCCCCAATATATAGGCCCACAAGTTTACAATAAGTTACCACTCTGCATAAAAAAATATTGATAGTAAAACACAGTTCAGATCCACCCTGAAGACCTGGTTAAAAACAAAAAATTTTTTTTCTATAGAATGTTATTTAAATAGGGATGTTAAGTTAGATTAATAATTTAGTAAGGCATTTTTGTTATTTCTTAGTTTTAGTATATCCTGTATATGACTTTATGTCCTGTCAAAAAATGATGTAATGACATGTAGTAAATAAATAAAAAAAAAAATAAATATTGTTCACCAACAACCAAACAAAATATTCCAATATGGCGTCTTCATTCACAACGCAACATACAACGCACGACAACTCTGACAAGACAATAGCAGAGTGAGAGTGCAACACTGTGGGAGGGGGAAGAGACCCAATGCATCCTAGATCACATGTACAATGGCGAAATAAGTTTACGAACAAAATATTCCATTTACTTCAAAATTACCTAATAAATCGAAAAACAACTCTTTCTTCACGAAAATTTCACGAAAATGATTCTTATTTTACTTTTAATCGATTCAAACATATTTTATTCCAGAAACATTTAAACTTTAAATTTTGGAAATTATTATAAGTAAAATAATTTGATCAAGCAAATCCCTAATTCCACTTACCTTTAGGTTGACATTGTCGCAGTCAACCCCACACCTGACACCAGATGTCACAGCAGCCTCTCTTCTAGTCTTCGTAGCGGTTGGGAGCAGGAAGAACGAACATTAAAACAAGCGAATAGGGATCAGCCAACACTTTATTACTTCAAAATAAATTAATCTTTAACAATTTCATCGATTAAAAATTACACATTACAATTTACAAAGCAAACCGCGACTAACCGAATAACATACGAATTACAATAATGAATTTAAAAAAACGTACACGGATTAAAAGAAAAGAGTAAAGATAAAAGAAAGGGCGCGAGACCGCGCGCGGCGGACCTTCTGTCGTTCGCTACATTCCGGCACGATCTCAGGCTTCAGCATCGCCCAAGCGGAAACGTCAGCGTGGTCACATGACCGTCATCGGCCAATCAGCACACGCTGAGCGCTCAGCCCATAATTTACTCGCCCGTCTGGTGCTGCAGCCAAACGATCACAACTGTCATTAATGAAACTAACTGAAGCGAGGAACCGAGTCTAGAAGTGTAACATTGTTTATCGCGGCACACGTGCATGCAGATTCAGCACATTCCAAGGCATATCCGGCCAAGCCATGACGTCTGGTTAGGATTATTGTAGGGTTACAAAGTAATGAAATGAATTGGAGTATGAGTTTCAAGGTTCACTTGGAGACTTATATGAAGTTAAATAAAATTCAATATTGCTAAATACGGTTGACACATCAACCTAGCAAATATTCGGTGATAGCCAACGGGCCAGGTTTAGGGAGTAAGGCCAATCAGCTTAAGCTCAAAGTTAACAAATTACAACAAAATGAGGCAAATATGCCAGGCCGTCACATATGCTGCAAAATAATATATATTTATCTGCCTTTAAAGATCATCAAATGTGAAAGAAAATCAGGATTTACCTGTGTACCCAGGGGTCCGTACACCTTGTAGCCGTTGTCTTCCTTGGGATTGTGTGAAGCAGTGACCATTACCCCGACCACATGGTGGCAATGAGTTACGGCGAACGGGACAAATGGAGTCGGACAAACCTCAGCAAACAGGTTTACTTTGACGCCAGCCTGCTCAAACACTGCGGCAGTCAACTCTGCAAACCTACGAGTCAAGCAAACATTGTACTGTATGTAAGGGAAGGACTCCGAGGCTCTGGCAAATGGCTAGATACTGCCTGCTTTGCTAAATTATTGCACAACTACAAAAACTAACAAATTCATGGGAATAGAAAATATTGATCTGCCACAGCCTCAAAGGCTTCTCCATAACAGTAAAATGCTCAATTACTGATCAACCAAACCCTCTAAACAACATGATCAACAAATATCAGCCAGAGTTAAAAAATATGTTCATACTGGGCTATAACAACCATTGTACTATAAAATATCAAGTAAGAGAGCCATCTAAGAGGGTTTCTACAGTCGTGCAGCTATTGTCAAAGGGTGTCCCAAACATATAAGGAAGTACATCATAATAATAACCTCTGTAGTGCAATAACAAGATCAAGTTAGTTAGCCATTTAAAAGTTTCTTTTGAGGATGCAGAATTTAATTCTCAATTTTGACATGGTTGACTAACATACTACAACTCACTCTTATGACTAAATCCAAACCATCGTTCCACATAATAATGTAATTAAATATTGCATTGCAATCAATGATGCATTCTAACCAAAAGTCGACATTAAGTAGTAACAAAACTAGAGTATGGACCATTACCTAACAAAAGACATATTAAGGGAAAAAACCATCTAAATCTAAATGCAAAAATATAAAAAATGTAATCTGGTAAGTTTTAATCGAGTTGCACTAAAAGAGAAATGGTACAATACTCAATTAACAACAATAGGTTTACCTTGTTGTTCAAAGGTTTATTGCGGACATTTTCCATCACGAAAGTAAAAAATTTTTTTTTACTTTTTTTACTTTCGTGATGGAAAATGTCCGCAATAAACCTTTGAACAACATTAACTCACCATCACCAACAATGAACTTCAAACAAAGGTTTACCTTACCTGCGGCTGTTATGACGTCCATCGTATCCCACAACAATGCCTCTGGTAGAGAGATCCTCATGTTCCCTCTGCAGATACTTAAGCAAACCTTGAGCTGTCTGAATTATTACTAAATCATTCATCTGAGAGAACCCGACTCCCATCCGGCCACGTAGACCTGCCGTGCCGAACGCCATGCGTTCCAGGAACAATTTTGACAGAGTCGATACATCATTCTTGGCTATTAACTCTCTCACCTCATCGTTCTGCGAATCGTTCTGAATAAATAAAACAAATGCTTCACAAATAGGTCCATGTAATAACATAGTTATCAGCATAATATGTGCTATTTTATTTAGAAAAAAACATAAGAACACCTAATAACAAAAACACTAAACATTTGTTTATACTAGTAAATTTTACTGGTAAATATGAGACGATAGTACTGTAAACAATTTTGATTTCCAATGATTATCAGACTCAATAGATGAATTAGGCCTATACATACTTTTATTTACATTTTTAGTATAGGTGCATCATGAATTTCTATGACTATTAACTGCTTAAATATCTCTGCAGTTTAGGATTTAAAGATTATATTAAGGTATAATATAGTCATACTTTTAAAATTTCACTTTAACATTAAATTTCAACCAAACAAATTATTGAAATATGACTCTTAGTACGGTAACTATTTATACTTCAATATAAAATAGAACTAGACGACCCGTGCGAAGCATTCAACTGAATCCTTCTCAAATCCCACTTATTGAGATAAACAACAAACAGTTAGTTCTGCGTAGTAAGTGTATTGTTGATTTAAGTATGGGTCCTTACTTCAGAAATAGATGTGGGTTTACATTTTACATAATTAACCTTTTCAAAATATAAAATATAATGTTAAGTTAAGTATGTTTACAGGACCTATTTGAACAATACATTTAGTAGGGATGATCATATTTGATTTTTGTGTCGATGGATTTGTTTTTATACAGACAAAAAAAGTGAGTGATTGTGGTTTTCACTGAAAAATCGCACCCTTGATAAAGCTACAAAAACTATTTTTTTTATTTTAATGGGGTCTGGCACATGGTTGGACAGTCTAAAGGAATGGCCATGTATATCAAATCTTAGATGTTGACCATTTTGGGATTTTATTTTGTTTGTGTGTGTGTGTGTGTGTGTGTGTCCTCTGAGAGCTTGTTTTAAAAAGATTTATTTGTGCTTTTTGAGTTTGCTAGATTTGAATAAACTAAATTTAATTATTAACTACTTAGGTTGAATTGAATTAAAAATTATTGTTTTAGCTCATTATAAGTTCTAATTTGTATACTGGCAAGCACCAAGAGTTTTTGTGTATTAAACCTCAGAGACAGTTTGTTACTGGAACTAATTTATATTCTGGTGTTGATCAAGATAATCAACGTGATCAATGTAATCCAGATTACAACCTAAAACCACTTAAACTAATTTCTAAACTGGCGGCAAGTTTCTAGGAAATCAATTGTCAAGATTGCTGTTGTTATGTGCCCTATACGCTACCACCAGTCATTGTCATTATCATTGTAAAAACTAAAAGAAAGAATTCAAAAACTAAAATCGTTTACAAATTTACCTTGTTAAACTTTAACCATTCCTCCAACTTTGTGTCAAGTTCATTGTTTCCAGTTGATATAGTTCCATTTTCTGTAGGACTCATAGTAGTTTTCTAGAAAATACATAAACTGTTTTATGTAAAAAACAATATTTGTACGTAAATATAAAAAATATTTATTTTCTATTGTCAATGGGCCTAAGGCTGCGTTAATTTGGTTAACAGTAGGTGACATAAAAGAAAATTGTGGGAGGCTGACGATTTATGCGATCACAATAATGAAACCCATTTTCAAGTGATGACTACAAGAGCCAATTTAAACTTGTTATTTCACTTAAACGTCCCAACAACATCGTGTTCATACTGTAAAGTTATTCTTAAAAACAGTAGCCAAATAATTTAAGAGTTAGTTTTCAATGCAAAATTCATCCTCCTTTTATAGTTTTTAAATATTTTACAAATGTCAAGTGGAAAATAGCCAAGTGAAGTACCTGACAGGATAACATTTGTTGTGGTATCCAAACAGTTTGACTAGGAACACAAAATAATATAGCAAACAAACGGTTCAGCCCTAAAAATCTGTTCGACGGCCTTAGTAGAGTGTACCAGATGACCATCAAGTGCACACACAATACAGGATCTTATCTAGTTTCTGATAGAATAAAGTACTGGTATCTACTGAAGTAAATAACACTTTATCAGCAGTCAAGGTCAATTAATCTATGACAACAAAGCTGACGTCAAAAGATTAGCAAAAGATTCAGTTTAACGCCTTCCTTAAAAAAGAGTAGGCCTATTTATATTTTTAATTTAAATTTTACTGACGGTACTTTTAATGTACACTCAATTTTTGTCTTCACCTTTGATTATTTCTTTCAAGGCTAATTAAAGCTTCTGTGCATTAAATTGTAAGATATATATTGATATATAACAGTAGGATTTTAAAATATAATTTTAAAGCTACCCTTTGATTTTGAAAAAAACCTTGACTTATAGCGTTCTTATAGGTTCATTTGATAAAATAAACTAGCAACAAAATTTCCATTCAACTCTTAAAAAATAATAAAATTAATATATTAGTAGGCCTACCACTAATTATTGATTACTGAAACACCAATATTAGAAACATCTATGGTCTGTCACAAAAAGAAAGCCTGAGTAGCCTAGGCCTATATAATTTGTGTTCAATCTTCAATATATTTAAAAGATAGGTTATAAATATTATTTAGCCTTCATAGTACTAAGGTCGTACTTCTAATTAGGTCCTATTAGGGCAGAATGTGGGGCTGGATGAAAAAAAAACCAAAAAGGGAGCACAGAGCGGAAAGAGCCTAAAATAAGTGCTGAAAACTTAAATAAGGCACTTACTTGTAAACTTATTATCAAATAATAACTCATATAATTGGCACATTCTAGTAAAAAAATGTATCGACAAGTAGCTATATTCAAAGTATGCATTGTCATCCAGTATGTGCTGAACAGCCTAGTACCGTACTGTTAAAAGACAACCTGACCAGCTTTAATTGCAGAAGTAGCCACCACAACCACGGAGCACGTAGAGCTCATGACTTGGATATGCCTCGCTGCCGTTTAAATCTAACGCAAAAGAGCTACGCCGCACTCTGCCATAAAGATTTTCAACACCTTGCCTGATAGAGTCAGATGCCTAGACCTGAAAGCCTTCAAATCAACACTGAGCAACTCTCTTTTGCAAAGGCCACTCTAGTGTGCAAGCAGGAACGGTTCTAGGAATTTTTCAGAGGTAAGCGAACACCCGAATCAGCGCCATCTAGAATTCCCCCCCCCCCACCCTTCATAAACATAACTTAACCCTATTTGAAAATTATTTTCCCAAAGATTTTTAGAAGAACTATTTTATAAGTTTAATTAAGTTAAAAGAATACTTGCAATAAAAGACTTTTTTCAACTACCGGTACTGTTTATTATTCACAGAAATTAAACATTTTTACACTTTTACTCATCATATATAGGTACTTAAGCAAAACTCAAAGTTAACAATTTATTTCTAAATATGTGAAATCAATTTTTACAGGATAACTTGGATACAATATAAGTTTTTGTAAGCCTATTACAATGAAAACCAGGTGTAGGTAGATGACGAGAGAGGAATTTTTAATTGAATACATTAAACATGTAGAAAACATTAAAAACCAAATTCAAATCCTTTTTGACCTTGACAAAAAGAATACAGAATGTTCAATTTGAACAGTTCAAAAGTTTTTACCAGTTAAAAATTAACTCTCCTAGCTTTGATCTTGGAAAATTCTTTAATTGCTGAATCGGTATCAATCTGGTTCAGAACACTATTTTCTGTTGCCATTAGTGATAAGCCAACCAAGCTCTTCTGCGAGATCGTAAACCGCTTTCAAGCGTCAGCTCACTACAAATCGAAACTGCAAATCAATGCCTTGAGTCCTTGAGTTGAAGTGCTGTACAAGTAGCCTATACGCATTTTCAAGCAGAAAAATGTTGTTTTATGTTGGTACAAACAGAATAAATGCCTTTGGTGTCGTGCTTTGAATACTTGAACTCTGAGCGAAAAAAACAATGTTGTTAACTTGTCAGCATCTGAAAAAAATTGTGCCCTATTGGTGCCACTTTTTCGTGGCGCCATATGCGACCGCGTAGTTCGCTTATGGGTTAAACCGGCCCTGTGTGCAAGAGTTGGTAGAGAAACTTCTCATGCCGGGATGAAATTTCCGCCACAGCCTTAGTCAGGATTTATGTATTGTAAATATATGTTTTATTGTAAAAAGTATAATTAAATTTGACGCTAGGCCTATCTATCCGTCCGTAATCACGGTCAAAGATAAAGAAGACAAGTATCAAGTAAGTACCGGTAAGCATAGTAGCCAATTACTTTGGCCTTGGTAATTTCATGCCAATTAACCATGACTGGATAATGTGCAGCTCGCAAATTATTTACAACTTGTCCCAGTTCTTATTATATTAACAGTTTTAGACCCTATGCCAAAAAAAAAAAAAAATACACAAGAACTTATTCTTAATAATAATAGTAGTAATTAGTAATAGTACTTATGAAGATGAAGGTTTCAGGATTCAATTTCTATAAGTTTAATAGATAACCTAGGCCTATTGAATCTTTTGAAAATTGACAAAATATTTTCTAATGGTATGTATTCCACAACCATCAATCATTCCTATCTTACATACACATACCTGATCGAAAATACAATCGGCACACACAAAGTAAACAGGAATCAGTTCTCAGTTGTTATTGCTGTATTTGACAGACGACGAGAGACGAGACGACGATGCAAGCAAAACAACAAAACAACAACACCTGGCTGGTACAGTATAATGACAGCAGACAGACAGCAACAACAGAACGAACAGCTGTCGTAAGACCAGCTGATGTGCTGGCGCTTTTTGAAAAAAGTTGTATTTTAAGCATAGAGTGAAAATATTTAAACCATCGTTTCAATATGGATTCGTATTAATACGAATCAGCTTATAAATAAGTTGCAATTTTAAATTCACTGCTACGATCAGACAAATATTCACAATTAATAATTTTACTGTAACACCATACACCATAGCTGTTACATAACACTCATTTTAAGCAATAGTTTTCAGATATTTTGGAACCTATTTTTATATTACTGATATGATAGTAGGTTTATGGAAGACTAAAATCATTCATGTCATTAAATGGTAAATTCGTCTACTAGTTAACTTACAAGTTTTTAAAAGTAAAGAGTAGTATAGTATGATCGTTGGTTTTAATGTGTAAAGAACGATGGTAGCCGTAATCTTTCTCTAATATCTATGGTTTCATGCTTGCTGTCTTGACCATTTGAAATGTTTAGCAGCTGTTTTTAAACGCCAGACGCCAACCAAACCCAAACGTCAAGATTAAAAATATGAATCTTTTGGTATGATGTTTTTGTCATCTCTGCATTGCATTCTGCAACACTGCAACACAAAACACAACACGATCACTGCAACTTGCAACGGCCAGAGGCACAAAGGCAGTAACCACTAAACTAACCACATCCAGACTAAATGAAATGTTTTTACAATAACCATTCATTTTGATTGGATTTTCTCCATAACTGTGACCATTAGGGGATGTAACTAAAATGGATCTTTCCAGAAAGTATAAAACCTCTTTCATGATATGTAAGTTGATTTATGTTTAGGTCTAGTCTAGCCTATGTTAACTTGGTAAATGCAAGTGTATTTAGATAGACTAGTTAATACTAATTAGTCGTAAGTTATAGGTAGTAAGTAGGCCTAGTGTAGAATCATTTTAGTCAATAATTCCTTGGTGTGTCTTGAAGTGTTGGTTTAACACTCATGGATGCAGCTAAATTATTAATTACGTTAAAGCCAAAAAGAGTACACAGTTTCTTAACTGGGCTATGCTAATATTGATTGAAACTATCAATTGAAAAATCAATTAAGGCTGCACTAGGCCTATATTTAACGTCCTACACTCATTCAAATGAAAATATCGATCGATATATTGATTTTTCGATATATATTGTTTGGTTGACACGACAGTATCAATATCATGTACCTGGGTACTAAGTTAGGGGTGGTAAATGCAGCAATAAGAAGTGCGCGCCCTTATAAAATCTATTGCTGGCCGTTTTGCGGAAAAATACGGGCGAGTAGGTTATTACCAATAGTGTCATTTGAAAGAGGACACATAAACGGACACGACAGTATCAATATCATGCACCTGGGGACTAAGTTAGGGGTGGTAAATGCAGCAATAAGAAGTGCGCGCCCTAATAGAATCTATTGCTGGCTGTTTTGCGGAAAAATACAGGCGAGTAGGTTATTACCGATAGTGTCATTTGATAGAGGACACATTAACGGACACGACAGTATCAATATCATGTACCTGAGGACTAAGTTAGGGGGGGGGGGGGGGTAAATGTAGCAATAAGTAGTGCGCGCACCTTAAAAAATCTATTGCTGGCCGTTTTGCAAAAAAATATGGCCGAGTAGGTTATTACTGATAGTGTCAACTTATAGAGAACACATTAACAGACACGTCAGTTTCAATATCTTGTACCTGGGGACTAAGTTAGTGGGGGGTAAAGTTAGCTATAAATAGTGCGCACGCCTTATGTTATCTATTGTTGACCGATTTGCAGAAAAATACGGCCGCGTAGGTTATTACTGATAGTGTCACCTGATAGAGGACACATTAACGGACACAACAGTATCAATATTATGTACTTGGGGACTAAGTTAGGGGTGGTAAATGCAGCAATAAGTAGTGTGCTTATAAAATCTAATGATGGCCGTTTTTCGGAAAAAAATACGGCCGAGTTAGTAATTACCAATAATGTCACCTGATAGAGGACACATGAACGTACACCACGACAGTATCAATATCATGTACCTGGGGACTAAGCTAGGGGGGGGGGGGGGGGGTGGGTAAAGTCAGCAAAAAGTAGTGTGCGCGCCTCGGACTCAGCCACGGGCTCGCCCAAGAGCAACCGAACATTTGTGGGGTCAATGTCTCCCTAGTCGCGCTAACTACTTATTGATGCATGAGAGGTAGGCCTACATGATATTGATACTTTCCTGCCCGTTAATGTGTCCTCTATCAGGTGACACTATTGGTAATAACCTACTCGGCCGTATTTTTCCGCGAAACGGCCAGTAATATATTTTATAAGGCGCGCACACTACATATTGCTGCTGACTTTACTCCCCCTAACCTAGTCCCCAGGTACATGATATTGATACTGCCGTGTCCGTTATGTGTCCTCTATCAGGTGACACTATCGGTAATAACCTACGTGGCCGTATTTTCCCGCAAAAAGGCCAGCAATAGAATTGTAAGCCGCACGCACTTCTTATTGCTGACTTCCCCCCCCCCCTAACCTAGTCCCCAGGTACATGATATTGATACTGCCGTGTCCGTTAATATGTCCTCTATCAGGTGACACTATCGGTTGAAATTGGTCCACACATAAGGGAGGAGTACTGTTCACAAAAAACGGCTTCACGTATATTATATATTTAGATATAGATTTTTCAGGACAACCAAATACAAATGACTAGAAAGAGATGAAGGGTAAATGGAAAATAAGGAGCCAGTAGTTATCCTGAAGTCAGAAATCGGGAGTTTGCCGAATGCGAAACCCTTGGTTTTTATGTGCTAAACAGGAAAGGATTGGTTAAATGATTAAAATTTGTTCGTAGGTTCTACCTGACACCTCAAGAATGGAAGTAGGCCAGGTGAAAGTGGCAGAAGACAAAGATTTTGAAAACTTAAAATACCTTCTCGACAATCACACTGGATGGAAATTAGATTATACCAAAACCACAATCAAAGTCTGGACAAAAAATGTCTCCAATACAAATTTCAAAATGGTCAAGGTATGTTGAGTTCTTGACAATGTTTGTAGACTAAAACGTTAAATTACCTTGAGTATTGTGAAATCGTCTGATGTCTTTGTGAAACTTGTGGAACATCAGAGAGCAATTTCCAAGCTATAAAGAAAACAAATCCTATTTTAGAGCTGAATTCATAATAATTATGTATAACTTACAAGATTTAAGAATATTAAAGAATTATATTTCAAACATTGATATGGTCAACTAATTGTGTGAGCATTGTTAGAAACGTCGGGGGTTTTCATGCTAATTAGACAACTTAGGGTGTATGGTCTGGAGGTTAAATTAATTCAGATGGGTTTAATAGACTTAGGTGTCAGGTTCTGTTCTAGTAATAGTAATGACATAATTTGTTCCCTCAAACTCAAAGATAGGTAAGTTATTACTAAGTTATCAATCAAGCTGTTTAGCTTTTAGTTTTCTTTTATTTATACTTAACATTTGTATTTATTTATTTAACTATCTAACATCTTATTCGGTACTTCAGTATTAAACGGAGGCCACATTTTGTCAGCGCGCTGCGGCGGTTATGTTAGGTTGGGTTATCGTAAATATTATGTGTGTAGGACTTTCCTCGCTTCGTTATGAATCGAACGATACTTTCTATTATGATAACCCAACCTAACATAACCGCTGCAGCGCGCTGACAAAATGTGGCCTCCGTTTAATACTGAAGTACCTCTTATTCTTATATTAGATGTGTTTGGATGAATGTTTTAGCAATCTAGAGCGTTTAAAGCTAAAAGTACTTTTTACAAAATTATGAGAGTTTTAGGTGAAAGCTGAATTCACGGATATTAATGCTGAGCTCCTGTATGATGTCCTCCATGACCCTGAATACAGAAAGGTCTGGGACCAACATATGATTGAAGCTAAAGACATCGGCTGTCTGAATCCAAACAACGATGTCGGCTACTACTCAAGTAATGATGGTTTAAACTATCTTTATATAGTCAATGTTAGTAAGTAAAATGTAAAAATTCGGCCTACTTTTCCTATTAATTTTTCAACCAACTAAGCAATGTATTAGAGCCTAAATTTATTAGCTTAAAATTAATAGATACAACTTTTAAGTATGAAAGTTGTTAACAATTGATTAGCCATCACTAAAAATCAAACTGTATTGCTTAGTCTGTGAATGGTTAGATAATGTAAGGTATGTTTCTCACCAAGCCATCAATCAGCTCAAATGATTAACGTGTGGAGGTTATCAATTGTCAATTATTGAGATGGGAAGCCGTCGGTGTGTGTTTAAAACGAAATATGAGTTAAGGATGAGTGAGGAATGAAGTTTAGAACAAGTTTCATTACAATATGTCAAATTCAGTTTTGTGAATGGGAGTTCAGCTCTGGGCTTCGTTAGTAGCTTAACACGTTGACTGCTGAAAACCTTTACACAGGCGCTCCTAAACTGCGGTGAGGCCTGGGTGGAGCCCCTGCGCGCTACTTAATCAGCGGTCGCTATTGGCATTGAAAGATCTCAGTAAGACAAATCACAAAAGAGCAATAGTGATTGTTCTGCGTTACCCCGAAAGTGGACGCAGTTCACTGAAACACCCAAAGGTAGCAGCACTGCCTGGATCAATAACCATGGAGTCTTTGTAATATGGCTTAAATAGAGAAAATCCCCGAAAACGGGAAAAAAGCATTGCCAGACGGGGAATGTTTAGTACCAACCTACACCAAAATAAAGCTTGTATTCTAAGCTACAGCCTGACAACAATCACATTGTCGCCGGCCGAGTGCTGGGCTCAGACAGATGCAATATTTGGAAGGCGAGCACACTCTAGAACTGATGTAGCAGTAGGTCGCAAAGTGTTAATCATAGCACATGTAACATAGCACTTGTGGATGAATAAAATAAATATCGAATAAACAATGAATGCGGCCTGGGTTTTGTCTGTCTGTACTGTTATTGTTGTTAAATCAATTGTATTACAACACCAAAACATAACAGAACAGTACAAATGTTTAACCATTCTTCATCATAGATTTATCTCCCTCTTTGACTAGTTGGAGATTATTTCAGGTATATTTGAGACATCCGGTAACAATTGATCATTTTACCACTTTAAAATTATCACCTTAAAAAGAACAAATTTGTTACTTTACTAGACTACTTTTTTGTCCTGTAGTAAAAATTTAAAAAATACAAACAGTCAAATTTGCTCTTAAAAATTAGGGAAAAACATAAATTTGTCATTGAAACTTTCAAGCATTATGCCTACCTACTGAATATCAAACATAAAAAAGTCCTTAAATTTTACTAGAGGAAGTCTACTTACATTATCCAAAATGAACGATTCAAAGAATAAAGGTTGTATTACATGTACATTACACTTTATGACTGTCACTTGTGTATTGCAGTGTCTTGCCCCACTCCCCTTGGCAACAGAGACTTTGTCTTGCAGAGGTCATGGTTAGACCTGGGTAACGAGAAGTATATCCTCAACCATTCTGTCTACCATTGTCAGCACCCTCCACGTCAGGGCTTTATACGGGCCACCTCCTACCTCACTGGTAATAATTAAAACCATAGGCTATGTTCTCTAGATTTTTAGAAAATACCCCCGCCGCAGCAAACCTGCCGACTAAGCGAATTTCCATTTGTCTTAATTGATTTTAAAATAAATATATTTTAATAACATTAGGTTTAACGAGTACCTAGGTTTGCTGCTACAAGGAAACTAATAAAGTGTGTTTTTTTGTAAAATATTGATAGCTTAGTATAAAATAAATAAATTTGATCAAAATACAAAATATATCCATAAGCAAGCAAACTACAACATTTGACAATATTCTCCATAAGAATAACATGGGAATTTTAAATTTACATTTTTTTTTTAATTTTCTCCGTTACTGACTTACTATTAACCGAACAAAAATACTTTTATATACTAAATTAATTGTTTTTTTAAGCTCTTTAAAAAGGTCTAAAGAGAAATTTTGTGTTTTGAGGGTCAAAAGTGAGAAAAACCAATTTTTACCCCATAAAACCCCCCGCAAAGCCTCGTTCCCATGGTCCGATCATGCTGGTTCGCGAACTCATTCAAGTTTATCCCGCTTTACACCTTTAAACCAACTTTCATCAAAATCGGACAAAAATTACTCAAGTTTAAGTCTATATATATATATATATATACATATATAAAAATTTGAACGAATGGTGTTTTTGGTCTCTGGGGACATCAAAATGAAAAAGTAAATCGGTCCCGGGTCTAGGTCTTACCGTGCCACCTACGGTAATAGCTACTCCCCTATAGGGGAATTCGCTAAAACCCAACATAGCCATTGGGTACCAAGATTTTGTAATAACACTTATGTAACATATTCTTAGTAAAGGGCTCTAGGCCCGAATATGTTTAATAGCTTTTTATTTTACTAAATAATTGATAAATCTTTTTTTTTTTTTTACACCAGTGGCATTTCACAAGAGAAGTTACGAGAGATTAAATGTTTAGTCTTCTCAAATGTAAATGTAAATCTTCTCAAACCTCTGTGTTTGTTTCAAAAACCATGTATCAAGCTTCAAACAGACCCCTTTACCATATTTATTGTTAAATGCACTATACTGTAGAGTGTAGGCTAATCCATTTTGTATTGTTTAAACAGTGTTTTTGTATTTTATTTTCAAAGCAGCTACAGTAGTAATTTCTCAGGACATTGTCTATGTTTTAGACACTTTTTAAGAATCGAGTTTCATTTTTGTCTACATTTTTTGGGTTTGGTAACTTGAGGTTAAAATTGTTACCCAGGCCCGGACTGGCTATGTCCGCAGGTACGCGATCGCGGAGGGCCCCCTGCTCGAGGGGCCCTGAAGGGTCCCCTTCTCGCTTAATAATTACAAAAAAATGTTGTTACTTGTTAGAAGTTATCAAATGTTCTTAGCAAAGTTTTGTTTACGTTTTCCAAACCCCTGAGTGAGACCAAACCCCTGAGAACTGTGAACTGTGTTTGACAACTGTTTGTATCTTGCCGTTTATATAAAGGCATACAACATACTGTAGCCTATTGTAAGTTGAGTTACGTTGTTGTAGTGTAATACATCGTCTGCTCGGTGACTTGTGTTGTGGTTAGCAGACAACGGCCAAGTGATGCTCTTTCATATCAGCTGATTACTCAGCATAAAGACAGCGCAAAAAGACAGGAAAAGAAGAAAAAGATACTGGAATCTTTCCGGTAGGGATGTGCCGATTCTCGATGCCACCGATTTTGGAACATTGGTATGTGTATCGAGAATAATTTATCGTCAAGAGTCAATGCCGCTACCAATACCTAGAAGTGGATAGGAATAATTCGGATTCGAAAATCAATGGACGAAATTCAACCACAGAATCACTGCCGCATCTAAAAAGCAGTAACATAAAGGTCAGCTATGTATTTGCCTGCGTTAACGCACGAAACACGGCTAGCACATAAATCCAACTGTAAAAATTTCTAACACAAGAAAATTCAGAGAGTACGTATAGTATTGCACAATAGATAATTCAGTGTCAGTCAACCAGCCACGATGTCCCTACAGCTACTGCATCGTCTTGCCTACAAAAAATATTTTGATAAAGAAAGGGCATCAATAGTATGCTCTATTGGAAAGACAATCTATCTATATATTAATTACGTAAGCCGATTCTTTGCGTCAACATTTTGGGCGACTGGGACGTCGTAGAATGACAGGAGAGGGTTCAAATTAAAGGTCTCAATCCCGTGACGGCGGGAAAAATAGTGAAATTCCCCAAATTTTAACACCAAATTAGATATAACGTAAAATGTTCTCCATAAGAATAGCATTAGAAGCCATTTGCTGCTGATTTTTGTTTATTTCACTACAGCTGATCATGATTTATCATTAAGCCAGTAAGCATTAAAACATTTGGACTCATTTTCCAGTCAATTCTGCAATGTACGGTATACTATATAAATTTCACCAGAGATAACGTTACTTATAATTTAGACTTTTTCATCATGTCTTGGAATGTTGAAATAAATTTTTTACTGTACAGGTTGAAAATTTGTGTATTTAATAATTGCATAATTTGTTTTACATTTTTATCTTTTTAGGGACTTATGTCCCTACATGCCCCTAGTTCTATTTTAAATTCATACTTTTATTAAAAACATAATAGCTTTGACTATTAATACAACGAGACATTCCATCCCCATATTAATTTTGTAGCCAGATTTTTTTAAGTTTGTTATTTTAGTCAGTAAAAATAAATCTCGGCTACTAAGCCTAACTAAAGATGTACCGGTAGCCTATTTTGTCAGACTCAGCAGAATAATTTAATCGTTTTCTTTAAGAAGGCATACTACGTGGCAAATATAAGCAGGTTGAATTTAAACAACAATATATAACTTGGTTATTTATTACTGGTAAATACAACCATAAATTAACCAACAAAAGTGGGCTTTCTGACTTTCTAGTAAATTTTGAAGGTCTTTTTTCGAGTCTAGTTCATGTTGGTGACACTGATCACTAGTGTTGACAAAATTTTGTTCCTATTATTTTAGGGTTATTTTGGTGATTTTTGCATTACTGTTCGGTTATATAGCTAGGGGACGAGTTATTATATGATTACATCGTTTAATTTGGTTAATTGAGTTTTTAAATAGCTAAAGTAACAAGAAACACATTGTTACAACACACACAACCTCTACAGTACACTGGACAGAACGACAGAACTAACAGCAATATTAATTGTCCTCAGCTGATCCATAAGGATGAGAATTGAGAAATCTATGGAGCATGTTTAGCCTATCTAGTTAAGTTATACTTGCGTTAAGAGATTTTTGGCTTATGTGTGTATGCGTTTGTGAGTAAATGTTCAGCTTGTAGACAGTGCTTATTAGTTGTGAATATGTGTGTAATTTGTGTGAATATCCCATGTGTTATGACTCATGTTATGTGTATTTATAGTTCAATATTTTTGTTCCTTATTAGGCCTACTAATTATACAGTCTTTGTCTTGTTAGTACATATTATTTTTCAAATCCCTAAAATCTCTGTGATTATTATAACCACACATATAATGTTGACACAATTTATTAACTTTGGTGTGAATAATAATAATACTACACTTTAATTTGAACTACGTTATAACACTTATATTGACACTTCTACAGTGTGTATTACATTGTTGTAGTCTCCTTAAAATAATTTTTTTTAAATTTTAATAAATAATAAAGTTGATTTTAATAATAAATAATAGGCCAAGTAAATACCCTAATATTTTATAAATGCCTAGCTAAATTTCTTCCTTTAAAAAAAAATTCCAAACTAGTGAGAAAAAACTCGTGTACAAGAACCTAATAAAAAAAATCCTCCCGTAAAGGGCCCCTTCACAGCATGTAAGCTGAGGGCCCCAAATGGTCCCAGTCTGGGCCTGTTGTTACCGTACTTTGATTTGCAATTGTTTTACGTAAAAAACTAATAGTTTTTCAACACCTCAATGCTGTTGACAATTCAAATACACTAGGGCTTTCTCAGTTCCTAATTTATGGTTTTGTTCAACACATTTATGTCAATGAACTATAGTTGTATTTATGGCCGAGATTTTTTGAGAAGCATAAGCTCATGTACTAATGTGTGTGGTTGTAGGCTATTTGGTGCGGTCGTACCCTAACATACCTGGCTGTGAGCTAGGCTACATCTCCCAGACTGATCCTCAAGGCACTCTCCCTCCTTGGCTGGTCAACAGAGTCACTCAGATATTTGGGCCCAAGGTAAACTGCCACAAATCCAAAATGCAATTGGCCTCCAGAAATTTGCCTCCATTGATGTATGTCTCCGCGAAAAAGCTTACAAGTTTACCGCTGCCTCTGGGACAGTTTGGTATGATAGTTTGATACTTTTCAAGCTTGTATTTTTTGTTGTATATAATTAAATAAAGTGGTTTATATTACCTGTCCGTCTCCGTGTGATAACGGGAGAGGAGCAAGGACACCTCAGTCATGACCACTCCATATTTTTGTGTTTTGTGTTGTATGTGTGTGTTTTTGTGTTTACTGACGACCTCAATTTGAGTGACATGGCATTTTTTAACAGCCTGATGATGGAATTTTAATCCTGAAACCGGTCGCCTAGGACGACAACAATAGGATCACTGACGGACAGGTAATATAAACCATTTTAATCAATAAGTGATCCTGGGCCACTAAGCATAATGTATATAATTATAATTGCTTTATTTATACAGTTTTTTGAGTTGCAAGCTTTAGCAATTAATTGATGAACATTTGGATTACAGACTGAGACAAGGAAGCTTATTGTGTCATGAAAGGAAAGGAGTCAAGGGGTAAAAAAATAAATTGTTATCATTTCAGCTGATCAAAGACCTGCAGAAAGCCAGCAGAGGCTACGTCAGCTGGAAAGCATGTCACAACCCGTTGTACAAACCTTGGCATAACCCAGAGCAGATGGTGTCTCCTCGAATCAAACTTCAAGAGGTAACCGCGTTTTAGATTGTTGCTCTATATTTTATGTTAAGAATCCATGTCTATGAAAGCCAGCTAAAAGGTATTTCCTGTAACGTATGGAAATTAAGTCTCATTGCCATGTAATCACATACAGTGGAAAGAAATAAATTCAAAAACTTCTTCAATTCAATTTTTTTATCTTGGTAGAGAACTACAATAATTAACCTCCAAATATCATGGATGGTTCAAATTGTTTCCGCACTAATTCTTCTAGTGCTATGGCTCTTTTTTCGATTTCATACTGAAACATGATAGGCGATTTGAACCAATATTACAAGTTTTGGGGGAAAAGTCATGCCTCATCTCTTATTTTTCAAATCCTTCAAGCTTAACAATAAGTAGAGGTGTGCGGATATCCGAAAAATCGGGTCGGATTTGGTTCGGATATCCATTATCCATATCTGGATGGACTATGTTTTTGCCGTTTTTGACTTATATGACGACTATAAGGCCACTGAGACATTGCCTTCCCATATAAATTCTTTGCATCAAGATACAAACACTGAAACATGGCCTTGCCATATAAATTCTTTGCATCAAGATACAAACACTGAGACATGGCCTTGCCATATAATTTTTTTGCATCAAGATATAAGGTAGGCCTACAGTATAGTTTTTTGTGAAGTTGAGTGAGCTGCAAATTTGAACTTCAGTTTTTGTAACTGAACCAAGATTAATGACTTACAATATCACCATTGTGAATAGTTTAGGTACTTTCCTGTTAAAGGTAACATTCATTATTATCGATGATGTTTTTCTCGATATATCGATATTAACTAATTGAAACCTATCAGCAGCTGACAACTACGATAAATAAATATTAATCAGTATCAACAAACAATAATTTTAAAAGAATATTGAAATGAAACTGTTCTAAACTAACCTAACAAAACTAACCAAACTTGCTGAACGTTTAAAAATCTGTTTAATATTCTCCACTTCCCTTTTCTGTTATCAAACGGAATTTATAAATTTAAAAAGGGTACAGCAAGTTTGGTTGGTTATGTTAGGATAGCTTAGAACAGTTTCATTTCTTAATCCATATAATAGACTATATTTTAGCCTAAACAAGATCAGTTGTCAATTTTTAATGGATTGTAAAGAAGTACAAAACTATCGATATATCGAGAGAGAAAATCATCGATAATAATGAATGTTCCCTTTAACAGGAAAGTACCATAGTTTACAATTCATGTTGTAGTTTATGTATATAAAATTGCAAATTATAACTTCAACCTTAATATTTATTTATTAGGTACTTGAACGTCAAACTATCCGATCCGATCCGAACTGAGCCTTAACTATCCGAACCGGAACCGATCCAAACTGAAATTTCACTACCTCTAACAATAAGCTACTAAAATAAAGACTAAAACATACAATTTGAAATTTTTTCTCTTAAAATAAAAAAAATACCATGAATCACAAACTTAACTGTTTTTGTAAAATAAGCGCTACCTACTGAAAAATTAAATAAGGAGGTTAATTCTTGGTTTTGTCTTGAGATTCATAATACCTCCTCTAAGGGTGGATATAAATCGTTGTCAAGAATATCACTTTCCTTTCATATTTAGGTCATCAAAACATTAAATATGAAAATATACATTCGACCACTACTGTTGACACAGGTACACACTGCTCAGTTTACATGTCCGGACTCATAGAAGCGTTCACCAAGCAGTGCGTGCCTGTGGCCACAGTAGTACTAGTCTATATTGATTATTTTTTTGTCTAAATGTTAATGTGTGCATGTTTAATGTTTTGACAACCTGAATATGAGTGAAAAGTGAAATTTTTGCAAGGATCTGGAGAAGGATATATATTCACTGGAACAATCGTCATACACCCTACTTGTCTTGAGCTATTATAAATCACAAGACGAAATCAAAGTACAATCTGAATCTTGCCTTAGTTTGATAACTGTCCACAATAAAGTTTGTGTGCGGAAAGAAGATTGTTATCTTTGTAAATCTTAGTACTCGTATTACTTCCAAATCATCAAGTTGGAACCAGTGTTGGGGAAGCTACTTTTAAAATGTAGCTAGCTACAACTACTTCTACATTTCCAAAAAAGTAGCTTAGCTACAGCTACAGCTACAGTTCCGAAAAAGTAGCTAGCTACAACTACAGCTACAATGAAATGTAGCTACAGCTACAATTTTAACTACTTTTTCAAAGACGTTACTTTTTATTCCACGCACATTAGGTAAATGTAAAATTAATTGAAACTACATTTTTATTAAACAAACATTTAAACAAAAAATGTCAGTATTATATATAACATTACTTGGAAAACAAATTATTCCTAGATTGTATTTAATTTGATGGCATTATAAACCTAACATTACAACAACAGAACCAAATAGTTTGGTGTCCCATCATATTTAGTACTTATTTTTAAACATTGCATTATTTTTAAGCATCTTTTATATGTAAATTTCATTAAGTTCAAAGGACATACAACCAAACTATATTTTTAAAGCTCATTTTATTTCTTTAATATAGATTCATTTATAAGAAATCAGAAATCAGAAACTTTTTATTGCCGTAATTTGCAAGGTACATGCATATGACAAAGTCAACAACAAATGAGGTTCAAGTTCAACCAAGAAAATAAAACTAGATACCGGTAAAACAAAAATAGACAAAACATTTGTCTGGGCAGTCATAATAGATCAAAAAATAAAAATGTAGCTATGCAAGCATCGAGCCTATCAGAAACAAGACAGTGATAGATAGATAGACAGTATAGATATTATATCAACAATTAAGACCAATAAAACTGTAAAACGATTATTTAAAAATACTTTTTTGTGTTACAGAGCCTATAGCCTACTGAAATTGGAGTTTATTGCCTTTCTTTTCTTTTAATGTTAAAAACTATAGCTTTTAACCATAGTGATAAGTTACTTGTTCTATGAATAACACTTTTCAATGTCAAGAAATCGTCCTTTATTGTCATTATGCATAGGGCAAATTGTGCTTCAACCTAGTTGGTACAGAAAACAGTATTCAGCAACTTATTCTGAAATCGTCTTTTAATTTAAACATGTTGAAATTTGTAAAGTAAAAATAACATTTAGGCCTACTTGGCTATTTAACAAGTTGGCTATAGTAGTCTTGTTCTTGCAAGGACTAAACAGATATATTCCTAATACACCATAGTATAGCCTAGGAATAGTCCTATACAAGAGCTGTTAGCAGGAGCAAACTAAGCTATTTTTTCAATGTAAGTTTCATGTTATATGGAGATTTTTTCGTTACAATTATCATGTAGTCCAGGCATATCTTAAATCTCATCAAGTCAATTTCTTCTCTGTTAATTTAGTAAACCTTTGAAAATATTCGTAATCTAACCAAGGAAGGGTTTGTGTAGATGAACCACAATCAACAGCTGAAGCAAAGGTTGATGGACCAGCTTTCTCAAGGTTTAGTGTTGGTTTCAATTAAAACCCAAGTTGAAACACTATCGATATAATAAAGAAACTAAATTGATTACTAATTTCCCTGTCAATCACTTGCAAGCATTCAATAGCTTCTCTTGTCACCGGTAACGTTTAAACGTCGTCTGCATCTAGCGATTTTATTTTATCTGACAGTAATCATAGAGTAAGTAAATTAAGGAAATGAGAGCCAAAAATGTGGATAACACTCATTTAATGGCCTCCATGTCCACACAACGTTGTAATAGGGAATGAAACAGCTGCAACCAGCTTTATGAGGCCAAGAAAGTAGGCCTAATTTTTTTGAAAATCTCAGCTCAGTTTAAAAGAGGTTGTTTCACGTAAGGTTGAGGTTATGATAAAAATCACTATCTCAAACAATGTTAATGTAGCGAGAAAAGTAGCTAAAATTCCGCTACAACTACTTTAAAAATGTAGCTAGCTACAGCTAAAGCTACAGAATCTTAAAAGTAGCGTAGCTACAGCTAACGCTACAAAAAAAGTAGCGCGCTACTGTAGCGTCGCTACTTGTAGCGCGCTACTTCCCAACACTGGTTGGAACAATTTGGTTTTCGGCCCGGTCGAAGTACAATATCTGCTGTTGCATATTGTGTTGACCAGGTTGTTGTAGCTTTGAAGGGATCACAAAGCACTATGGGAGTGTTATGTGATCTGTCCAAGGCATTTGATTGCATTGAACATGATATTCTCTGTGAAAAACTTAAATATTATGGATTTAGTGACTCGGCGGTGTCTTGGATAAGATCATATTTGGACAGTCGGTATCAAAGAACGATAGTAATTAAGAACAGCTTTAAACACGTCTCAAAATGGCAGAGGGTTAAATTTGGTGTACCACAAGGCTCGATACTTGGGCCTCTGCTTTTCCTTTTATATATAAAGGACTTACCTTTAAATATATCCTCAACTCTTACATTTTATGCAGATGATACATCAGCAATATTAAAAGCAAAATCAAATGATGACTTAAAATTAGTTTTTCAGAATACACTTAGAGGACTTCATAATTGGTTTTCTTTTCAGCTAATGGTTTGTTGCTTAATCAGTCTAAAACACATTTGGTAAAATTTCAAACTAAACAAAAGAAAAATGTAGATGATGACAATTTTATATTTCAAGGTAGCTTAATGGAGATTCACAGCTCAGTTAACTTTTTAGGGATGGTGATTGATTCAAATCTTAATTGGAAAACTTATGTCAAAAAAGTATGCAAGAGATTAGACTCTATTTGTTTCCAAATGATTGTTCTTCGAGAGGTTATTGACTCAAAAACCAGGCTTATGATTTATCATGGTGTTTTTTGCCAGTTGTAATCTATGGCATTGAGTTCTGGGGAATGTCATCTCATGCAGATACAATTTTTAAGGTCCAAAAAAAGTACATCCACCTCATGACATTCTCCTCAAAGTCAATCCCTCAAATGTCTTATGTTTGTTAAAAATAATTTTGAAATTTTAAGTAAAACTCAGCATAGGCACCATCATGAAACTAGATTTCAAACAAATGTTCAGTATCCAAGACACTATCTGAAAAGACACCACAATATATGGGGAGGAAACTGTACAATACACTACCCAGCAAGTTTAAGGAAATAATAGAGAAGGACGGCTTTAGAGAAAAGTTGAAGGATTTTTTGATAAAAAAAATGTATTATTCAGTTGACGCATTTTTTAATGATAAATTCATGTTCTTAAAATGATTTTTGTGAGGTTTGATTAATTTTTTTCCCTGGATACTTATTGCTAGGTGTACTCAATTATGATAACTTTACTGTATTGACAATGTCATCTATTATGTTCTAGCTTTGCTAGTTGTTAAAGAATGTACTGTTATGACAATAAAGATATTCTTATTCTTATTCTCATTATACCATAAATAAATACAAGCTTGGCTATTAGGTCATTTGATTTCATCATAACTTAACAATGCAACCTAACAATCAATATAAATCCTTTTCTAGTGTGTGAGAAGTCCAGCAGAGCTAGAATATCGCAGTGAAGAAGATGCCAAACTAGAGGCAACGCTCATAAAACATAAGAAAGGAAAAACAAAAAAGGAGAAAAATAAATAACTACAAAATAATGTTTACTAAGCCAAGTGATCTTACAGTTTGCTTTAAAAACAACCAGTTTACTACCGATTGTGTGTAATATTATCATTTCAATTTATTAGACTGATACCTTTTAAATGAGCCATGGTGTTTTTCCACCTCATACCGATGGCTGATAAATGAGGTTAACTATTTCATAACTACAGACCAATAACTTGTTTTTGAGTATTTTTTCTTATTCAAATAAATTAAATACAATCATCCATCAGTTTATATTTTGTGATTAGATGATTTATGTGGTCTGAGCGTGGGGAGATTATTCGTTGCTTTTGTTTCTTATGGCCTACTAGGAGTAGGTCTAAACACATGAGTAAGCATTGGTATAATCTAATGGACCATTGCATATAGCTGATCTTTACTAGTGAAATAGTTTTGGTTCATTTATGAATGATCAGTAGTCAAAGTGTTAAATTTAACCTAAATCTTTACTCAACTTAGGTTGGCCGTTTGTGTATTGTAAGTTGTAATGTGTTAGTTAAGTTTTTTTCGCCTGAGGACGGGATCAGATTCCAGATCCCGAAACTTTGAATATGTTTATTGAGGTATATATATGTTTGGGAATTACCTATGATTTTATTCAGTCAAACTCAAATTCACTAATCTTATGTTCCATGTCTAGCTACTGTAACCATGTGAATTTTCAAGTGAAAGTAAATATTGAACTACCGTTAGCTCTTTACTTCTAATTCTTTGACGCCTTTAGGCCAGCTGCACACTGATGCAGCATTTCATCTCAAACAAGGGTTGCAAGGCAAAATATTTGTACAAGCGCTCCATGTATTCAATGGGCGGCCGCACACTGATCAAGCAAACTTTGCGAGGCACCTCGCAACACCTCAAAACATTTGAGCAGCCTCTCAACGAATGGATTTGATACAGCACGATATTTGATGTTTCAAGGAGCAAAACGTTCTGCGCATGCGTCAAATCCCTTCTTACTAGTAATGGCTTAGAGGATCTCAAAATGCAATAGACCTCTTGTTTGAAAAATGAATTTTGAAGTTTCGTTAAAACTTAACAATTATATTTTGAATTTCTATTGAATAATATTGTTGGTTAATTTTTTCTTGCTACCACTTTGATAGTAAATCAGCCTGTGCAAAGTAGTAAATAATGAATTAATTACCAAGGTTACTCAGTTCATTATTTATAACCATCACGTCACGACATTACCTAATAATAATTTCTAACGATATCGCTTACGTTATTTAAAACCCGTCCAATAAAATAGTAGTATATAGCAATTATTCATCAATAACTCGAAAACTTCCCTGGATCTGATTTAATTTCTGAGAGGAAAGCCTTAATGTCTGTCATCTGATTGATTGGGTTAACCCAATGTTTTCTTTCTATTTAGTCCAGCATTTGCAAAAACTGACATACAGCAACAGCTACGTTGACTTCCTCGCACACTTGTTAAAACGTTACGTTACTATAGAGGACCAGTAAAAATAATATTTATTTTTGCTTGAAACCAAATGCTGAATCATGCTTGATCCTCCCACAAACTGGAGTTAAGCAAAGAAACAAAATGCTTCAAGCATCAGGCAAAATGCTGGATCAGTGTGCCCAGCCTTAGAGGTGTCAAGAAATATATCATCTAGACATGTTATCCAATATACTGTGACTTGAACTATGAAGCTACTTTTACTTGTCTTTTACTTTTCTCAAGCCTCTGGTGGAAATTAGTTTGATGAAAATGTAACTGATAAGAGGTGTTATTGTAAGCTTTGTGTTTTGCTCAAACTTATTTTTTCGGCCTACAGTGTATGCATTTCGATTGTATTGTTTTTAATCAGTAATTTTAATAAGTTGTACCTGATGATTTGAAACAATTGTGATATTTTCTAAGTAGAAATATATATTAGTTGATGTTTTATTGCATTTTTTAAGTAATAAGTTAAATGTTAGTGTTAGTTTTAAAATAATATGTGATTATTTTACTATGATTAATTTTTATATATTTAATTATTTTACAATTTCCATCATTTGCATTTATTAATTGCAATTTCTAGTCTTGATCTAAGGTAATAAAACCAATTATTTTACAAGTTCGCTGACACAAAAAATTAACTTTTTTATAATTTGATCACAATTTTTGGTAAGATACATTTTGATATTCTAAATACTGTATCTATATTGTTTAAGGTATATGTATTGAGAATATAATTCAATATTATTGTAAAGAAATATATTGGACACTATAGCCTATGCACTTCTATAAAATGTTATCAAGATAATCAGCAATAATATACTATTTTATATATTAGATTTGTATAGATGTTTAAGCTTTCAGAAAATACGTATTAGCTTGCTCTCCTTTTTGCCACTTTTCTTATACCAAGTTCAATATTAGATCCAATATAGTATTGTATCGGGTATATAATGTTTAAAATTGTTAGAAGATGGAATGTTCCATATTTTAAACTATGATTTTTGTTAATGTTAATAACTAACTCGTGATAGCGTTGTTAAAACTTCACTGTTATTGAAGTGTTGTTCTAAATGTAAAATACAATAATGGTTGGTTGAAGTAGGTTGTTAGCTATTATGCTGCGTTATTGTTGGATTTTTAGAAGTTGTTAACTTTATATTTCACCGAATTTCGAGGTTACTCAAAGAAAAAAAAAACAGTTTTAAACATTTTGGACGGTAAGAAATTAGGATTGTTGGAGTTTCAGTAGGTGTAATGTTGGCCATTTTGCTTGGTAAAGGTTTAACTTAAAATTACCAAGACTTGAAATTAAAACAATATAAATCAACCCCAACTTTATTATTATTATTAGTATGTAATTGATAAGGTAAACTTTAACCTTTTGCTCATTGAAATAACAATTTTCTTTTAACTTTTTGCTGAACGGTGAACTTTTTTTATCATTACAAACACCACAGTGCCAACAAAAATGTATTTTCATCATACTGTCCTGAAAACACCTGTTTATATTAAATATTTATTTATAGTTCTCTACAATCTATGTGGGCGTTCTACGCACGGGAATCTTATAGTTTATAGTGGTCAGTTGAAACCTTCCTATATAAAGAATAGCAGCTGGTTTGCATATTTTTAGATATGCTGGCCAAACTATTATATATAAACAAATACAGTATCTGACAGTTTCAAGTAAAAAAAAAAAAACGCGTAATAGATCTATGAAGGGTACACTTCCATATCTGTTGGCACAAACAACCAAATGAGTAATATTGATTATTCGATTGTTTAATTCGATACAGTTGAACCTCTATAAGATGAATTTCAAGGGCTACGGGAAAAATTTGTACTATAGAGGTATTCTTAATAAAGAGGGTCGTTTTATCGAGGTTTAATGCTGCTGTTATTCTTCTTATAGAGGTTTCTCCTCGCTCCAAGGTTTCTCAAAACAATGACTGAGGAAGGAGGAGGGATGGGTGGGGGTTTCATGTTGAGACAAGCTTCTGTTTGTTTTGAAAACTACGTACTATGGAGGTTAAGATTATGATAAATTCGTCTTATAGAGGTCACGTTCGTCTTTTAGAGGTTTTGTGCTAAGAATATTCGTTGTATAGAGGTTAATCAGTCCTAGTACATGTCACAAACTAATTCCTCTTATGGAGGGTTTTAACTTAATTACTACGTTGTATAGAGGTGTTTTTTAGCATTGACCTATATGAAAGTGTCAAGGGGATTAAAAAAATTTGTCTTATCGAGGAATTCGTTTTATCGAGGTTCGTACAAACGAGGTTCAACTGTATATCGTTTGGTTAGTTAGGTTAGGTTAACCTTACCTAACTAACCAAACGATATAGGCCTATAGTTAAAATACTGTACCTCAACCTCGCCATTAAACATTCAGGTTGGAAATTTCACTATCAAAGGTGCTCTTGTCCTGTCCGTACGGAACACTGAGTAATATGCGCTACCAACATATGAATAATTGTTTAGGCCTACGATCCCAAGACATGGGCAATTGGTCTATTGGCTGTATGGTCCAGCGAGCAGCACATAGCGTGGAGAAGACACATTGGAAAAGCGATTTGAGCATAATCCGTAAACCTCTGTTACAATCGCCAACTGCAGTTGTCACTTTACACTTTACATAACCACCATTGAAGTGCCGTCAATGAGTTGAAACCTTTTATGCAAGCTATTGGTAACACTTATGTAATAAATGTAAGTTTCCCAGCCATATACAACACTAATTCAATGTCTTTTCCCCGGTTATCAAAACTCAAGAACAATTTTATACACAAAGAATCTCTATTTTCATTTACGGTTACCCTACACATTATTGCACTTGCGATTAATTAAATCCGTTATGTAAGCAAAAACGGTTTTAATCCAACTTTTTTTGGATTCGCTTTTGAAACGTGATTGGAAATGATTGCGGTATTTGTAAACAACATTCAATGTAAACATATCAATGACAGCTAGAGAAAAATAATCTTGATCCGACCAGCTGTTTGCTATTTCATAGATGAGATTATGTGATAAACATTGGGAGAAACCTTGACAAAAATCGCACAAAATTGGGTTTTTAAACGTCCGGAAGTTTATTTACAAAGTAGTGAGGCCATATTTTAATAGCTAAAGACACTCTCGCCAATCCAGTGAATACATTAAACTTATCATTAAACGATGTATTCCAGCGAAAGTGTCTTTTTGGTGCTTAACCGTATTTCCAGGCTGATGCTGATTCGCTCGGCTGTGCCTCGCTTGCAAAACACGATTGCGTAATAAAAAGAGCTACTTTTGCTCATAGTGATCAAACAAAACTATTATTATTTATAATAATCAAAATCCTTGAAAACGATCATACTTTGTCCTTTTTGCACATGATTTATAGCACATTTTTCTGTATAGACTTTGCTTTCTTGCAGTAGTTCATTACAACACAACTTGGTCTATCACGCTTTCCCTCTAAACTCTATTAACAATGATTTAAAACTATATTCTATTGTAATTTGAAGTGTGAATGGATTTGTAAGTAATTTTACCTACATATACATATATCTCCAGAGTATTTAAACAAGTATTTGACTCAATTCTCAGTTATGGTCCACAATGGATTTAAAATATGATTTCAGAAACATCGTTACTAAAGAAAATATTTCACGTATTATTCACTAGAGAATAACGTATTTCCTATTTTACTATCAAAAGTAATAAATTAATTTAAACAAATTAATTTACATTACCAATAGATACGACTTAAATTACTTTTATTCAAAATAAATAACACAACTAAAATATCATTTACTTGACACTAAGACTTACATTATTGTTATCCTGTGCTGATGAGTCTGAATATATGAAATTTGAATAAAAAGACATCGCACACAAAAACATAAAAACACAACAAACACAAAACCACGGATCCATAGTCGACCTTTTTCAATCACTAACGGGCTAGCTTGTTAATCTCTTATACTATCTTGATAACACAACTGCTATTAAAAAGTTAAAATTTATTGTTGCTTTAGAAATTACTTTGCAGTTTTGATTAGTTAAATTTTTAGCCACAAGTCCTTCTTTTGGTTCTGTAAGGAAACCAACATTTGTTATCAAATCCAGAGTATAGGTGTGTAATAGGAGGGACACATTTTGGACGAGTGACTTACAAGATTTTTTGCCATACTATTCTAAACTAACCTAACAATAAAAAATAAAGAACAAGTCCGTTATATATTCCCACAGACTAAAGTACTTAACAATCACTCACTACTCATAATTTCTAAGAGAGGTTATGTTTTCGTTTATTGATTCGTTGACTTATTGCCAATTATAATCATCAGGTGTCAGGTAGTTAGGCAAAAAGACTTTTCCCCTGATACAAAAAAGGTATCTCTACCTAAAAAGAAAAAAGGTAAAAAAAAGGTAAAAAGTAAAAAGGTAGGTCTGTTGTATCTCTTACAATTTTCACTGTATTGGTAGATATGGAATTTTTGTATATCCCTTTTTAAATGAGAGATAAAGGTATTATGAACTATTGAAGGCCCCTTTAATGCATTGCGGCTGTGGTTTTTACTGTGCTGCAAAAACATGCCGCATGCGGTTTGGAACTTGCAGCGCCGCAGGTTTTATATCACTGGTAGCACTGACAGTGGTTGCGGCCCGCGCCGCAGTGCATAAAAGCTCCCATAAGACCCAATGTACCTACGGCCACCAAAAAGCTGCGTTTCCTGGGTCCGCTGCACTTGAGTTGCAGGCCGCATATATACCGCAGGTGCATAAAAGGGGCCTGAGGCAATGCTGTAGGCTCCCTGTTGTTTTAAAACACTGGGACCAAACCTTGGTTTGAATCATAAAAAGGTTGAACCACTATAATTTATTACAGGAGTGTATGTATATGTTTTAAAATCACACATGACAAATAAAAAATTAGTAAATTGATTTGAATAAGATATAGTCTACCGAAAACATGTTGTTTTCTATTTTATAAAAGCAATTGATTTGTAATCATTTTCTAGTACTGTGATATAAGATTTTGCTTGTATCTTGGAAAAATATTCCTGAAAGTTAAGCATTCCTGTAGTGTTGTAGCATTAGATTAATTTCAAATAAGTAGGAAAGCAAAGATTCTACGTAATGTACATTACAACACTGTGATTTAATCTGTGATTATTGTTTGTTTTTTGTGATGTAGTCACAATAAATCTGATTATTCCATTGTTTTTGTTTAAATTGTCCTCATTATGGGTTATGGTTGGTTATTTGAAAATATTTTTTAATTACTATATATCTTCAGAACTTGAACTTCAGTAGTTGAACATAAAAATAATCCAATATCAATTGTAACAGTTCTTTAATATCTTTTAATATCGTTAATCAATAGACCTGAGGGTAAATAACATCAAATCTCATTGTGACCTACTTGTGTTGATAATTTTTAATATGACATACAAGAGGTCTTAGTCCAAAATGTTTAGATAATATAAACCCTTATCGAGAAGCAGCTTTGGTTTGATCGATAGATTTTTTTAAATTGTGCAGCCCAAGACTGATATTTTGCTCCTGCCACTAAAAGTTTCAACTGTTCTACATCTATAATTTATTTCTAGCATCTAGACTCTTTACTACATTTTGATGCGAGATATCAAATAACCAAAATAGAAAACTGCCAGATTTTCTTAGTTAAATATTGTGTAGCTTGTTAACTTTATCTTATGGTTTTTGCACAAATATAAGAAATAATTTGATGGCCAAGTCATTATTGGCAAAGCTTTCTTTAATTTTTTTCCATGTTGAATTATTTTTAGTATTCAAATCAATATTTTCTAAAAGCTATTCATTTACTCAAGGTGATTTTCATCCAAACGTCTCACCCATTGTAAATTATTCTGTGCTCTATTTGGGATGAGCTCTATTAAAAAGCAATTTGGTGATCAAAGCAATCTATAGTGACATTATAAAGAAATATGAAAGATGTTCCTTAAAGTTCAAAGAGAATCAAATTGAAAGCACTAATGTCACTTGTCAAACCATTGTTTTATCATTTTTAGTTTTACCATCAAATATGTTAGCCAAAAGAGTGCATTTCAATCTCTGCCTGTTTGTTGCTGCAGGTTTGAGTCTCCCTAGTGGTGCAGTGAAGTTAAAGTGGCCCAAGATTTATTATTTCTACATGATCCTTTCTGATATCTTTACTGTCGCAAACCTAGTGACAATCGGAGTCAACTTGTTAGCTCCCAACGTTTCCATCACCAAGAGATGTTACAGCGGTTTCACAGCACTCGCTACGGCTCAATCTGTCATCAAACTGGTTGCCTGTTACATTTCCAGAAATAAATTTGCTCACTATTTCAAACTTTGGGACAATCTTGTGGAAAAGAGTGCTGACAGAGAGTTGCAGAAAAGTTTGACTGAGAATTCAAAATGGATTAAACGATTGTCTACATTCATGTTTCTGTTCATGGTCGGACCTATGATACCCTGGGGCTCGTTGCCTCTCTTCATAAAAGTGCTGTCCTACATTATTCCTGCTTTGGAAGACGGGTATCACTTCATTGCTGTTCCGGCACAGTTCCCATTCGACCCTCTTGTATCTCCTGCTTACGAGTTCGTCACTGTTTTCCAGGGTGTAGCCGCAGCAGCTGTAAACTCTAAATTGATTGCTTACGATTGTATGATTTACGGGCTCATTTCGTGTTTGGTTGTGAAACTGAAATTTTTGAAAACCTCTTTTAAAAGCATTGTTGATCCATATCAAGGAAGATCAAAAAGTGTTTTGCTGAAAAAAGGGGTGAGAAACCATCAGAAACATCAGCTGAGCCGCTGGGTACAAGAGCATTGCGACTTGATGGACCTGTGTCGTTATCTGAATAGACTTTACTCTCCGGTACTTCTCCTTCAGCTCTTCTTGGATGTTTTGATCCTCTGCTCCAATGCTTTTGTGGTAGCTTCAGCAACCGTAACCAAGATGGAAATAATGTTCTCCTTCGGATACGTTTTGGGAACAGTCATCCAGCTTTATACACTGTGCTGGCTTGGAGAAGAAATAACAAATCAAAGCCTTACCTTAACTGATGAAGGGTTCTGGCAAGAATGGTATTCTAATCCTCGTTACATCACCAGTAGTTTAAAGATAATTTTTGAGAAAGCTAAAGTTCCACTTAAAATTTCAGCTTTTGGAACTTTTAATCTATCTATTGAGACTTTCAAATCCATTGTTGGCACAGCTTATTCATACTTTATGGTTTTAAACCAAATCAAAAAGAAAAGTCTCGAGTAAAATAACTACCGGTACCTAAACACTTTGCAGTTGATGTATGTGTATGTTTAGATATTTGTTTTGTGAATCACAAGTTGTCTTACAGTAGAACAATATGTGTAAGTAAAAATTTAACGATAAAATAAATACCCCCGCCGCAGCAAACCTGCAGACTAAGCGAATTTCCATTTGCCTGATTGGATTTACACTAAAATGTCTACTTAAAAATATAACATTTATTCCCGATTTAAATAGACTTAGTTTAACAAGTACTTAGGTTTGCTGCATCAGGGAGGGTAAAACTGTTTTTTTTTTTTGTAAAATGTTAATAGTTAGTAAGAAATAAAAACATTTTCCAAATTTGATCAAAATATGTTCATAAACAAGCAAACTACAACAGTTTACTTATTCTCCATAAGAATAACATGGGAATTTTAAATTTACAATTTTTTTAAATTTTCTCTGTAACCATTAGACGCATTATAACGCTTCAATATACTAAATTATTTGTTTTTTTAAGCTCTACAAAATGGTTTGGAAAGAAATTGCTAAATTATATGTTTTTTTTGTCAAAAATGTGAAAAACCTATTTTTACCCCATAAAACCCCCGTTTATAACCCCCGTGTTTTTTTTGTTGGTAAACCCCCGTCCCGATGGTCCGATCATGCTGGATCGCGAACTCGTTCGAATAAACGTAGGTTTACACGTTTGTACCAAATTTCATCAAAATTGGATCATTTTTGCTCGAGTTATCGTGCTAACGGACACATATATATATATAAATATATATATATATATATGAATTTGAACGGATGGTGTTTTTGGCCTCTAGGGACCTCAAAACAAAAAAAAATCGGTCCCGCGTCCAGGTCTTACCATGAGTACTACGGTAATAGCTTATTCCCTATATGGGAAATTCGCTAAAAAAAGATATACAGAATATAAAAGCTTAAAGAGGCTTGTTGTATTGGTGAAGAAGGATAAGTTAGAAAGAACCGGAAAATGGGATCTGGGCTATGATAATTATATATGACATTTAAATAGTTACTTTGTTCATAAGATGTTCTTTATCACAATTTATATAGTAAGCGTGTGTAAATGTAAACTATTAGTCAACCAACACCATTATAATATAATAATATATTATACAATACAATAATATAGTATACCATTATATGTACTATATACCACTTCCTTTGATGCCTTGTATGTTTCTATGAATTAGTTAAATACTCTATTGCCTGTTAACAACTAATTACATAGTATACACAGTATATAAATTTAGTACCCATAGGATATGTAATGTTGTACCAACAGACAAATAGAATTAAATATAGACCGTCAGCAGTGCTGCGGTTAGCATAAGTTCTGGCGTCCATCGCTGTGAGCACCGTGTAGTTGCATAACCATACTAAAAAAAACTTTCTGAGCTATTCGGTAAAATAATCAATTTATAATTTATAACAGTTTTTTTAGTTTAGCAAAATATACAACTACAGTTGTAAACTTTATTTCTTTGATAGCTTAAAATTTACCGTAGCACATTCAAAGATATACAGCTTGCAGCAGTAATAGGCGTTTCTTCGGTTGTTGTGATGATTATTTAGTTTCCCAATGGTTGAACCAACTTGACCAAACTGTCAATCCGCTCTAGCAGAACTTTATCATCAAATCCGTACTGCAACAATAATTAATCACAATTAACGATTGAATGAAACAATAAAGCATTCCATCTTTGATTCACCATTCCAAAGCTATTAAAATGTTTGCTGACAAGTAAATAATTAGACTACCAGGTAAATTATGAACCCGAATTTGATTTTGTTGCTACAGAGTATAAAATCAACATTAGTTTTTTTTTTTTTAACTAAATGTTGATGGTACAAATTTGTACCATGTTTAAAGCAGTATGGTTGTGGTAATGAGTAAATTACTTTTCAATGTCATATTAGAAATGAAGCAAGTAACCATTTAGTTAATGGTAATTGATTTGGGGGGAGCACTTATACCCAGACAGCACACTTTATCCCAGGGACATCCCATAGTAGTCCCATATGTCCTGAGAATGTCTCGGGATATGTGCGCTATCCTCAGGATATCCCGCAAAATCCCGGGACGAGTACGAAATCCACAGGATATCCTACAATATACCGTAATGTCCCGGGATTTGTAAGTTAACCTCAGGATATCCTGTAAAGTCCCGGGATATGTACGAATGCCATAGGATATCCCAGAATGTCCCATGACATCCCGGGACATGTACAAAATCCACTGGATATCCTGTAATGTCCCGTAATGTCCCGGTAACAAACTGAAGAAAAAAATACTACCACTGATGAAATGTACAGTATATCTAAATTTAAATGTTCAACAAGGCCAATATATAATCATTTGTTTTTTTCACTAGAGCTTTCAGAAACTTGGTTTCCATCTTCAGGCTGTGTTTACAAAAAGTACAAAAAGTAAATATTTACTTAATAAATTAATTTTAAACAAAGTTAAAACAGATAATTTAAAGGATATTGGAAAAATAAAAAAATAATATTAGAAAAATTAATCTTTTGAATTTTGGATATGTTACAGTGTTGTTCTTGATGTAATTATTTTCAGTAATTCCGAATTTATAATTGGGCCGTCTTCATTATTTAACAAATAATTTTGGTCTGTTTTTTTTTCTTTCTAAAAATAAGATTCCCACGCATTAAGATGTTGAAGTTTTATAATTTATTTTAAAAGTTTAAGGTCTCCCAGATTGAAAATATAACGACTTAAACAGACTGCCCAACCCTTATAAATCTGGGGATTGGGTAATGTTTAAGGAACACCACATCAGTAGGGCCGCCAATGCAATCAATAGTAAGCTTTTACCAGTCTGGTCCAAACCTTGTGTAATAGAGTCCTTTTCATCACCAGTGACAGCACGATTACTAAATCCCACAACAGGTAAATTTATCAGAAACGCACATGTCTCACAACTAAAAAGGTTTTTCCAGCCAAGTTTTTAGAAGCTTTCCAATTACCCAGACCAGGAATGCAGCAACATTGTGATATTAGGCTAAGTCTTCTACCCTCTGTCTCTTAAACCGCCAGCGCATGGGGGACTAGTGAGTCTCAGGGTATCCTTCCCTCGGATGGGCTGCCCTACACGTCCCTTCCCCGTGCGTTGTCGGCCAATTCCCCCCTCCCCTTTTTCGTCTCCTTCACCCCTGCTGAGTTGTTTTAACCTTTTTTTATGTAAGAATCACTTCCCTGCGGGTGTGTACATTTTATGTTTTGTTTTTTTATTTTTACCCCGCATGAAAGGGCTCAGTAGTGGCACCTTCTGTGGCGACCTTGATATCAGTCGAGTGAAGGAAGACAATCTCTTGCTCTTTTTCTTTCATACCCTCCTCCACCTTTTCTTTTCCCTTTAGCTTAATTAGTCACTAGTGGTAGCAGTAGTTAGGTCTTAGGGAAACTAGTATAGTTAAGCAGCAAAAGAAATTAAATTTGGTTTTCTTCAATACAAAAATCAAGAAATCGTTATCTACCAAACGGAAGTCGCAGCACGGTTCTCAATAGATTCCGCGGTTTTCCATCGTGGCAAGCGACGGCAATCTTTTTTTCTCGTTCTAAAATCGCATGCGTTGATAAGAAGAAAAAAAAAAAAAAAAAAAAAAAATGTTTTGTATCCTTCTCACCTTCCAAACCTAAACACACTTACAAAACCACAAAAGCTCTCGCGACCCTCACCAGTCTGACCTTGGTTCACCACGCCACTGTGAGTCTTAAACTCTCGGTTTCCCAAACAGATTCAGACCAACCCTGTCAGTGATCGGACCACCGCCTTGCCCACTGACCCTTCACACCTTCACTTGAACGACAGTCTCCCTTTCAACCTTTTCTCTTTACACCAATCAAAGCACAATACTACGGTAATACGCCCCAATTCAGTAAAAACTGAGTCTTAACATCTGCACAATCAAAGAAAAAAAAAAAAAAGAAAAAAAAGAAAAAAAACATAAGAATAAGACAACAAATAATAAGAAGAAAGCTTATAATGAAAATAAAAACTTATATGCATCATCAAAGCACTTCAGCACGAACTTCATCATCATGATAGTGGGCTACAACACTACCCGAGAAACAAACGAGTCGTCTGTGGCTACTCAACTCCCTAGCGGTCGGAACCTGAATTAACACCATGGTCTACAATTGGTCTCTGACAGCACAACTCACTATTGGTCAGCTCCTGTGCGGACCCCTGAGATCAGCGAGTTGGAAAAACGTCTTGGTCTCTGCAATTGTGGCTCTGCCAAATCTCAACACACTTCATCAGTACCTAAGCCAAGTGTCATCTCGCCATACTTCATCAGACGATCTGCACATCATCCTCGGCTCATCGCCAAGACTGCTAGGGCCACTTCTCACTCTTCCCGCCAGACACACCGAACTCGCCCGTGTTGCTCCACTAACCTTGATCCCCAAAGCATTATAAAAATAAAATAATAAAAAAAAAAAAAAAAAAAAAAACTCTTTGTGCGTGCAGATGTCCCCTTTTTTTCCAACAAAAGAAGAAACCGTCAAGTTTACAGGATAGTATGACTGTCTTTCACCCAATGCCTACCTTTTTCGCAGGGGGGGTGGACTCCCATCCCTGTCGGGTTGGTCAACCAAAATTAGCTTCACACCCCAATGTTTTGCGATGGATGAACCAAGCCGAGCCAGTCTGGTTGGGCGGTTTTAAGCTTCCCTCATTGTTTCTCGGCTTCCTTGGAATCCAAACCGTGTCAAGATATCTAAGGACCCAGAAACGAAGATGAAGGGAGGCGTTTCGACCAAAAAACTCACCTTTCACACAACTTGTCACACCTCCCACTCCATTCACCTACCTCAAAAAAAAAAAAAAAAAAAAAATCTTTTGCGCGAGGGGGGGTGGTTGTGACGCAAGCGCCACAGCTTCATGGCGTAAGGCGCTAGCATGCCGTTCAACCGCTCTTTTTCTTGGACCAATTTTTTCTAAGCTCAGCCGGCTCGTCTCTTCTCTCGCCCCTGTCTGCCCGCTGCCGTGATTTGACGAACTTCGAGTCTTCAAACTTCGTACAGAATGAACAATAATCAAGCTAAGTTAACTTATTAGTTTTAAGTAAAATATTAAAATATGTTAGGCTAGAAGTAAATCTCAGGGGGGGAAGCCACTGGCTTCGCAGGTACGCTGGAAAATGTAGTAAATAACTATCAAGTTTGATTCCGCCTAACGGAATCAAACAATCCTTTTCATGTTTCGAAGCCACATGTTCCAAGAGATTAAATTGCCGGTTAGAGGGGTTGCTTAGTTCATCTACCAGTCACAATTCAACCAATTCTTGCTTCAATCAGGTTTTTCTTATATATATTTATATATTAGTTTGGAAGGTGTCAATCAAAATTAGGGTATTTAAGTGTGTTAGTTAAATAAGTGTAATCAAAGCTGGCTTGGGCTGTCTTCCTGGTCTGGGTAAAAGGTCCAATTCTCTGGGCCCCCATCACACATTTCCAGTAATCCAAAGTAATACTGACAACCAGAATAGTTTAAAACCATATCACAAGATTACCACCACCACAGTCTTGTTAATACTATGGCTAGCAAGGGTTGACTTTACTTTACTGACATATTACTACCACTGAGTTCAGGAAAACTAGAGTTCTATCATAGTTGTGTGAAATGTGAATTTAATTCTAACTTTAAATTAATAAAACAACAAAAAAACTAATTTTAATCATATAACAATCAATTATTACAGTGCTAATCTAATGGTGATTAAATAATCTATATTCAAATACCAGTATCCTCTCCAACTACCAGAAAAACAATTCAACTACTTGAGGCCTAAACAGATTAACAGAATCATATATAGCCTATACTGTAGTATCAAAAATATTTAAGTATTGCGACCATTGCAACTGTCGGCTACTCTTTAACCACTTGAAAACACCCATGATCAACAAGCGCAGATAGCTCAGGAGGTAAGGTAAGAGGCTCACAAGGCGAAGGTACCAGGTTCGAAACCCGTCTGGGCCATAAACTTTTTTCTCGTTTTTTTCTTCAAAATTTGTGTTTATTAACTATTTAATCAATTTACTGAACTTATAATTAAGCTTTTCATACTAAATCTATATTATTTTGTGTTTTTTATGTTCAGGCCCAGACCACACTTTATCCCAGGGACATCCCATAGTAGTCCCATATGTCCTGAGAATGTCCTGAGGACTACCCTGGGATGACCTCGGATGTCCCACGGATATGCGTGTGAGCTTATCCGTAGGACATCCCCGGGCGGGGACATTAGGCATTCCTGTGGATATCCTGTGATATCCCAAGTTGACCATAGGACCACTATGGGATATCTTGCATATCCTGTCGCAATATCCGTGGGATGTCCTGAGGAGAAAGTGTGCTGTCTGGGTAGAGTTAGTATTTTTTTTTATCGATAAAATAATATTACGTTTATTCATAGCATTACCCACCCACCGCCTTCGGGATGGTTTTAGCCTCCCTACACTTCTACTGGTCAATCGCTGCTACTGCAATCAGCTACTTCAAATCTCTGTAACTCTGTGTCATGTTTGTGGTTCGTCCAACAAATCAGCTCTTGTATGGTAGTTGATCCAAATGTAATAAGTAGCCTAAATAGTTCAGGCAGTTGATGGCATGCTGAAAAAGTTCACCAAAACACGTCTTCACCACTAAGAAGACCTCTTTATAAGAAAATTGTACAATACATACCACTGCTTCCTTAGAACAGAGAAATGTAAGGTTTAATGCTTGTTTGTCCCTTCTTCCTTATTTAGCCAAGTGCTAAAAAAAAACTCAATATAAACCAGGAAGGTATAGGTATTGGGTAAAACAGTCAACTACTATACAAACACAAACCTTTAGTGCCTGTAGAATGCACCTGTTAAAGATAGCTGGTCTATCCAACATCAGGTTGATGAGGGCCAAATAACCCCAGACTCTTCCAATCCTGCAGTCGAGCATGTTGGCTTCGTTAAGCGCAAGTTCTGCAGCTTCCATGTCATCATCCTGGTGCAGACAACGCAAACAGGCATAAAACCAATACATTTTAACTTGATACACAACGCATAAAAACCTGTAATAAATTGAACAATAACAATTTGTGAAATACAGATTATATATAGATATTACCTTAAAGAGACATTCCAATCTTTGTCTCCAGTAGATGCTCTGCTGAAATTGGTGAAAATACACTTTCTAAAAGCTGCAGTTTAACTGAAGAGTGAGGACATGGCAGTCCGCCGTTATTTTTGTTAGTTCAACGACACGGCCGTCTCCTGAACACCACGACTCCACAGCCTACTTTATTGTGGAGCTCTACCTTCTAGATCCATTATCATCAATGATAAACTTGTAGATAAAATTAATACCCCCACCTCAGCAAACCTGCAGACTAAGCTAATTTCCTTTGTCTGAAATAATTTTCAATTAAATCTATTTAACTTAAAAAACATTTAGGTATAATGAGTACCTAGGTTTGCTGCTACAAGGAAACTAATTAAGTGTGGTTTTTTGTAAAACACTAATAGCTTGGTATAAAATAAATAAATTTGCCAAGTTTGATAAAAAAATATCTATAAACAATCAAACTACAACATTTTTATTTTCTCCATAAGAATAACATGGGAATTTTTAATTTACTGTTTTTTAAATTTTCTGTTACCAATAACAATAACCATACAAAAACACTTTGATATACTAAGTTATGTGTTTTTTAAGCTTTTTAAAAAGGTCTAGAGAGAAATTGGAAAATTTTGTGTTTTGAGGGTCAACAATTAGAAAAACCAACTTTTACCCCATAAAACCCCCTGTAAAACCTTGTTCCGATGGTCCGATCATACTGGTTCGCGAACTCATTCAAGTTTATCCCGTCTTACACGTTTAAACCAAATTTCATCAAAATCAGACAAAAATTACTCGAGTTATCGCATTCACAAACACATATATATGAATTTGAACGGTTGGTGTTTTTGGCCTCTGGGGATATCAAAATGAAAAAGTAAAACGGCTTTTAGGTATCTTATAATCCTGTGACCCCTAGTTCTACCCTAAAGTAACGGGTAAAATGGTTCTAAGTTAGAGTGTACCATCCTGTAATATATTAAGATAGGATTTTTTTTAAAGTAAAAGTTTCACTTACCACAAAAGCTGTTATACCCAATCCAAGCCAAGAGAGAGGTGTGGGGCTGTCTCTACAGATGATCATATAGTAATCTCGAGCAGCCCTATGGTCTCCTTCCAGCATGAGAATGTGTCCTAACCTGTCAACAAGATAAATATAGTACCTGCAATAAACATTGTAAATATAAGATTGTTTGTCTTTAAATTAACAATACAAGTACTGTATTAAGAAGTTACGGTAGGGAATTTTGCAAGGATCCAGATGTAGTGTGTGAGTTTAAATGTAGAAGGATTAGATAGCACATGTTGAGAAAAGAGAATCACAATAATCTCAAACACTAAGTAATAGAAAGGAGCCATGAAGGAAGACGGAAGACAATCAAGAGGAAGGTTATGGGGGTCCGCGGAATTGGCTAACTCTGGAACTCGCTAACCCCATGTTAAACGCCCTATCTTCAAATTTGGTCGATGAGAGGAACTCGCTAACTTGTTCGGTTTCCGAATTGGCTAACTACGGAACCCGCTAACCCGCTCTAGATCCGGGTTAGCGAATTCCGTCCTCGTACGGAAGTCGCTAACTCGGTCCCTCGGCGGAACTCGCTAGCTCCCAATCAGAAGCCTCGTCCAATGGGAGCCAAGCACGAATATTTTTGGCCAGTGTTGCCGAAAGTGTAGTACCTATATCGTATCGGTACCATAATGTCGTATCCTACGATTAATTAGGAGTAAGAGCAACGTAGTCGATAAAATAAATATATTTAGAAGTATGTTTATCATTATTCTTATGATTATTAGGGTGGAAAATGCATTATAGTCTTACCATAGACTAACCAACACAAAGAAATCTTTACATCCCATTGTAAACTTTGGAGCTCGTTTTTCGTGTCTAGTTCATGTCCGGTGACGGGTGAGACTGATCGCTAGTGTTGACAAAATTGTGTTTCTATTTTTTTATAGTTAACTTCATGATTTGTTCTTTACTGTTTGGTTATAACTAGGGGACGTGTTATTAGTTGTGATTAGAACTTTTTTTTAACGAGGTTTTAAATTACTGAAAACAAGAAACAATTGTAAACAAAACACGACCTCTAAATACAGTACACTGGACAGAACTAACAATAAAACTGTCTTCAGCTGATCCATAAGGATGAGAAATGTACTAATTTAAGGGAGTATGTTTTATATGTGGGTTCCTTACTTAAATAGTAGCTTATTGTATTAGTTTTTAAAGGGTTTTAAGTTTAGTTTTAAGGCAGTGATTAGGTTATAGTAAAACACCATTTTACTTGAGAAGATAGTCTCTATTTCTACTAGCAGAGTTGCCAACATTACAACAGTGAAAAAAAACATTTTTACATTACACAGAGATAACTATTACATAGGCCTAAATTGATAACATATAGCCTAACAATAGTTTATCCAACACACTCCCTTAATGTACAAATGTTTTTTTTTTTTACAAATACAGAAAAATAGTGTTATTTTATTAGAACATGATATTATTTTACATAAGAAATTGTTAAGTACCTATCATGTTAACAAATTATAAGTATAAAATTGACAGTAGGCTGTTTATTTATTTTTCTCTAAAAAAAGATTTGCCATTTAAAAATAGTATGCTAAGTAGCCTGCATGATTTGTGTAGGCTAAATTATGTCTTTACACATTACTTAATAGCTGACTTGTAAACTTTGAAAATTTTGTGCTGGACAAAGGTTTTGTGAATATGTCAGCCAATTGGTCCTCTGAGCAGCAGTACTTTAAGTCAAATAGTTTGGCATGAAATTGTTCGCTCACAAAGTGAAATCTCACATCAATATGCTTACTCTTTCTGTTCATTTGACCTGATTTGATGAGTTTTATGGCACTTTGATTATCAACATTCAGGGTGGTTTTCACAGTTTTTTCGGTCAGTTCTGTGATTAGAGTCTTGATGTATTTTATTTCCTTGCAACATTCAGCTGCAGATATGTACTCAGCTTCAGCTGTTGATAGAGCAGTTATTGGTTGTTTTTTTGAACTCCATACAATTGGTGCACTTCCTAACAGCAGGACATATCCGCTTGTACTTTTTCTATCCTTTACATCTCCTGCGTAGTCTGAGTCACAGTACGCTTGAATACTTAGGTCTTTAGAACTTGTTGAAGGAAAAAATATTCCTTTGTTTTTTGTTCCTTTGAGGTATCTCAAAGTTCTCTTGATGTTTTGGACATCCTTTTTTCTCGGATTTTCGGTAGAGCGGCTTTCAAAATTAACTGCAAATGTCATGTCTGGTCTAGTTTTATTAGTCATGTAGAGAAGGCTTCCTATAGCTTCTCTATAAGGAAAGTTAGTTTTTCCATCTTCATCAACAATCTTAGTCTGTTCTTCTAAGGGAGTAGATACTGACTTACACTCTGTCATATTAAAGTTGTTGAGTACTTGATTTGCATAGTTTGTTTGACTGAGATAGATGCCTTCCTTTTTCCTGGTTATTTCCATTCCAATATACATATTTGGATTCTTGTTAATTGTCATCTCAAAATTAGTTCTGAGTTTTTCTAGCAGGTCTTTAAGTTTATTTTGATTTTTCGCCATTAAGATGCCGTCGTCAACATGAATAGCCAAATAAAGTTCATTTTTAATATCCTTAAACAGGCATTGATCGGTTTTGAGCTGTATTAGTCCTTCATCTTTCAGAAATGAGGTTAACTTCTTATTCCACTGACTTGGAGCTTGTTTTAAACCGTAGAGGGCTTTCTTGAGTTTGCAAATTTTCCCTTGTTCCTTAAATCCTTCTGGTATCTTCATATAAATATCATTCTCAATTTCCCCATACAGGAAAGCAGTCTTTACATCGAAAGTTTGGATATGTAAGTTTTCTTGAGCAGCTAGTGAGAAAAGAATTCTTAAAGAAGCACTTTCCACAACTGGACTGAAAGTATCTCTAAAGTCCAAATTTCCTTTCTTCTGTTCACAGCCTCGAACTACTAAACGGGCTTTATATGTCCCATCCTCTTTAATTTTAAACACCCATCTACTTGTTAGTATTTCATCATTTTCATTCAGTTGTTTTTCATCTATTATTTCCCAAGTCTCATTCTTCTCTAAGGATTGTTTTTCTTTCTTAATGGCCAATTCCCATTTTTCTTTATCGCTACTAGTCATACATTCATTGTACGTCAGCAGAACTTGGCCGTTTTCATATTCTTCTTCATATCTTGAAGGTCGTTTCATATTTATTCTTGGTCGCAGATTGTAGTGTCGTTCATTTTCAATTTCTTCATTTATATCAGGCCTTCCAATATTTTCTTCTTCTAGGTTTGCACCTAGTTGGTTTTCTTGATCTTCTCCTTGAGTTTCATGCATGTGTTCTTCTCTTTCTTCATCTTCTGCAGTTTGTGTACAATCTTCATCAGAAAAATTATTTTGCATCTGTCTTATTTTAATTTGTTCAGAGTTTGCATCTTTGAAAATCACATCTCTAGAGATAAATATTTTTCTTTTTTCAGGATCCCACAATCGATAGCCGTTCATTGCATATCCGACAAAAATAGCTTCTTTACTTCTTGCTTCCAATTTCTTTAAATAGCCTAAGACTTTTGCATAGGCTACTGTGCCAAATATTTGAAGTCTTGAAAGGTCAGGTTTTCTGTCGTACCATTTTTCAGCAGGTGTTGTATCTAGGTTAACAGTAGGGCTTCTATTAAGTAGGTATGCAGATGTTAAAATAGCCTCGCCCCACATTTCTTTATGTAGATTAGAGTCAAAGATCATCGCTCGAGCCTTTTCCATTAATGTGCGATTCATTCTTTCGGCTGTTCCGTTGAGCTGGGGTGAATAAGGTACTGTGTAGTCTATGACAATTCCTTTAGATTTGCAATACTCTTTCAGACCACTGGCAACATACTCACCACCATTGTCGCACCTTATTTTAGAAATTTTAAGATTGAAATGAGCTTCTGCTTCATTTACATATTCTTTTAGGTAGCTAAACACTTCACTTTTACTTTTTAATAGATACACCTTACAAAAATGAGAGAAATCATCAATAACAGTTAAAAAATACTTTTTACCATCGTGAGTCAAGGGTTCAATCGGACCGCAAAGATCAGAATGTATCAGTTTTAAAGGTCTAGAAGCTTTTACTCTAGATGTATTGAAAGGATTCCTTACTTGCTTAGATTTAATACAAATATCACAAAATTCATCTTCACACATATAAACATCAGTTGGAATGCCATTAGTAATTTTTGTCAACTTTTTCATATACGGAAAACTGATATGACCTAACTTTCTATGCCATTCTAAAGCTACTTCATTACGTGTAGTAGGGCTAGTGTTTGACTTTATGATTACCGGTACATTGGTTTGTTTTTGGATAGGTTTTACACTTTCTGTATCAAAAGGTTTAGGCCTACATTCATTTTGATCAAATTTGCTTAGGCCTACAGTAGCGACTTCATTTACACTTTCCGTTAACTGAACTACATACAAACCACTTTTATTTTTACACCCTTCTAAAATGATAGACTTATCTTTGAGAACTTGTACCTTGTTTTTTGTGAATAATACTTCGCCACCGTTTTCGGTAATTGCATTGACAGACATTAGGTTGTTACTTAACTCTGGTACATAAGAAACATTTTTTAGTGTACATTGGTCAGAGTCAACATTTCCTACAGCAATTTGCTGCATGCTTTGATTTTTCTTTGCAACAGAAATACTTTTAGTACATGATTTTACATTTTCTAAAATAGAAATATCATTTGTCATGTGATTAGGGGTACAACCACTATCAATAATGAAAGATTTTGTATTAACGCTATCGCATAGGTTAACACAATCGCCTAGTTGTGTAGACTTGTTTGTTGGCAGATTTACATGACTCAGAAAAGATGTTTTACAGTCATCTTTAGGTTTAAATTTAGATTTGTTACGGAAAAAGCAATTCTTTTCAGAATGGTTAGTTTTCTTACATATATTGCATGCTTTAGGCTGCTTATTTTTCAAAAAACATTCACTTTCTACATGATTAGGTTTCTTACAGTATGAACAAAATTTTGATTTTAGGCCTACGTTAGGACAGTTTTGACGAATGTGTCCTGATTCCTTACAAGAATAACATGTTACAACTCTAGGCCTACCTTGAGATTTGGTTTTAAAAGCTACTTGCTCACAGTCACTCACGGTCTTCGCCTCTTCTTGCAACAGTCTAGCCTTCAGGTTCTCGAGGGTTTTCTCGGTTGCACTGGTAGAATCCCACGCACTGGAGAAATGTTTATATTGGTCTGGAAGGATACTCAGGATCTTTGTGAGTAGCATCGTGTCGTCCACTTTTTGGTCAAGTCTGTTAAGCTTAAAAGCAATGTTCTGTATGTAGGCTATGTTTGACATCATGTCCTTTTGAAGATCGAATTTGAAGTTGTAGAATTCTTGCAATAAAGAACACTTTTGCTGTGTCGTATCTCTTTGAAAAAGGCGTTTTAAAGTGTCGTACATTTGTTTGGAAGTGTCACAAGTGACTACATGCATTTTAACTGATTGGTCTATAGTCATTATTATGATGTGTTGTGCTTTTGCATCTAATGACTTCCAAGCCTTCTTTTTCTTATCATCTTCTTGATTATCCAAAGTTTCTGTTCCATCAACAATATCCCAGAGATTTTTGGACTTAAAAAGAATTTTAACCTCAAAGTCCCACATGGTGTACGATTCCACGTCCTTGAGTTTGCCGACATTGTTCAGTTCACTTTCACTCCCGGAACTCATGATAACTTTATTCCTCTTTTTCACAATGGTTTTAATGTTTTTATGGTTTTACTATATATCTGGTCCCATAACCTATTAGTTTTTAAAGGGTTTTAAGTTTAGTTTTAAGGCAGTGATTAGGTTATAGTAAAACACCATTTTACTTGAGAAGATAGTCTCTATTTCTACTAGCAGAGTTGCCAACATTACAACAGTGAAAAAAAACATTTTTACATTACACAGAGATAACTATTACATAGGCCTAAATTGATAACATATAGCCTAACAATAGTTTATCCAACATATTGGTATGCAAAAAGATAAAAATGCACATTTAATTTACATGTTACATGTTACTGTTATCAAATGTCTATTTTCGTAGTCCGCCATTTGTTTCTTTTATTTGAATAAATACCATTTTGTGAACTTTTGCAAATAAAATTATTGAGTTCGTATTTTATATACTGGGCTTGTAACCTTGAATCATAAATCATAATAAAATTTACACGTTAAACGTCATTACAGAATTACATTGTAGTGGTAATGTATTTTTAAATAGATCTATTGAATTTAAATAAATATTTTTCAATACATTATAAAGTGGTAGGCCTAATGTATTCTTAGATTGCATTAAAAGTTAGTCTATGCATAAATACAACTTGTAAATTTCTTTTATCGTAGGCTATTAGTCCTTTTAATTTTGTTGAATTAATATTAATTTTACGTCTTCCAGTAGGCCTACTTTTTAAAAGTCTGGAGTTTTTCTCCAGGCTGGTTCTAAATGGACCCAGGCGTTCTTGTTTGTTACAATTCTTATGAATGGTGGCACTAGCTAAAATTACTTGATCTTATCCAAAAACAAAGCTATTGTCTATTGTTTAGCTCAGTACTGGGGAACGGTGAACCGAGCAATGGCTTGGTATAGTTTATATCGATTGTGAAAGCAATATAAAGGAAACCCAACACTCAAATCAGGAAAATCCGTTAATTCGTTTATTAAGAATCGTGAATTAAAATAACCCTGTCACGTTTTATTATATGAATATTATATCTTCTCCTATTTTTTACTAGTGGCGCTTAGGTGTACAATCTAAAAACGGTTTTAAAACATGTAACATTATTGCTAAAAAAATCAACACATTTTAGAATTAGGCAACTATTTACTAGTAGGCTAACAATGGCTTTGGTTCCAAACTATATTAGGCCTGGATAAAAACTTAGTCTATGTCATCATATTTGTACACGTAAGTTGGACGGTTCAACGACGAACATTTAATTTAAAATCTATGAATTAGTTATGAAAGTTACGATGGTTGATGACTGTATTAGTTAATAGTTTTGGTTTATTACGATATTACGATTACATCTGTTTTCCGTGTTTAAGAATTTGCGTGTATTTTAGCTTAATTTCGTAGAGGTTTAATTATTTAGTACCAATTAAACAGAATTTTCAATATTTTTCATATTCTATTATTTTTTTTTATACTGATGGCATTACATTTAAGCATGCATTTGATGGCATTATATTTAAGATCGAAATCATAAACATTTAACTGGCCATTGTACAGTTTAATAAAAAAAAAACACTTTTTCATGATTTTTTAATTTTCTTTGAATTACTTTGGGCTAGTTATCTGTTAAAAGTGGAATTGATAACAAAAAACAATAACATTTACTGTATCTTTATTGACACTGACATTTTGAAATACGGCAGTGAACGATTATTTTGTCGTACAAGGTTGGCAACGCTCCGTGCAGTGGGCATGGCCGGGTTAGCGACTTCCAGAGTTAGTGAATTCCGCCGCGAGACAAAATCGAGTTAGCGGGTTCCGGAGCTAGCCAATTCCTGACTGGACGGTTAGCCAGTTCCAGAGTTAGCCAGTTCCGACACACGACCGAGTTAGCGAGTTCCTGAGTTAGCCAATTCCTACGTCTCGGTTATGGCAAAAATAGTGGAGCCAAGTGACAGCTGATATGAAGAGAATAGGAGCAACTGAGGCTCTGAAGATTGAGAGAGGTGGAGTTGTTTGGTTGGTGTAGCCAAATATCTACTCATACATAATATAGTTCTGGATGTAAGGTGTAAGTAAGAATTCATTGTACACATTTTCATTCTAATCTTGAAAACTATTATAGTTATGGACTGACTGCTATAAATAAAAAAAAGTTAAGAGTAATATTCAACATTTCAATATAATCCAACTGATATTCTTGCCCCATTATAATAGTTGTGTAGTTAATTTATACTGTGTCTTCCTCCTCATACAGTAGACTCCCTCTTATTCGGACACCTCTTTAACCGGACAATTTTCATCATCAAATCGGTTTAACCGGACTAGATCGGCAAGAAGTGGGCGGTACTGAAACGACTGTTCTCGTGGGAAAGATTTGAGGCCAACAGTAATCACCCCTAATTAGTAAGGCCCTCAGTAAGGCCTAATCAGTTAGGTAATCAGTGAGGCCCTGTCTAAGCTCACTCGCACTTGTTTGCCATTCTGTGATATTACTAAGGATTTTTCATCACGAGAAATTACAGGATATGGTCCGTTGTAGGGAGGCTGTAGAGCACGTTTCACAGAGTCGTCTCTTAGGAAAACATCGGTGCACTTTCTAAGATCCTGAAATATAAAAGTTTTGGGTTTGACGTGGCGTGAAGCTTGGACAGGTTTGATTGAAGACAGGTTGTATGAATACGTAATATAATAATCATCATTAGTTGGCTTATACAGTATGCGTTTAAACGGTCCGTTTTAACAAGTTTTTGGGGGCGTCGGTTTAACCTGGAAAAACCGTCATCCGGACTGGCCTCGGTCCCAAGGAGTCCGGATAAGAGGGAGTCTACAGTACCTATTTATTATTGTAAAGGAAATAAAAATGCACTTTTTATAAGATAGCTGCCTCTATGGTTTTTAAACCTACTTAGTTTGCCTAATAGGTCAGAATAACATCCAATCAAAATGTATCATAATATTCATAATAGTGTCCTCAATTTGTTTGTGTATATTTTTACAATTTTGTATTCAAACAATGAATGAATCTTTGTATTACAAATAAAATTTTGTATTTTCAACCCACAATTAAATAAAACCACATGTTTAAAACATCGCTGAAAGGAAGTTACCTCAAATTAATTAAATGTTGATTTTGTCGATCCTTGAAGTTAAGGGCAACCTGATATGCTATTTTAGCTTCCTCTTGTTTTTGAAGTTTAAACAAATTGTGTCCTTTTAATGCCCATAGCCTTTCATCCTGAAAATGTAGGTTTTATAAATCATTACTACATAATTTATTGTAAGAAGTCAGAGGCAAACTTATGAGATAGGAGATTTGATTTATTGATTGATACAGAGATTATTAAAATCACCTATTTTTCTCTAGTAAATGCAAAAATCATCAGATTGCTAAATTGTGCCCAGATAGAAAAGATTTTTGTGCATTAAAATAGCACATTTGGTATTCTTAAGAAAGGTTTAGTCTTAGGAAAAGTTTCCATTGCATCTCACTGAAATGATTCCCATTTGCCATCACCCTTCAGGAAAACCTATCCTTTTGATTATCTTGCTGAACCGGGATAATGGAGGCTGGACTGTTCCCCATGACCAAGTTCAATGTCTTTGCTGTTTAAAGGTTAAATTTGGTGAAAAAGTATTGTACATTTCATTAATAACCCTCGAATTCTTCATGTCAGTAGATAAATATCATCAAGATTGTCACAACCCCAAAGAGATATGTCAGTGACTTTCGCTATGGTCTTGTCCTATATGAGCCTTTGTTCTTGTTAGGTTTTGAAGTGGGATTTTACCATGCTTGACAGACTTACCTCCCAACTCAATTTCAGAGCCTCCTCTGCGTGGACAAGACTGCTAGTATACCGTCCTTGCTGGTAGTGGCTTACAGCCAAGTAGTAGAGGTAGATCACTGTCCTGCCATGGAGAAGTAGATCGTAGGATAATGCCAGCTCAGCAAACTGAATCATGTGACAACAGATTATTTGGAACCTCATGAATAATGTTCCTATATGTACAGTAAATAGCTTCTTACAGCATAATGTGTGCATACAAATTTTATAAAAGTAAATATAAATATCTCTAAAATAACACTTACAACATAAACATACTTTTTTATAATTATTTATAAGATGGTAAATACAATAAAAGATATTAAGTGGTGATTGATTTTGAATGGACATTCCAATTAACATTACACCCAACAGGCGACCATTTCATGCGCCTTTCTGGTGTAACGATGATTACAATATTTACTATGAGGCAACACTATTTTTGAGTCTTAGGCCTACGAACATTATAAAAATTGTCATTAAGATTTCATTTTTTTACCTCAGGAAATGATAGATGCAATAGTTTGGCTGCGGTGAGAAGAAATATCCTGTCTTTTTCAGACACATCAGCAAACCAATAAAGGTTCGATATCACTTCATTATCAGGTACAAAATCTTTGATGCAGCTCTTAGCTAGAAATTGGGTTTAAAATTAATACAAAGTATGTACATTATTAAATCAATGAATAATTCCCGGGGCTCGGCTCATAGGATTTAAATATAAGTAATATAACCATACTCATCTGTTTCATGTAAATCCTAATTAAGAGTCCTTGGAGGATAGCAGCCATGTAGGATAATTTCAAATAGCTGCTGAAAAGTTTTATTGCCAAAAAATATTTTTTTAAACACCAAAGTGATTATAATTTAAATATCTAGTGTACTGTGAGATTAGAAGTGTTCTTTGTAGTTTTGAATTGTTCTCCAAAGGAGATCATGGAAGCTAACGTCAATCTTGGATTTACCTGCCATAAGAGCAATGTTAATTTCTTTAATTTAAAACAGTAGCTGAAGAGTTATTTACCATCCCAAAATATTTTTTCAAACACCAGAGTGATTGTAATTTAAATTTCTAGTAAACTGTGATTAGACATTTTCTTTGTAGTTCTTTAACTGTTTTACACGTTAGAAAGTCTAGGGTCCAAGGACTCTCAAAAATGATATTACTGTATTTCATCATTCTCACAACTTTGTTTAAAAATTGTGTTTCATTTTGTTTATCTGTGTATAAAAAACATTTAATTTTACTTTTAAACAAATTAAGCAAAACCTGTGATTAGTAACCACACATACTCTTAGTGATCCAATCGTGGATCCTATTGTGAATGAACAAATCACAACATTTTGTAATTGCTGGTAAGTGTTCCCTCCACAAAACTTATACAATAGAATACAATATTCTTTATTGTTAATTCGTTAAGAATTACAATAGTGAATTGTACATGTTAATTTCCATAATTTTCATAAAATTCCTTTATTGAGTAGAAGGGTCTTGCGACTAGCCACTTCTTCAACTCCTGGTGTAGCTTGTTGCCAGTCAGGTCTCTCAGGTAGTCAGGTAGATGGTTCCTCAGCTTGCAGCCAGTGTAGGAAGGTTTTTTTCTCCCAAAGAGTTGTTCGGTGAACTGGTAGTGTAAATTTGGAGCCATGACGGGTGTTGTAGTGGTGCAGGTCTTGGTTTCTTGGGGGGTTTATTTCATTAACATACTTTATCTATCTAACATCAAAGCTACCAAGATCATCCAAGACGTTCCTACCGTGTGACAGTTCGACGTTAGCCTCTCTCTGTTTGCCCATCTGTTTATGTAGCATGTACAACGTGACCCACCCTTCCAAGCAGAACGGGTTGAAACTCACGGCTGCCAACAAAAACATTTCAGCCACTTCTGTATCTTCCATCAGCCAAGAGAATAGTCCATGGAACATAAGTCTGTAATAAATAAACTCACTGTGTTAACCATATTGTTTTACCTCTTTCTGGTTTTCAACTTGAATTTAACATGCCATTGCAACCCGATGATGGAGTTTTCTCCAAAATGGCTTAAAAGCTAAAGAATAAAGATTGCAGTTGACGGTGAAAAGTATATTTGGTAATATTTACCTGCCGTCCACCACACTCAAATTATTCCATTCCCATTGTAAAAGTGAATGGAATTTTGGAATATCAGTTTTAGTATATTGAGTATATTGAAATAAAATCTGATTTGGACATAGAAATAACATTAAAAGTATTGAAGGAGAAGGATAACGTAAAGGATCAAGTGGATTGCGTCAGTTGATGATTGTATAATATGCAAATTGATTTGATCAATCAGGTTAAGTTTTTAACATTATATACAAATGATCGATCAAATTCTCTACTCAAACTTCTTGTTTTAAATCAGCCCCATGTGATAATGATAATTTATTTAATCTTTTTAAATGGACATTTAACATTTTATAGGACATGATATGTTTAATTTCCAGGATGCTGTTCACAAAATTAAAATTAACTATGTAAACTCACCTCACAATATTCATTTTAGGTTAGGCCTATTCTATAAAAGTTTGAGGTTAATAAGTTATCAAAGATACGAATTACAAAAGGTGTTTTATTGAAACGAATGAACAAACATGCAATGAAATTTAAAAGGCTTGATGGTATAATGAAAGGACTGACAATGGTGTGTGGGGTTGAAATTAAAATTAAATAAAAGATAAGTTTGAAATAAACGTTCAAATAATTTAGATGTGCTATATCTCAGGGTAGGGTGTCGTGCAGGCTTGAATGCAAAGAATTAATAAATTAAATAGTGTCCAAATAGGCCTATTTAAGGTGTTAAACTTACAAAATCCCAACAATGAAAAAATCTAATTTTACTGTGTCATAAAACTAAATAAGTCTCTAAGCTTATAAACGCTTTATGTCTCTATGATGTCCAAAAGGTAAGTCCAATTAGCACTGAATTTAAAAGAGTTTAAAAGAAAAATTTATACTTAATTTTGAAAATAACAATGATGGAGTTGAGTCCTCTTGAGGTTAACTGTGATATAACTTGATATAAACTGGGTTTCTTGATGATATAAATAAATTTATTTAATTTAGATAAAATCTGGAATCCTTCTTTCAACTAACAGTTTTAACTTCCACTCTCTTCCTTTTCTCTCCAATCTCAATGTTCACGTTCTCATAATTCATTGTTGAACACATATGGATCACTGTTTCACTGCTTCTTGAATTTTGATTCCTTAAGGACTAATTTTGAAATGATATTATAAGAAATTTTGATGTATTGCAATTCCTTTACATATTTAATAAATAATTAAGTTGTGGATTTTGTAAAAAATATATATATAGGCTATGGAATGAATATTATTGATGATTAATTGAACAGATTAATGAAATTATATAAATTAGGAAAATGAAAATTAGGCCAGCCTTTCTGAGGAGTGATTAATAACAAAGGTGTATGAACAGAAGTTAATATTTTAAGAAACAATACTAAATAATGAATGAATGAAATGAAATATTACAACTAAATAAATTAATGTAGCCAATATACCCAACTTACGCATTTGTCTTCCTAGGTTCAAGAGATACAGCCTCCTTAGCACATTCCTCAGCTTTTTCAAATTCCAATTTATTTTTCCAAAATTTGGCAAGATCTACCCACACCTGAGAATCGGCTATTTCACTTTTTTCCAACCTCTAAAAATTGAAATATGTTGGTATTGTGTAGCAATTATAGATTACTTTGGCATTGTTTCTTTCGAACTCTGTTTGATGGAACCTGTCTCCTGACCCCTTTTCTACCTGGGGACTGCCCAATGGTATAAAGCCCAGGCCAGTCCCAGGCGATAGTACTAAAACTGAAAACATATATTGGTTACAATAGTTTCTTTTTTTAATTAACTTTTTTCAGGAACGCATGCTTGTTTTAGCGAATTTCCCTATAGGGAAGTAGCTATTACCGTAGGTCTCATGGAAAGACAAAGGCCAGGGACCGATTTACTTTTTCATTTTGATGTTCCCAGAGGCCAAAAACACAATTCGTAAAAATTTTTATATATCTATATATAGAGATATGTACATATATATAGAGATATATACAGACTGTCCCAAAAGTCCCGGACCGGTTTAACATTTTCTAAACGACAACAAATAAATCAATAAGATTTTGCACATCAACACCACACCTAAAAATCTACTTTTTTAAGGAACTATAAATTTTCTGTCATACCATGGGGACGTCCCGCAAGGAGTCAGAAGGAAATCTTAATAGAAGCATAAATCACATCAAATTAAAGACCTTTACTAGCAGAATATAATGCCGCAAATTTGAACTCAAACGGATAACTGAATAAAAATGACAGCCGTTCAAAGATTTCTTGAATCTGCCATTTTGAATCTTTGAACGACTGCCATTTTTTACTCAGGCGTTCTTTTCAGCTTGAATTTACAGCATTGTAATCTACTAGTGAAGACCTTTAATTTGATGTGCATATCGACCACGTGTTCGATGCTTACGTTAACGATTTTCTTCCGATTCCTAGGGCTGTGCCCCCCGAGGAGTAAGCGTATAGCAATGCAAATTAAATGAATCTTTGAACCACTGTCATTCTTGACTCGGTTGTCCGTTTGAGTTCAAATTTGCGGCATTATATTCTGCTAGTAAAGACCTTTAATTTGATGTGCATGTCAACCTATGCTTCTATTTATGATTTCCTTCTGACTCCTTGCGGGACGTCCCCATGATGTGACAGAAAATTGATATTTCCTTAAAAAAGTAGATTTTTAGGTGTGGTGTTGATGTACCAAATCTTATTGATTTATCTGTTGTCGTTTGGAAAATATTAAACCGGTCCGGGACTTTTGGGACAGTCTGTATATATATGTCCGTCCGGACAATAACTTGAGTAATTTTTGTCCGATTTTGATAAAATTTGGTTTGAAGGTGTAAGGCGGGATAAACTTGAATGAGTACGCAAACCAGCATGATCGGACCATGGGAACAGGGTTTAACGGGGGGTGTTATGGGGTCAAAATGGGGTTTTCTCATTTTTTACCCCTATAACACAACATTTACCAATTTTTCTCTTGCCTTTTTAAAGAGCTTAAAAAAACAAATAATTTAGTATATCAAAGTGTTTTTGTACGGTGATTGGTTACGGAGAAAATTCAAAAAATTGTTAATTTAAAATTCCCATGTTATTCTTATGGAGAATATTGTAAAATGTTGTTGTTTGCTTGCTTATGGATAAATTTTGATCAAACTTGGCCATGCAAAATCTTGTTGTGTAAAAAATATATTCAACAATATAATTACAATGAGAATGGTAGGCTACCTACAGTTTACTGTATTCATTTTATAGTCTTAGTCTTTAATATACAACTTTTTTATCTGAATAAAAGTATCAGAAGAAATTGATCAAAATCTTTATGTATTTATGAATCAAATCCATTTTGAAATCTTTCTAACCTGTAACAAGTAGTAATGAGCTTTGTCGTAATCATTTTCTTCCAATGCTTCGGACTCGTAAAACTTGAGATTAGCACATGTAATTTCAGGCTCATATTTCACACGACCAGGGTCTGGGATGGAGTTTACGATAGCGTACATCTTATTTGCCATTTCTTGGTAAACACCTACTAGAACATCCTGGAACTAAGGAAAGAAATATTTTTATGGAAGTAAATAGTGAAGGATAAAATTTTGATGTGAAAGGAAAATACATAGCGGTAAAGGTTGATGTGACATACCTAGTTTGTATTTGGTCATAATAAATCAAAGGGTTACTGTTTGCGAATTATTTGACCCATTATTAAATCTGACATCACACTGAAAAAAGTTGATGAAATCCGACAAATGTGTATTTCTTGTCTTGACACGTAGACGAATAAACATTAAAACAAAAAGATTTAAGACAAGACTGATTCATGTTGTACAGTGTGTGTGTAAATGTGTTACAAAGCTACAGACTAATGATTTATATAAGTACTAGTGGCTTATAGGGACGTAAGTCCCTAAAAAGCTCAAATGTAAACCAACGTATTGCAAATCCGGTATTTAAACAAACTCAGAATAACATTCTATGTGTCAGGATAAGTATCCCTATGTACACCATATCTTATGTGTAAACAGTTTGTTGTCTGTTGTTTGCGTTATTTGTTGATGTTATTTTCAATAAATAATTTGAATCACACCAGAGGTTTAACATGCAAAGGTAGCAAACATATCATTGTTTGTGAATATATACTGGTTTACTAAGGTAGCTTTGGTCTTGTGGTTAACGAAGATAAATAAAAGCAAGTATATAAGCAATATAAGCAAATATTGTATAGTAATATTGCTTATTTGCTTAGTGATAAATCACGATCAGCTGTATTGAAGTAAACAGAAATCAGCAGTAAATGACTTCTAATGCTATTCTTATGGAGAACATTTTACGTTATATCTAATTTTGTATTAAAATTTGGGGAATTTCACTATTTTTCCCGCTGTCACGGGGTCAAGACCTTTAATTTTAGCCCTCTCCCGTCCTTCTACGACTTCCCAGTCGCCCACAATTTTGAAGCAAAGAATCGGCTTACGTAATTAATATATACATAGATCATTGCATTTACTGCTGCAACAGCTGTGGCATGTGTTTTAATGCATATGACATTTTGTATGTGGGTACTAGTTCATGGTATCTCTAGGTGTTTTTTTTCAACGAGTATGGTAGTCAAATAACAGAAAATATGGGATCTAAAAATTTGGCATGAACGATTTTGATTAAAATTTTATGCTTTCCTTTACTCCCAACGCTTACAGCTGGTGAAACAGAAGCTGGCACTTGGGCCTGGCACGGACATTGTGGGCAGGGGGAGGGTGGAGGTAAGGAAAAGACCGGACATGTGTACTTGACAGTTGACGCAACCCGCATGACGGCACATAATGTTTTTGAACTAGGCTAGTAGCAATCAGTCAAGTGCCAGCTTACATGCTGTACCCATTGTAAGGGTTGTTAACAAGCTAAAGTATGTGTCAGTCAGTTACCGTTCATTTTTTGTATAAAATCCTTAAGCACCTTTTTAAGTATTCTCAAATCATATGTGTTTTATCAAATCATAAGTCATATGTTATTCAAATCATATGTTTTTATGAAAAAGGGCTTCTCAACACTACACAACTCTTGATTGACATACAAATAGTTGCAAGATTATCTATCAATCTAAAAAAAAAAATACAAAACAGAAGTGATCTCCTTACCATATTGCAAATCACAAATAAAAGCATTTTCTTTGTAATGAAGAAATGAGTCATACCAAAACCACTTAAGGAGGAATTCTTTGATGTTGCTCAACAAACATAGTGAACAAACATTTATTTGTATACAGGAGGCAGTGTGGCACATCCCTCACCTGACAATCATATTTTATCCTGCCCCAAGAGTCAGCAGGTCCCACTATTTCTTTTACATGGGATATTATGGATTCCCTCAGGGTTTCTTCCATCTTGGAATATACTCCCCTCACTTGAAGATGCAACATAAAGTTCTTGCTTGAGTTTTTACAACATTCGTTTGCATTGAAAAACATCTAAAAATGGACAATCATATGTTATGATCGGACATTGGATTTGGTTTTTAAAGTTGAATGTACTGTTTTAAACTCTTCTGTTAAAGTAGGAGTTTGTTTTTTAAAAATGTAATAAATTAAATCATAAACTATCTTGATTGGCTTAGGCTTAGGTCTTTCATATTTGAAAAATAATAATATTTTAAAATCATAGACCTCGTAAATTCAAGGGAGTTAAAAAGTAAATTGGTGACAGGCAACTACAGAAAACTATTTAATGCAACTAAAAAGTGAAAATAAAATATATTTAGCAAATTTTTATAGAGAAAATAGGTAAATAGTTATACATTAGGTTCCTTTTATTTTATAGAATGTTCTTTAAGTTCCAAAGTTAGATCACCGTTGTGCATTTCACCATAATGCATTTATACAGTTATACATTGTCACTATAAAGTTCGTCAGGGGCTAAATACTTGATCCTTTTTCCTATGATGTTCCTCATAAGCCAAAATGAGCAAAACGCCATTCATTCAAAATGTAACTTACTTTACCGTACTTCCCCCAGCTATGTCATCATTAAAAGTTCTAGTTTTTGATTTCTAACTTGAACTTTACTTGAAAACGTAAGTATTCATTGAGCCAACATTATTTATACTGGGTATATGTATCTAAGTATGAATTGTCCGAGTCTTATGTTTTTCAATCCATTCTGTAAATCAAAATTCAATAAACCAAAAGCTTCAAACTCACTCTGCAGTTTGAAACAACATGTTATTTTACATTATTTGAGAATTGCTTTATTATTATAAGATTTTAGCCATACACCTACCGTAATTAGTAATTACGGAAGTAATTACTTAGTAACACTTATTTGCTTTTGAAATCTGCTTTTAATTAGGGTGATAGATAATAAATATGTTCCATTGTAAACATAAACTCTTTTTAATTAAATATAGAGTGTAAATGATACCAGTGTATTATTTTTATCGCAGAGGATACGCGTCCGGTAACCGGACGTGGATTAGGCGTCCGGCAGTTACTGTCATAACCAGGGCCGCGTTAAGGGTCAGTGGCGCCCTGGGCAAAAACCCAAAAGCAGCCCTTATATATATATATATATATATATATATAACTATAAAAGTTTTGACCAGAGCAGAGTTGGAAAGGGGGGTTGACTCATCAGTTCGCCGAAATTCACAGCAGGTGGCCATGGCCAGGTGGGCTGGGGGTTGGGGTGAGTGCAATAAACTTGTGACAGTACTGTAGTTGCTAATGCCTCTTGCCCTGCGCCAGTAGCTAGTAGTAATATGCACGACGCAGTATGATTTCATTACTGTTCAGTATACAGTACAGTGTGCAGTACATTGCTTTACACACGTATTGAACGAGACTCTACGAAGGGAGTATGTTTTTCCATGGTTCTACTATAGGTCTAGGCCTATGCATATATATTTTTATTAGCGTGTTTTTTTACCAGTTTTGTCTCGGGAGGGAGATTTCAATTCCGTATCAGTGGAAATACTGGTTAATACATTTAACTTACTTCAAAACTGCTTCTTGAGTTTTGTTTTCTTTTAGCCAACCGCTTGCGGCGCTCGGCTCCACTAGGTTTTTTATGCATTTTTCACTGTTTATTGGCCTACTTACTTGTATCAACACTTCTCTATTTATTTATTACTGGTTCACTAACTGCAGTGTGAGTGTCAACACTGACTAGTGACTGTCACAGTCTAGGTTGTGTTGTGACTGATTTGACGACTGCAGCAAGCACAACACGAACACAACCTACTGACTACTAAGGGAGGAGTACTAGTACTACTGTACTAATGTACTGGACTGGCGCAGCGCGGTAGTTGGTAGTAGTATTGACTTTATATCTCTACAGATAAAGTAGAGATATAAAGTCAATGGTAGTAGTTATAGTTGTGACTTGTGGGAATTGGGGTGGGACTGGGAGAAGAGGAGGGGCAAGCCAACCGTAGGCCTGTAGACTACAGCTGGCCTACGTGCTATTCCCGTAATTGGCTGACGTCACGTAAATTGCAAAAAAATCATCTGATGTATTGCCACATCAATATATATTTGTTTTGATTTGATTGTTATCGTTTTGATAATTTTTCTCAATGGTAAAATGGTGGTTGCAATCTGAGTGACGTCAGCATATGACGGGAATAGCACACCTATGTATTTTCCTTCCACCATGCAGGCCTCTCTGGCTCTGATAGTATAGTGAGTGCGCCCGGTTCACACTGCTGCCCGCCTTTCCCTGACTACAGGAGGTATAACCTGAAGTTCAAGTATTTTAAATTTTGTTGTATTTATTTACTTTTGCAATAAGGCAAAATCACTTAACAACAAGTTGAAATCACCCATTTGATTTTTGAAATCCCGGCTGATAAAACCCTATTTTTCCTAGTGCGGGCGGTAGTCCAGGGCGCCCCTCGGGCGCCCCCAACCACCGGCGCCCCTGGGCATATGCCCAGTCTGCCCGTTTATAAAAGTGGGCCTGGTCATAACCTAACCTAACCAACCAAACTTGCTGATAGTGAAAAAAATCAAATGAAGGTTCAATTCTCTTCATAACATAAAATTATAAATGCCCAAAATTCTAACAAAAGATGTACAGTTAAGAAGAAATTACATTCAAAGCTAAATCTGTGACAAAAAGTTAAAGTTAAAGATGGGTTTCGAACCGGGGACCTCTCGCATATCAGTCAAGCACTCTATCCACTACACCACGAACACTGATGGCTGAACATCGTATCATTGTGGTAATGGCGTTCCGGGACCCCCTACCGGACGCCTAATCCACGTCTGGTTACCGGACGCCTAATCCATGTCTGGTTACCGGACGCGTATCCTCTGTGTATTTTTATTGCAATTGCAGCACAATAATTTGACCAATGAAAGCCTCAATCCACCATTCCTATACACAACACAATAGACAATAAGCATAGTGCAAGATAAGCTACACAATACTCACCTGATACTCTTCATGAATATTGTGTATAAGATTTCTTATACATTCCTCATACATTTGTGGGTAATTTATGGTCTCTAATTGATTGGTTGTTAGCCAGTCTCTTTCTGGAATTATTTTATGAATGCTGAAATAAAAAATTATGTAAATAATACTTGAAATAGTATATTATGTATACTAGTCCTGAAAATAGGTGTTTGGATGAGTGGTAGGATTACCATATGAGTCAGATAAACACATTTTTGGACGAGTGACGTACGATATTTTACGCCATATTACTAAATCCGTACAAATCATTATTACCACTGACTTAAGGACTAACAATCACTAGTCATAACCTCTAAGAGAGGTTATGTTTTTTGTTAAAAACTAACCACTCTCACTCATTGCCAAATACAGTTTATAATCAACAGGTTGGTGTCCGGTAAAACTCATTACAGTACAGTGTAGTACGTAATGAAACCCCATTTGATTAAGCTGACAGCGAACAGCAGTTTTCAGGACTAAATCCTACCTTGGGAAGTTCGTCAAAACAGTGTAGTGTGGCGTAAACAAAATTATAAGTAAAGATTTTGATATAAGATCATACAAATTTAATCAGACTAAGAAATTCAAAATCATTAAGTTGTATTATATCTTGTGGATTATTTGTCAATAGATATTTTTCTGAAGATACTTAATACAGTAAATAATCCTAAAATTTTTGATTAGTCTTAATTTTGACTGGACAGTTTGATTTTTAGTTTCCCTCTTCTGTAAATTACATTGGACCCATGTCAACAACACTCTGGAGATTAATGAGTTGGATGAGTTTTGGAAATTTACATTTTTAAGTAGGTAACAGATGTTAGTTTTAGTAAGTAACAAAATAATTGTGCATGGTAGTCTATTTTTACTAGTAAACTATGCACTACCTTTGACTATTAACACTAACCAATTCTGTGACTGGCTCACACGGTCACAACTACGTTCTTTTTTAATAAAAATATATGTCTACTTCAGTACCTATCCAATAGTCAATGATACTATCTTTGAATGTACATATAATACTGCCAAGTACATACCGGTTTTTCATTCTCATGTTAAAGCAACTAGGTTTAAAATACTATACAAACAATCTTCCTCAAATGAGCCAAAAATATATCTGCTGTAAAATACATTTAATTTTTATTTGTTGCCAACCTTTCATTTATCATAAATTGATAAAAACTAAATGAGGAAATAAAACTGAAGTATTCTCTGTAGAGAACTATAGTACTTTATGAGATTCCCATTTAAACGTAACTGTTTTTAAATGATTTTAACTGTGTTTGAATGTTTTTAACTGTGTTTAAATGTTTTTATGGGGGATAATCTTGCTATACCTGTCAGCGAACACAGAATATACAATAACAATAGAAACAAGGAATGTAAGGTGTTGCAAATGTTATTCTGTGTTCACTGTACCTGGTCCATATGCATGGAATGCACCCTTAAATGTCTCATGCCAACAGTCTTTTAATTTCTTTTAGTGTTAATCATTTAACATTGTTTCATCTTTATTACCGAATGAAACTTACATATTACTGGAGACTTTCTGAAAAATATATAACTTAAACTGCAGGCATTAATTTATTTCTTACTGTGCTAGTATTTTGAATGCACAAAAAAAAAACTACACTATAAAATAAATTATACCGCAAATAAATACCGTAAATTATACTGTATTTTATAAAATATACATGTACTTTTTAAATTATTTTATTGATTGCATACCTCTCCAATATTTGTTCCTCTTTCCGTTTTTCTACCAAAGGTTTGAGTAGCTCTACTTCGGCCACTATAAATATTGGGTTTCCTTCCTCATTGAAAACTGGCGCAGATTCTTTTGGAGAAACGGCTTCCTGAAAACATTTGTTGTTCAAACTTAATACACAAATTATATGAAGTGTACACATTATATTATAGTACAAAGCAGTATTAAATGACATGAGGATTGTATAAGACATATTTAAAATAGATCTAATATGTTTATTCTGTTCTGTGATCTGTTATTATTATTTATACCGTACATTTTAACCCTTAAATTTTAGATAGTGTGTATATGGTATAAACAAGTAAATGAGTTAATACAAAATTGTGTACACATTTTGTATTAAATTATAGGTCTTACTCCTTATCAGTCTTTTGTGAATTACCACAAAATCTACCCTGAGTATAGAATTTAATTGACTTTAGAAGTGTTCATGTTGTTTTGAAATCAGCTGATGACAAGTTATATAAATTTACTATCGATTCTTCAACAAAATAACAAATGAGAGGAATGTTTGTTGTCTACTATGTTTCTTCTTCTTCTTTAACTTAAATATTAAAACGGGGCAGTAAACAAAATGTATTACATACTTAGTCAATTGCAAGCAACAGGCAGTGGCGTACCGAGGGGGGTGGCGGTTCGCCCCAGGCCCCACACGATCATAAGCCCCCAAATGCAAATGCGGAAGTTGTTCAGGATTTCGCTATGATCATAATAGAGGGTAATGTACTCGCAATGGCGCAAGATGTTCATGATTTCACCTGTTGATGTAGAATCCGTTCTTGATTCCTTTAGGATCGAGGAAGAAGCCAACGATTTTACCTTCACCATGACCGTAGAGGACTCAGCGACGAATTTGTTGTGACCAAGGCGGATATTGATGCTTTTTATTTAGTTTTGTGTTCAAAATTTTGCCGCGATAATATTGTCCCAGCGTTTGCGCGAGAGGGGATGTTAGATGTTAACAATTTACGTTTTATGGGCAGGAGACGTATAATAAATCCCCGAGACAGCAAAAGATCTTCACTATTACACTGTACATAGGAGATGTAAACGATTGCTCTGCGATCTTGGAAGATAACCACTATTACTTTAAGTTTGAATGGTTTTAATACTTCCAAAGGAAAATTATTTCTACTGCTATTGGATTTAAGTGTGACTGATTAACCCTCCCCCATACACACACCTATCCTGTATGAAATACCTTCTCTTCTAAATTAATACTACTAAATGTTTACACAGTAGGTCTGTATTGTAAATAACCAAATAAGTATATATTGTGTCATACAATACAAAACATGGTTACTTACAATTTCAGCCGCCTCTTCTATTTCATCTATTTTCTTTTTCCCTTCCTTTGATTTCACGCTACCCTTCTTAGATTTTGCACTTCCTGTTTTTCCGTCTTTTTTTGATGATGTATTTTTTGGTTTCACAGCCTGAACATTGGAAGTATTTTTTAATTGGTCAAATAAACTATGAGAGGATCCAAATATTTTCTTCATTGTTTCTTCAGTGTAAGTGAAAAGCTGAGTGGCGACTTTTACTGACTTTTCTACATTAACAAACAAAACAATTGAAATTAATTGATCACTGAAATATATTGGTTTTCACTGAAATATATTATTTCATGAGAAATACTATAGAGTTGACTTATGGTTTTATAACAAAACATTAACTGATAATACATTACCTCCTGGGTAAATAAGTTTTGACAGATCCAAAAGTGCAACGTAGTGATCATTTTGTTCGACCAGTAGTTTTTCAGTATTACTTTTTTCACCAGTCAGCTGTTCAATTTTTGAGCTTGGGATGATTAGTTCTACTGGCCAGTAGCCATACCTACAACATTAAATATTTAAGCTGATAAAATAAATAAATTACCTTTTTATAAGAAACAAACACTCATAGTTAAGTTTTTCAAAATCAGAGACTACTACACCCAACAAATTGACATACATCCTAACTAATTAAATATACAAATATCTAAAAAGTATATGATGCTAAATACAAATAACATAAAAATGTACCAATGGTTTGGGAGTTGAATAATTTTGGGATACTTTTGGAACGGGAATCTTGTGATGATAAAATTAATAATAATAATTCATTTTTATTGTAGTAGACAAAAATATATTACATTACAAATGTGATAATATTCCCATTACTAAAGACATTTCGTAGGAAGTTTCCGCAATATGAAATTCACAATATCGCTGCTATCGCATGTCACATGTTATATAATGTTAGGCATAATGTTATAGTGCTGTGAAAAAATATTTGTAATAAAACTAATACGACTTATATTTTGAGGATCAGTATTGAATCCATATGAAATATTGAGAATCACCAACACTCTCCATACTCTCGGGTTTCAAAGGGGAAATCTAGGATCATAATCGGCACAATTCTATTGGAAACTGCTAAGCGGTTTTCATGTTAACAGCTCTACATTTTAGTTTTTGTGAATTTGTGAATTTTTCATGTAAATTTAGATTGTGTTTAACCGTTAATTTATACAACAGAAGGCAAAAATACTTAAATAATATCCCAGCTTGTAAATAAAAACTATATGATGAAGATAGGGTATTTCTCAGTTCATAAATTACATTGTGTCATGAGTACTTGTGGTGTAAGTATGATTTTAAAATATGCTTACTTTACAATTTTGTCCATACAAATTTTTTCCAAGTCAGTAGTAATAAAGCTTCTGTGAATTTGATTCCACTGGAATCTTGGCTTTGTTATTAAAGAGCTATAGTTAATGGTGTAATCCGTTGTAATGGATAAATCATAAATATCCTCACTAACTCTGAAACAAAATATAAAACCACATACAAATTTAATGAAAATAGTGTGTAAAAATGAAGGCTTAGTTAGAATGCCTGCTGACAGAAAGTGGTGTTTCACATGTATATACATATTTCAGCGGTTTATGTATTCTATTTTTTTTACTTATTATTATTTTGTTATAGTTGCAGAATTGGCAAAATAACACAAAATAAAGAGTAAACATTGAAACACATTTGCAAGTCAGAAGTTTACCTCAAAATTACTTTAATCTCATGTTTAAGGATGAGAAATCTGTTAAGTAGTACCATATAGAACATGTGTTAATCAAGTTTCAAGACTGGTCTAAAAAAGAAACGTATTGAAAATTTATGTATAGTGAACTAAAAATCTTCAAAATAATTTCCTACTTTGTTGATAAAACACTACCAGCGAGTTTTACACTGCTTCCTGGAACTCATTAATTTGGAACTAGCTGTACCCGCGGGCTTTGCCCCGTTTAACTTCATAAGTATTAATAAAAAGCCTGTGGTTATGTTGGCTCTATTCATGAAAAAAATCTGCTCAATTGGTCAAGTCGTTGTCCTGTCCTAATGTGGTTTTATGTCAATGCTCGTTAATTTTCAAGATGAGCTCGTTCGCATGGCTCAATCACGTCCTGATTGAAGTTCGTTTGCTACGCTAACTCGCCTCCAGGTTGAAGTTCGTTCGCTACGCTGTTGTCATAAATGTAAAAAAATAATAGTGCTGCTGTTGGTAAACCTATTAACTCTTTAATGCTATTGAACATCACAGAATCAACTTGTTTAGTTGAACCAGCTTTTAGGATTCTTTAATTCCATTTAAATACTGTATAAGTACTCATAAGGTTAACATGGGAAACTCCAGAGCCACTGGGGCGGAGCCCGAAAGCCCGATCAAAATAAATTACTTAGTTTTCCTATTTAATGCCCAAAGGAATGGGTGTACCGAATTTCAGCCTCCTTGGTAAATGGGAAGTGGGAGAATTAGTGATGAGTAAGTGAGTGAGTGAGTCAGTGAGGGCTTTGCCTTTTATAGGTATAGATAATGTTCAGAATCTTCATCGAAGCTGTTTGAACTGCTGCAGCGGTGCCAAACCGCTTTGCTGGGGGCGAGATTCGGGCTGTGTATCTGAAGGTGGCTGCGGAAGCGTTGCCACTTACATTGTTTAGGGCCAAAATCTGGGTAACTGCGCAACTGCTGCTTGCCACTGCTTCTGATCGTACGTGAACACATTCGGGACAATTTTGGCACAGACCTTCCTCAACATAAAATCTCCAGAAACCATTTGAAACACTAAAGTACCATAGTTAAAATTTGTTCCATCCCATAAGTCTAATGCTCAAGCGTCAGTCACTGTTTAAAACTTCTGCACTTTGGCTAGATTTTCTTGGTTCCTGATGTACAGTCCATAGTTCAAATTCATTCTATCTGCGTTGAGTCTAATGCTCAAGCGTCACTCGCTGTTCAAAACTTCTGCACTTTGGCCAGATTTTCTTGGTTCCAGATGTTGTCCTTACAGCATGATCATCGTCTTTGAGGCCATCCTTAGACCGCTTGTGTCACATGAAAACCATGGCTCGTGACATTGTGTCATATTTTAGGCTTATTGAAGCAACATAAGAGCTTCCCCACAGTTGTTGATACAGAATCTGTTGGAATAGCGCTGCTTCAAAAGCTGAATTTTTACTCTCACTGTGCTTCGACAAGATAAAATACACACCCTAAATATGATTGCTGTGATGCTTTCACTCTAGCGTCTCGCCGGCAACAAGAGAAGGTTCAGTTGCTTACCTGAAATCCTCCTTCTCCCAGCCAGGTCCACATGATTGATTGGAAGCGCTCTGCTATGGAAAATAATCAGTCTTAAAATTTAATTAACACACCCTGTATGTTAAATATATTGTTTAATGTATACCCAAAGTATTAAGAATTCAATGTGTTGATTGTTGTGACAACCGATATTGGATGCAGCTTGTTTTTGATGGCACAAAGACTTTTCCTAATAGTTTTCAGCATACCAAATGCCTCATAGTGGTCAGGTAGTGTATTGTAATTTCACTTGTATGTATTGTAGTTAGGAATTATGTCAAATGTTGGACCGTTTTGTTGGTGGGAGAATCTTTGAACTTGCCCCTCTATTTGATAAAATTGAGCTAAACAATTTAAAACACATACTTGTATGAAGACAATGCCCCTTGACCTGGTAGATTAGTCAGCCCATGCCACTTTTTTCTTTTGGAGATCCACACAGAATCATCCAAGATGGGACTTCCACTTTTAAACTTGATAACCTGCATAAAAATTAATGTTTTATTGACAAGAACAGTACTTATAGTCCATTACTTTGAGAAAACTTATGTGTATCTAATAATTAACCATATTAATGACCAATCCGTAAAATTACTAGGCTAATGTTTGTGACTTATTTGCTATATAACATATATTCCATTCTAGTCTACTAAGGCAACGGTAGTTTTAGTAAATGATTTGAGTAAAACACATCAGCCATTATGTTGAATCAATGCTGATTCGATCACTAACTGTTGTAGTTACTACCTCAAGAGTGGAAGCTATGAAAACATATAAAATTTCTATCACATGGTTACTAGCAATGATCTGTTACTTATTGCATAGTAATGATGTGATTGAATTATATCAGTGACTATTGAAGACTGAAGAAATATCATATTCAATGAACATTTAGTACAGGTAAAACTCGCCTAAGAAAACATAAAAATTAGTCCATTCATGAAACTTGCAGGAAACGTAGTAATTACCATCAGGTATTGGAATCTGAAGAGTCCCTAGTGATTGTGGGGGTGGAAGTACCATTTTATGGGGTTTTAAGTTTATGGGGGTAGTGATTTTGAGAGAATTTTTATTTATGGGATCCAAGCAAGTGGGGTGTCGTTTTCTATGTTTCTTAGGATGCAGAATCAAAAAAGAACATAATAAAAGCAATACAACCTATAGTTTATTAGAAAAGACTAATTTATTAATGAAAAACTAAATATGACAAATTAATTAAGGTAAACTAACCCAGTTCATTAATATCAATCACCTATTACAAAATTGATCATGAGTCTGTGTCACATGTTTAAGTTGTGAGGAAAATTAACCAAGAAACTGGTAGTTACGCCTCTTTAACCACCACGTGTCATATTGTTCATCAGCTACTAATGCAAACCTTCCATGGAATCGTCAGGGTCTCTAACTCGGTCTTCTCCATCATCGTCTTGACACTGACAGCTTAGTAGTGGGGATTGGTAGCAGAAAAATATTTCAGTTCTGGAGGTGATCCTGCAACTTAGGGTGAAGATAACATATAAGACCAAGAATGTAAAACCGCCCAGACCCCAATTTTTAAGGACCTTGATAGCCCGTAATGACGTCATCAATATGGCACTCGTAAGAGGATGCTGGGTCGCTATGAATTGGTTATTATACCAAAAGGCCTTAACCGATTTTAATGAAATTTGACATACAAGTGCTTGAATACTATATCTAATCCCAGTTTGTCAATGGTTGAGTTTGATTAGGTCATTTCAAAATGGCGGCCGTTAATAATTAAAATAATTAAAAATTGTTTAATGTTTTGTTTTTTCAACTCTCTCCAGAAATCTGCAGCGATCTTTCATTTTCCTTGCAATCACAGGTTGTGATGCCATCTCTGCATTTCATCGAATAGGCAAAATACCCCCACCGCAGCAAACCTGCAGATTAAGTGAGTTTCCATTTGCCTGATTTGATTTTCAATTAAATCTATTTCAATAACATTAAGTTTAATTAGTACCTAGGTTTGCTGCTACGGAAAGGATAATAAAGTGTGTTTTTTCAAATTAAAATATTAATAGCTTAGGTCAAAATAAATAAATTTGTCAAGTTTTTTCAAAATATATCCATAAACGAGCAAACTACAACAGTTTACTTATTCTCCAAAAGAATAAAATGCGAATGATAAATTTTTGAATTTTCTAGGTAGGTAACCGTACAAAAACACTTCAATAAACAACATTATTTGTTTTTTAAGGTATTCAAAATCATCATGGTATCCAAAATGGTTAAGAAAGAAATTGGAAAATGTTATAGTGGGTTAAACATGACAAACCCCAATATTGACCCCATAAATCCCCCCAAAAACCCCGTTCCCATGGTCTGATCATGCTGGATTGCGAAACCGTTAGAATCAATCCAAAGATTTGTTGTAATTTTTATATGACATAACATTAAACTTTAACAGTGTTAATGACTGTAGACGTGTACTTTTTAAAGAACGTTAGCACGATAACTCAAGCAAAAATTACCCAATGTTGACGAAATTTGGTAAAAACGTGTAAACTTACGTTTACTCGAACAAGTTCGCGAACCAGCATGCTCGGACCATGAGAACGGGGTGTTCTGGGGGATTTATGGGGTAAAAATTGGGTTTCCTTATGTTTGCCCCTCTAAACATAAAATTTTCGAATTTCTCTCTAAACTATTTTGAGTACTATGATTAGTTATTTTGCTAGTTTATGGTTATATTTTGATAAAACTTGGCCAATTTATTTAACCTATTCATATTTTAATTAAAAAAACACACTTTATTACCCTCCCCCTAGCAGCAAACCTAGTTAACACTAAACTTAATGTTATTGAAATAGATTTAATTGAAAATCAAATCAGGCAAATGGAAACTCACTTAATCTGCAGGTTTGCTGCGGTGGGGGTATTTTGCCTAATCCATGAAATGCAGAGATGGCATCACAACCTGTGATTGCAAGGAAAATGAAAGATCGCTGCAGATTTTTGGAGAGAGTTGAAAAAACAAAACATTAAACATGTTTTAATAATTTTAATTATTAACGGCCGCCATTTTGAAACAACCAAATCAACCTCGGCCATTGACAAACTGGGATTAGATATCGTATTCAAGCACTTGTATGCCAAATTTAATTAAAATCGGTTCAGGCATTTTGGTATAATACTTTCTTTCAATACTTTCTTATGAAATGGCGACCATACAATGTAGGTATTTTAAGCCAAGTATGAATGGAGATGAGTGTAGGATGAGTGGCGCGATCTTGTAGTCTTGTTAGTGACTAAGGCCGACATTCTTTAGAGACAGCTGTTAATTAATAGCCCAAACAGCTAATGGCAACTAAGGGACCTACAGTTTATAGTGGAATCTGAACCACATTTTTTCCTTGGTATATACAAATTGGTCTAATTATCAGGATAGTACTGCGGATAGTCGTAATACTCACTAGTGTGGACGTTAATCCACACCAGGGAGTATCCCATCCACAGTGCATACCTATAAATATCCACAATCCGTGACCTCCTAGTAGCTGGATTACAGGACGACGCCAATAACCAATTCATAGCGACCCAGCATCCTCTTACGAGTGCCATATTGATTACGACATTACGGGCTATCAAGGTCCTTAAAAATTGGGGTCTGGGCGGTTTTACATTCTTGGTCTTATATATTATCTTCACCCTTAGTTGCAGGATCACCGCCAGAACTGAAATATTTTTCTGCTACCAATCCCCACTACTAAGCTGTCAGTGTCAAGACGATGATGGAGAAGAACGAGTTAGAGACCCTGACGATTCCATGGAAGGTTTGCATTAGTAGCTGATGAACAATATGACACGTGGTGGTTAAAGAGGCGTAACTACCAGTTTCTTGGTTAATTTTCCTCTCAACTTAAACATGTGACACAGACTCATGATCAATTTTGTAATAGGTGATTGATATTAATTAACTAGATTATTTTACCTTAATTAATTTGTCATTTTTAGTTTTTCATTAATAAATTAGTTTTTTTCTAATAAACTATAGGTTGTATTGTTTTTATTATGTTCTTTTTCGATTCTGCATCATAAGAAACATAGAAAACGACACCCCACTTGCTTGGATCCCATAAATAAAAATTCTCTCAAAATCACTACCCCCATAAACTTAAAACCCCATAAAATGGTACTTCCACCCCCACAGTCACTAGGGACTCTTCATATTCCAATACCTAATGGTAATTACTACGTTTCCTGCAAGTTTCATGAATGGACTAATTTTTATGTTTTCTACTGTTTTTTTAGTATAATTTTACCTGTACTAATTATCAACTTGAAAGACAAATAGGTTTAAGAATAATGTTACAGTTACTCCTGTGTATGTTACCAATATGATTTAAAATCTACACACAAACCTGATTATTGGGCAACATAGTAGCGACTTCAACTTCTTTAGTATTATCAAGATTGATATTGTGTAAGGACTCCAAAGTGAACAAAAATATATTTGAAACTTGTTCTGAGATATCACCAATATTTCCTTTTACCGAAACTGACACTTTCATTTTTGGCAGATTATCCCAAGCTATAATATTGCTTCCTTTTTGCTCTGTTGTTGGATTTAGCAAAAGATCTTCTTCAACTTCATCTCTTTGTCCTGAAAAAGCTTCCATTAACTTTTACCACAAAAAATATTGTTGAACCCTTACCAAAATAATGCTGGTATGATATTCAACAATTAATTTTCTATACTTTTACAAGTTTTGCTGCATTTGACAGTGCATAGTTTTTTAATAATGAAAACCCTATTTGGAGAGGGTTTAAAAAAATATTAACAGCATCTTATTCAATTATTCTTGTTCATTTTAAAATTTGTTTCAAGGCATAGTGTGGAATGCAGAGTTTTATCAAATAGCTCAAAGGAATAAAATAAATAGAGTGAGTATTTGTGTATCAATGGAAAACTATTTATTGTTGTTTTATAAAAGAGAAAACGGTTTACCTATCAAAAGTGGTAAGATATCTAAATTACAAATTCCTAGAACAGCGAGTTCTTCAGTATTTGGTAGGACCTTTTTGGATTTGACTGATTTGCTTGTCTTTTTGCTACTATTTGTAACACTAGGATCTTTAACAGATTTCTCCTTCTCACTTGGGCTTTTAGAGCCTTTTCCTTTTTCCCCTTTCCTTTTTTTAAATTCAGATGAGTCTTCTTCCGGGGAACAAACCCTTTCACACAAAACTGTAACTGAAATACTTGGTTGTTAATTAATTAGACTAGAACTACATTATTTTACATTTTATTTGATTTAATACAAATTAGAAGTATTGGTGTTGGCATGCTGTGCCTGACTGCTAAAGATATGCCAAGCCGTCCCACTTGAACCAAATTCAGCCAACATCTCTGGTACAACTACGATGGTTAAATGAGGTGCTGGAACTGTAACCTATTTAATGATATAGTACCTATTTATGCAGATATTTTTATCTTCCCGACGGAAAGAGAGATACCAAATCACCCTTCCTTCTGGCACAATTCGACCACTGTTGCTATTTATTTTATAAACCAGAGAGGTAAAATAAGTGGACAAAACCTTAAATTTTGAAGAAGATATTTTTAAATATAATAAATTAAAAAGATGATTTTTTTACTGGAGCCAAAGGCAAGAGAATCAAGTTTGAGATTATATTATACTACCCCTGAGCTGAAATGTAATTTGAGAGAAAGTTTATGGAATAATTTAAATATTTAAACATACTTTGAGGATTTACAGCTACAGTAGCCTATTGATAAAAATTTGTATATCAGACAACTAACCCATTATGTCTAATTCAAATCTTATCATTTTAATGCAAATGGATCCTAAAATGAAAAGGATAATATATTCTTTCAGCGATGTGCACTAGCATTAGTTTATTAAAAATTGAAATTATTGTTGTAATAAGTTCCTGTAAGGTAAAAAAAACCAATTTACCTATTTTATTATTTAATTTTTTAATCACTTTGATAAGCAGAGTTTGCAAACTCTACTTAATCTCAATACTAGACCTACATATATACTTACAAACTATTGGATCACTAATTAATTCATCCAGTAAATTTTCCATTTCTCCTGGTATTTCAAAAAAGGCTTCCCAGTCAATTTTCACTTCTTTATCTGGAACCAAAATTTCTTTAGATTCTCCAACTGGTTCCTCATTGTGCTTGACTTTTATGATTACTTTCTTCGGAGGCTCCTTAAAAAAGGATAAGTAATTTTACTCTTGCTGGATTAGCTCTGATTAATCCTGATGATCCCGTAACTAACTTTGAAAATTATCTTTGACGTTAACATCAGTATGAGGTTTTATAGAATAAAATGTATTTAACGAAATGCACTAGGCTATATGGCTTTCAGTAAATGGTTTGTCTTGCCTGTGAGCCTGTGAGAGACATTTGTTGTTTATAGTTTTAAGCACTCCCACAGGAAGTGAATACAAATGTGTAGCACGCTTGTCAACACGCTTTTATGAGCTGTGCCTGCAGTGAGGAAGCGAGGATGGGATTACCACCTGATGTTAGGTGTGGACTGTTCACACGACCCTTGCTTCATAATCTGTTTTGGATTTAGTTTACCTCAGAAAGCCATCAATGGCAACAAGTGTATCGTAGAGAGTTGTGCAGTTATAAGTTCAGTTTTTTGTCGACAAGTTGAGACAGTCATGTGAACCTATTAGAAAATAGAAAAAAAGAAAGGGTGATTTTGGGTAAGAAAAGTGGATCCATACGCACTTCAGTAAACAGATGTTTAATTTTAGGGTCCACATAGTTATTTTCAATTTTAGGACCGTAAAACGGGGTGACTTGAGCCCACTTTTGAACTTTGCTTGTTCATTAAAGTAAACCCATTAAGTATTTTTTTATAAATCTTTTACAGTAAACTTAGTCTTGGTCTATTCTACAAATGTGTGGAATAAGATTTTTTTAAAGTTAGTGTAACTATTTAAAAAAAAATTAAATATGGGTGGGCTCAAGTCACCTCGTTGGTCGGGGTGACTTGAACCCAGCTATTATATTTCAATGCTATTCTAATGCACTAGACCCACTGCACTGACCCATGAGGTGACTTGAACCCACATATATAGCTGACTATTTTGGTATTTTTTTAGATTAAAAATTCCTGTTTTTTAAAGGTTTAATGACGGTAAGTGTACAACAAAACACAAAGTTTTTGTCGAAACTGTAATAAATTTATAAAAAACTTACAGAAACATTTAAACAAATTTTACTTACCAAATATTGAAGATCTGAATATGATTAATCAGAAAAAGTCCACCAGCAATTTTTGAAAATATAAAAAAGTAATTTTTTCTGTAAATGAAATGTTGCCAATATCTCATTCTAGTTAATCCGAACCGATTCGTCACTCCGATATAGAAAACTTCACAATAGACATTTTGACAGTCATTAATAGACTAACTAAATGTAAAAATAACAAATTGTTTTTTATCTACACACTATTTATTTACACTAGTAAAATCACTTGTTCTACTTTATGTCTTTGTCCATTAACCGCCACTTTTCCACTTCTGGAACGGCAAAAGATCCTCTGTCGGTAATGGGTGTGGGGGCTGCTATTTTTCCTTTAACTTCTGCTTTGCTGTACCAGCACTCATCTACCTTTTCTGGCCATTTCCAATTATTAGACCACATAAAATAATGAAAGTGTCTTATTTCATTACTAAACAAACGTTACGGTACCACTTAAACACAGGTGGGCTCAAGTCACCCCAAAATCTGCCAAACTTGGTCATGATAAGGTAAACCCAGGTCATACTGACTTAAACCATTACATAATCAAACATGCTTCAACATGTTTGTGTTGTCAAGGAAATAATGAAATGGGGAAAAATAGTTTTATATTCATTTAAGTGCAAATACCCATTGTGCCGATAACCTTTTTTCAACGTAATGAAATTCAGATTCAGACGTGTTAACATTATTATTTTTTATAATTATTAAAATGGACAGTTAAAATAATTGGAATCGTTTGTGGTGAAAGCTAATTAGGTAACCTTCAAATTGATATATAAAACCTTTTGATAAGTCATTTAGGTTTTCTGAAACGAAAATTCAAAACTTTTTCTTGCGTTTTGGGCTCAAGTCACCCCACTGGGCTCAAGTCACCCCGTTTTACGGGACCTTAGTATAATAGCAGCTCTAATTAGTGAAAATATCTTCCTATATAAAAATATATCTACATATATAAATATTTAAAGGTAGTGCTTTTGGCCTCTCGAGACATCAAATTAAAAAAGTAAATTCGTCCAGCAGAGTCTAGATCTGTCTGTGTCGCCTACGGTAATAGCTTCTTCCCTATAGGGAAATTTGCTAAGTCACTTAATTTTATGTGTGAAAAAAAATCACTTCTTTCCCAATTCCCATTGCGTAGGACTCTATTTAAATATATTTAAGCTATGCTCAGGGCGAAATTAGTATTTAGGCCTACTGCTTGGGAACTTTCCCTTCCAATCAGAAATTACAGTTAGTCTTAGACAAAATGTGATAAAGATCAAGTTTCTAAAAGTATGCTTACCATGTTTTCCAAGCAGATGATTTTTATCTTGAACCCTCTTGAGTTATTTGTATTATCTGGGTCTTCATCACCCTGAGGTTCTTTAGGAATCATATTTGTTCCTTCAACCATTTGGGGTTCTTCAGGAATCATATTTGTTCCTTCAACCATTTGGGTTTCTTCAGGAATTGTATCCATTTTTACCCCAATACCAAATGGTTTACAAGTATTTATTTTAAATTCCTTTAAAGTAACACACCTTTAAATAAACCAATAGAGTTTATGCAAAAAAACAATAATAACGAAATAAAAAAATCAATAACAGTAATATGTTTTCATTTTTTTATTATTGTACTGAACGAATACTGAACTGTCCTGAAGTTGACAAGAAGCCATCATCATATGATTTTAACATATGGAAACAAACTAGAGAATATGATAAGTAGCCAATATGGATTTGTTACTTCTGGGGATACATATCTATCGCTGCTGGCTGTTAGGCCTTTAAGATAATATGCCATAAAATGTATAATTGCTGTCGTTTCACAGTGATAAGTTACTGACCATGACCACGTGTAATATACACTCTGTATTTAATAATGTAAAAGCATGATCAGAACTATAATCGTTGGCTTCACTCAGTGGCTCAAACGCATGTGACCTGTGACCTGTCAGCTTATCTCTTTTGTTTCTTGTTGCTAATCATTGCACTTAGTTCTTTTAGTCCAGTCAAATTAAACATAAAAAAGGGTCTTGCTTGCAAAAGGTCATGTAGTTCTAATTTTTTAGTATGTTGTTAGGACCTATACTACAAATAAGAAACCAAGTTTGCAGCTTCGAAAGACCTGTGCTACCGACCTGTGCTACCGGCGCAGTAGCCAAAAATACGTAAAATTCAGACACTTTTTCACTTTTTGCTAAATATCTTCTAAAGTATGCCTCTAACAGAAAATAATGCCTTAACCTGTCAAAACAGTATAAAATTTGCTAAAGTTTGAGACTATAACGACTCCAATACGTCCATTATCAATGGATATACAACACTTTAAAAACGATAGAAATTTTCAAAAAAATGAAAAAGTTTAGTCATGGTCTATTATTTTGTGTCATATTGTTAAAAGTACTCATCCAAAAAAAAATCTATATGGAATTAAATGAAATATAATTTAATTAGCTTTCATTTGAACCCCAGCAAGCACTTATAGACCCAATTGTTCATTCAAAAACAGCAGATAACATAGAACGTGAAAAACGGATGTTAGAACCAGTGTAAAAATTATTTATCAATATCACAGTTTTTTCTCCTGTTGCATGTAACCCAATCAGCTGTTAGTTGGTGACATTAATATAAACCAGCTGATCAGCTGGCCCCAGTGGACACATCTAGACCCAATGGTTCTTTCAAAAACGGCAGATAACATAGAATGTAAGAAGGGGATTTTGCAGAAATAAAAGTAAACTATTTAACGGATCTGGAGGTAGTGACAATTTATTAAATAAAAAGAATAATTATATTACATGAGACTGACAAAAACCCAAGTATATTAGAAAGTATTTAAAATTTTCTGACTTTCGCCGGCCTTGGTTCGGGAAAATGTTCAAATGCTTCGTTGCCGATGTTGGCCGGGTCAACCGATGCACACTCAATTCTAAGATCCTTATCCTCATCATCTGAAGCATCGAGTTCCAGTCTCGGAGTATTTGAGCAGGATTTTCCACCACAAGCTTGGCAAAGGACGGAACATTTCAGCCCTGCTTTACGGCAGCTGCATCTTCCGCTGCAAACCTTTTTGCACTTGCATGATATTTTGCGCAGGAGTATTTCGGGAGCAGGATCCATGGTAGACGTAACGGGGGTAAGTCCTTGATATTCGAGCTTCCATCCCCAATCAGTAGGATTTTTGTCAGCACCCAACCATTTTTGAACTTGGTGGTAGCACCTGAGAGCGTGGTGGCCTGCAGCATCCTCTGACAGTGGTAGACGGGCTAGGTTGATGTTGTTAGAAGAGACAAACATCTTGTAGCGAAGGTGATCCAAGGTCTCAGTTTGAATGTCACCCCCATAAAGAGCCACAAAGCATTTTAATGCCTGCCAATTTTACAGCTTCCTTGGTGGAGTCTTGGTGTAGGAAGACCTTAGCCAGATCAGCAAGTTCTGTACTTTTACCCAGCAAATGATTGAATTTGGTTTTGCCATGGCCAAACGGTGCTGAGGTTGTGTCGCACCCTGTGAACACATGGGTAAAAAGTACTGACTGTGGTGATACTTGGGTGTGCTGGTGATTGTGGGAGGTTGTGGAGTAGTGGCAGCAGCCAGCTTCATCTTTGCTACTCTTCTGAATCCTTGCACCCAATTGCTCAACTCTATGGACCAGATTTCTTCGTGAAAGTGGCAGTTTCTGTTGTGGCTTGATAAAGTCTTCAGTGAATAGTGATGTCTTCACCGCACAATAAAAAAATACTGTGTAAGGTCGAACGGATACAACTTGATGCTCTAGAAGATACTGTTGTTTGTGGAATAGAATCCCCTCCTCTACGTACTGCAGCTTCCACATTGCTCACATCACAATAGTATATCTTTTTCTACATGCATCATGAATGGTGACTTCATGAAGCGGACGAAGAAAAGTTACATTGTCCGTGAGGCCACGTTTTGCACTCGCGTCTATAAGTGCTCGAATACCACGTTGTTTAACAATTATGACAGGGTCTTTATCTAAAGCCCTAAGGCACACAAAACAAACACCCGTAGGAATAGACATATCACATAAAATCATTTTTTTAAACCAAGCTCCGCATCTAGCATGATCACTAAAAGTAAATAAACTTTAAACAATTGAAATAATAAATAGTAACAGCTGATCAGCTGGTTTATGTTAATGTCACCAACTAACAGCTGATTGGGTTACAGGCAACAGGAGAATAAACTGTGATATTGATAAATAATTTTTACACTGGTTCTAACATCCGTTTTTCACGTTCTATGTTATCTGCTGTTTTTGAATGAACCATTGGGTCTATAAGTGCTTGCTGGGGTTCAAATGAAAGCTAATTAAATTATCTTTCATTTAATTCCATATAGATTTTTTTTGGATGAGTACTTTTAACAATATGACACAAAATAATAGACCATGACTAAACTTTTTCATTTTTTTGAAAATTTCTATCGTTTTTAAAGTGTTGTATATTCATTGATAATGGACGTATTGGAGTCGTTATAGTCTCAAACTTTAGCAAATTTTATACTGTTTTGACAGGTTAAGGCATTATTTTCTGTTAGAGGCATACTTTAGAAGATATTTAGCAAAAAGTGAAAAAAGTGTCTGATTTTTACGGTTTTTTGGCTACTACGCTGGTAGCACAGGTCTTTCGAAGCTGCAAACTTGGTTTCTTATTCGTGGTATAGGTCCTAACAACATACTAAAAAACTAGAACTACATGACCTTTTGCACGCACGGGTGTTTAACTTGACTGGACTATTTTTGCGGGAGCTCTCGCTGAAAACGTGCTAAAAACACATTGTAGGGACTTGGGAATATGCAATGTGAAACTATAATGTAAAGAAATTCGAGATTATGTTTTTTTTTTAAGTTTAATCGTATTTTGGAAATATAAAAAAAAAATAATAAGCTGAACTATAGTAATTGACGTCCTATATTAAAATATGAATAATGCATCGTTTGTTGGTGAAAATGTATAATGCAAAATGTATAGGCAGAGATTAAATTTTTGATGCATCGATATAATATGAAGGAAGGGCATGATTATGATTTGATTGATTTAGTTTTAAAATGCTTCAACTCTTTCACTTTTTGACCAACTTACCTGATTATACATACTTTTACCTGCGACCGTTTTTAAATTAGTCCTTTCAGTTCAGTTCTTAGATTTGAAAAGTTTCTCATAACAGCATTGTTAACATACGAGCATAGTTTTATTTACCGTGGTTTTACATAATAACACGGATGAGGGACCAATGAGGTTCAAGGATTGAGAGAGAAGAAGTAAAATAGAAATGCTTTGAACTTAAACTAATCAGCTGTTTACCAACTTAATTGTTAACGATTAGTGCGCATTGAATTAGTGATTGGTACATGAGTCGGGGGTTGCATCAATTTCATTGGCAATGAGAGGTTAAAAAGGAAAACATAACCTCTCTTAGTAGTTTTGAGTAGACCTAGAGATAATTATTAATTAATAACCGGCCGTAGGTATAAAATAGTGTACGCAACTCAGATAAATAGTGCTATACGACTCTCGTAGAAGTTTTTAGAACGAAGTGATCGCCATAGTAACATACTCTACAAAGTGTATGACATCAAGCGCTGGAACAGAGGAAGCGGAATGTATTGTCACCGGAACACCTTGTCTCCAGTGGTATTCAAACTATTGTAAAATAACCTGGGGCTGATAGTGATAACTTTTCTCTCTCTCTTGGAGATTGGTATTGTTGAAAGCAGGAAGGCCTTACTGGAGCTGGTGAACTTACCAGATATTGTGCGAACCAATCTAAAGGTGAGAGTTTTTGTCGCCAGTGAACTTTGGTATCGCCCAAATGATCAGGAGGTTAGTCAACACTAGTTTGTAGCTGGATCATTAGGAATTGAACTTGTCTCTCTACCAACAATATCATTTCTCCCAAAATTGATTACTTTGATGGCCGCGCCAAATCCTTGCAACCATACATTTTATTCATTAAACACACTCCTATAACCTACAAGTGGACTCCATAAGAGATGATTGTTGTAAACCACATGGGTTATAGCATTGAATATATAACTATTGTTGTATATTCAATGGTTCTGGGGTAAACCTATCGTAGACAATCTTGTCGAGTTTGAGAGTAGTGGAGAAGAATGGTGGGCGGACAAAAGAAGTCAAATTATCAACTGGAGATTGGAGTTCATTGTGGCTCACGTAGCTAATCAGTCAACGCCCAGAAGACGAGATTAGTCTGCCGACGGCCTCGGATTTGGTGGCCAGAGTATGAAGTCTCGGCCTGCGATGTGCTCGTATACATGCGATGGGTCGCCGAAATTTTATCCCCCTGGAATTTTACCCCCTGGGCAAAGCTGACGTCACTATGACTTAGTAACCTGAGTGGCCAAAAGTTTGTTCGCGGCCGGAATTTTACCCCCGCGGATTTGGAAGTCTAATGAAAATAGTCAGAGCGTGATTAATTAGATTAGCGATAAAAACCGGAATTTTACGCCCTGTCCATATAACTAGCGTTTAAGCAACTGAAGATGTACGGGCCGGATTTTTACCCCCGGA